TAGGTGTGGGTGTGTGTATGTGTGTGTGCGCGCACGCGCGCGTATGTATGCATGTATGTGTGTGTGTGTGTGTGTGTGAGTGTATAGGAGGATGGTTATCGGACTAAAGGAAGAAAGGAAATCGATTCATTATCTATTAAACTGTTAATTTGGTCTCGGGGGTCCAACGACTCGTGAAGAGTTATTGTATGAAATAATCGGGGTGATCTGAGTCCTTTTCAAACCTCTTGGCCTCTTCCTGCATGCTCTCCTTGATCTTCAGGATGGCCGCCGACTCGGTCTGATCCTGCGAACCAACCAACACCAGGCCGGTTACACGTAAACGGTCAGGCGAGCCCACCAACCTTGCCCAAGTTTCCGCGCAGCATCTTTCACCAGCGAGTTCGAAGGACTATCTCGGTCATTCCGTCCAGTTAAATTTCGACAAGGACGCGGGGCCTAGTAAGAGATTGCCACGGACGCGATTAGCGACATACGAACAAAAATTGAGAGAGAGAGAGAGAAGAGAGAGAGGGGAGGGGGGCAAGAGAAGGGAGAGGGGGAGACGAGAGAGACGGAAGAAAAGAGGCACGGAAAAGCCGAGCCGAAGAATCGATAAGCGCAAAGAACCGATGACAGACGACCGAGGTAGCATCAGAGACAGGAGCCCAGTAAGCGCGGAAATTGATGGATCATCCCGGGAGAGGAGGCCAGGGAGGCGACGACCAGAAGACGGAAGAGGAGGTAGAGGGGAGAGAGAGAGGAGAGAGGAAAGAAGGAGAGAGATGGAGAGGTGAGAGAGACGAGAGAAGAGAGAGAGAAGAGAGAAGAGAGAAGAGGGAGGAAAGACGAGAGAGAGAGAGAGAGAGAGAGAGAGAGAAGACGGAAGAGGACAGGAGAGAAGAGGCGAGAGAAGAGAGAGGAGGAGAGATAGAGAGAGAGAGAGAGAGAGACAAGAGACGGAGAGAGAGAGAGATGGAGGAGAGGAGAGAGAGAGAGAGAGACGAGAGGAGAGAGAGGAGGAGAGAGAGGACGAGAGACGAGAGAGGAGAGAGAGAGAGAGAGAGAGAGAGAGAGAGAGAGAGAGAGAGAGAGAGAGAGAGAGAGAGAGAGAGACAAGGGCACGCGCGTAACCGGTCCGCTCGTCGCAATGTCTTACTAGGTTTCCGCGCTGAAGCGTCATTCGCTCCGCATTCAACGTAGCTACAAACACGCAAGGAGAACTACCAAAAGGTAATGGACGAAACCGAAAAGTCCCACGAAACGGTCCCGTCTTCTCGGCCACGCGCGAGAACGCTGGCCAGTAATTACGCGGCGTTAATTGCGCGCGGCGTGATGGCGGTGTGCGTCGTGAAGGGCTCGGGCTCGTGAAACAAAAAAAAGATACTCGGAGGAGAGGACGGGAGGTACTGAAGAGATAACACTGAAAGATCAACGAAATCGGTAGATTTCCAACGGCTGGGCAGGAGAAAGGTGGTAAGGGAGAGGCTGAAGAGGGGGATCGAAAAGAAAATCGATCGGTACTGTTCTGCTTAAAGGGTGCTCTGACCCACAACACATGGACGTTACGTAAGATATAGTGAAGCCCGTGTCGAGGCAAAAATAAATAACAACAACAATAACGATAACAATGATGGCATAACGAAAAAAAGAAAAAGAAAAAAGAAAGATAGAAAATTCTCATTATCGCTGCCTGCCCCCCACGCACGCACGCCTCACCGACTAAACAATAGGTGATATGATGCATTATAGTGAGAAAAAAAATCAGTACTATAGAGAAACTCGACGTGTTGTCCTTCACATACTCGTACTACATTTTTTTCCCTCTTGGCCGCAGGGACTCTTTCGTGCCCTCTAATTTTTTTTTTCTTTACTTTCCGGCTCTCTCGATACGATCTCGCAATCCATCAATCGCTTTGCGCTGACGACGCATCCATGTGCTACAGGTCAGTACAGGCTAGTATACTATATACAGCTATCGTTCTGTTCTACGCGACGGTTCCGTACTTGCGTTACTCTAGAGCCGCAGAGAAAAATGCTCGGGCAATGTTTAATGAAAGTGTGCAACATCGATCATGACAACAATGTGTTCCACAGCCAACAATAGTGGTGCAACGATCAGTTTATAGTGAAGTCTCGTTTCTTTCTTTCTTTTTTTTTTAGTTAAGTGAAAAGGAAAAAAACAACATTGACCGTTCTATCGGCTTATGGAACAAAGCGACAATTGTGAAACACAAGTGATACACGTGTTGTATGCGTTGTGTGGTGTGTGTGTGTGTGTGTGTGTGTGTGTGTGTGTGTGTGTGTGTGTGTGTGTGTGTGTGTGTGTGTGTGTGTGCATGTGTGCGCGCGTGATTAGCACAAGTGCAAATACACGGAGACAGATAGTTATATATAAATACGATAATAGCCAGCACCCCTCGGATTGAACGCAAATATAAAAAAGAAAAACGCAATAGTCTCAGTGTAACAGGATTACATTTATTGTCTCGATCTCTCCCCTGGCTTAGGCATATATTAATTACGTTACGTTTAAAACCATTCGTCGATACCATTCGGCGACTTACAACGAGAAGTAATATCAAGTAAGTCGGCATCAAGGGTACCAAACTGTCCACACGATTATATCCGCGATGAATTTTCCGCGTCACTTCCGGTAAGAGTCGAACAGCGAGATCCGATTTTCTGTTCTCTTTTCTTTTCATTTTTTGTTCGCGTTACAGAAACGCGCGTACGGGAAATCACTTTTTGTCAGTCGTGAAAGATGTCTCGAAGTGGCTGATGGCTGATGAACAAATCGATCGGCAATCTCTCGAGTCATCAAGCAAAATACTCGAAAGGGGGGGGGGGGCGGGAAGCTTCGTACCCTCAATGCGTCGCGCTTTCACTGAGCTTCCTTCACTTATTTGTGACTGTGTGGTACATCCTCGCAATTAAAAAGAAAAAGATTATATGCGACTCCAAGCGTGTCTTTCCCGTGTGTACTTTCTTTTCTCCGTTTGACGTATGGGCTTTAACGGCAAGACGTAAACTCCGGGATATCGGCAAGCGGCGCGCGCTCCGCGAGAGGAGGCTATCCTGCAATATTTCTCACAACAGGACGGCGAATATCTCCGCAGATCACAAGTCAAGCTAATTAGAAGGTAGACCCGTCACCTCCCACCCGCGAATTCTCGCGATTTTGCGATCGCGACGAAACGACGACGTCGCTATCTACAGAATGGTACTGAACCTTCGATCTACAACGACTGTCAGACCCGTCGTGGTAGACAGAAGATTCGTCATTCTCTATGTCGTAACTATATATCGTTATATCGCTAAGTTTTGTACTCGACATCTCATAATAATAAATACTATATAAAGCAAAATCGTAATATTTTTCTTTTCCTTACAAACGAGCACCCTGTATAATTTCTTACAAACGAGCAACCTTTTGTGCTTTCTTTTTTTCTCGGTGTGTTTAATTCTTTTTTTTTTTTTCGTAAGTAACAATTTGTTAAGCCACGATCCATAGGCCGAAATGAAAGCGTTAACCCAAAGTACGTTCGCAGCAAAGTAGCTCTTGTGACAAGACAACGAGACAATAAAAAAAAAAGAAAAAAAAAACTTGCAAGCGTCTTGCCGTTGATCCCAAAGCATGCACTTGCGCATACGCACATTCATTCTTTCTCTTTCTTCTCTCTCTCTCTCTCTCTCTCTCTTTCTCTCTCTCTCTTTCGCTCTCTCCCTCTCACCCGCATTCTCTCCGTGTATTTCTTTTTACATGATTTTTCATCAATATCTCGGCACTATAATTTAATTTAAACATAACTAATAGCAGCACAGTATAGTCCAGTACTGACCTATAATCATTGCGGACGGATGGATTCCGGGAATCTCGCTTCAACCTTCATCGCACATTATCTTCCGTTCTTTATCTACATTCTCGCTCTTTAAGGTTCAGTACTCGCACGTCTACGTATCTTATGTTCATACAAAAATATTAACGTTTGCATATATATTTATAATATATATATATATATATTTCATATGTATATAAAATTTCTCTTACTTTCTCAAGTACTTCATTAAACCATTTGCAGTGAACCATTCGCCTCGCAATACTGCGTAACTCGAGCTGTCGAATTACCGGGGAATTCGCCGGGGAATCTTGCCTACATCGTTACGTAATCCGATTCAAACAGTTCACGTATGAGTGTGTATGTGTGTGTGAGAGAGTATGTGCGTGTGTATGTACGTGTGTGTATGTGTGTGTCATAGATAAAAACTATGACCGATTAAACTTTCATGAGTATTCGTTGCTCTCGAGTCGAACGATTAAGCGTCAACGATTCAAACTAACGACGTACCGCTTCCGAGAGATTTCTCTTCTCGTCCTACGAGTATGACGGTGAAAATTGAGCAAATAACGAACTCCGTGTATTCCACGCGCGAGGATGAAACCGGTCGAGAACGAAACACGAACGGGTTGCGTGAGTGATACACGCATCGCCCGTTTTCTAGAGATTCTCCAAGAGAGATCAGATTTCAAATATAGGAACAATTCTTTTAGCTACGGCGTTATTAAATATCATTACACGGACGATACTTATGTCTAGAAGGGAAAGCGATTGAGACGGATTCGTGTCAACGGCAGAACGTCAACCGTATCGGACCTCGCGAGGAGGACGCGCGGTTTAGGACACTTCGACCGGGACGCGACACATGTATGAAAAACTATCGAAGATTCTCCGTGTAGCCGGACGCGTCAATAACTTCCCGTCACAACCGACATCGATTGTCCGTTAATCGCGCGATGCTAAAAAGCCGAGCGTTCCCGCACGTTCCTGCGCCGTCACACCGCGCGAATGAACAGCAACTGCTAATTCGCGCGTTCTCGCGGCTGACAACGTACGCATGTGATATTGCAATGCTAATGGCTGCAAGAAAGCACAACGCGCAGACTTGGCCCCGGTTGGGAGCGAATTGTGAGCAAACAATGGAGGGACTCGGTACAAGCTTGCCTGGACTTGTTCATCTCATTACAGAGTCTCGTGTTTGTTACGGCGGAAAGATTCGAGCCGACGATAAATCGTACCGCGAGCCGTGCGAAGCGCCCATCAAATTTGGATTTGTCAGTTTCGCGACTTTTGCCGGGGCGATCCGCAAGATCAGACGTCTGCCTTCGGCGTAGAATTCAAAGATACGCGCGAATGTCCCGTGCGGGAGCGAATGTACCCATACATGCCCGGTTTCAACGCCCGGTTTCAGGCAATTCTTACCTGCCACGCAGGTAGAGTACAATTTACGCCGCTAACTCTATAATGGGATGACTATAATCCCATAGGCCAAACACCGATACAGAACAAGTAGTATGTTCACATGAGATAAGAAACAAGAGCGTAATAATCGATTAATAATTAATTATGCGATCGGTATAATCACAGTAGCGGAGACAGTTATATACGTAATATATACTATTTGTGTGTCGTGTGTGTGTGTGTGTGTGTGTGTGTGTGTGTGTGTGTGTGTGTGTGTGTGTGTGTGTGTGTGTGTGTGTGTGTCTATGAATGTGTGTGCGTGTACGTATTCCGTGTACATGCACGTGTTTCTTACGTAAACAACCTTCCGTGATTCGTTTTTTCAGGCACCTTTGCTTACGAGCTAATTGTCAAATAAATATAAATAATAGAAAATAATCTGACAAATCTTAATTAAAAAGATTAGGTAGCTTCCGTTATAGTAAAGTGTGTAACAATAGTCATAGTATAAAAAAAAAAAGAGAGAAAAAAAAACCGAAAGTCACGAGAGCAAATACATCTAGTCTTGCAACTTTCTGAGTATTTAGAGAAAAAGCATATACATAGTGTATATCTACGCGGTGAGACGCACGTAATTGTATCGTCAAGTATCTGCGCCGTTCCATAGATTAATGCGATAGATGAGCGCTTAAGTGTTAATACTCTAATCGAGCAAGAGCAATCGACAACGGTCGCAGGTGTTACGTCGCGTTTGACACAATTGCCTCGAAATTTTCTTTTTCCTTGTTCTACCTTGCCACGAGAGAGAGAATTGACTGTCTGCTGTACTGAAACTGTACGAACTACATGCGCCAGAATGCACGTGGAACACGTGAAATGCAGCGAGTCCGCGTACGATGCTTTTCCACACTACGTGTATAACCGGGTAGAGTCTACGGCATCTATGAACTCGGGGCTGGCTCCAAGGCGACTTGATTTTTTAAAAAAACTGTCGAGAATACAGAAGGTGCACGTACGTGATTACTAGTAACACTCCTCGACACACAAGGAACACCGCGACGCTGCCGCTTCCTCGATCGCCTCATCGAATCTTTGCGGAATTTGCAAAATAATCGAGGATTAATAATATACGTTTCTCTCTTGCCAACGGAAACATTCGGCTCAAAGAAGGAATCTCGTTAAGTATTTTTCAGAAGTCAGCATCTCGTTCCAACTTTTTTCGTTCGGGCTATTGACAGAAGAAGGAAATTTCTCAAATATCCAGATTATTACCGAGCCAATTTGGAATAACGTTAAAATGTTGCAGGTGACACGTGTCACAATCGTGCGAGAGACCTGAGTGAATGCTTAACATCTTTGCCATTGCGGCCCGAAAACACTGTTTCCAATCAATTTACGAGCTGCAAAACGTCAATACGCGCTACGGAGTAGCGTGATTTGAGATAACGCAAGCGCGAATCTCCCTTGGCAAAAGATCCTTCTCGTTACCTTCTGAATTATTTTGCAGATCGACAAAGTTTTATGAAAATCGGAAACGACAGCACCGTGACTATTCCTTTGCCAGACGCTACCGATAATCCGATACAGTAATAATATAAGAAGATATTAGCATGTAAAATCGTTTGCGCGATCCGAGAAAGGATTCGATTACTTTGTCGTACGAAAGTAATTTGGCACTTGTTATAAAGCGCGCAGTAAAAAATCAAGACAAACACGCGTACATGAGGTAATCCAATTGTCATTTCATATGACATGTTTCCAAATGAGAGACAAACTATGTTTATTAACATTACAAGTCTCGTCATCTTTCTGCCCACTTTATAATTGCATCGTTAGACATACGGTTAGTGCGATAGTAGTTAGACGCTATTTCAGCGAATACGGTTATGACAATATTAGATGCGAGAACAAGTGACGCTGATTAAATTTACCAGAAAGAACCATGACGCGTGATGAAAACAGAACACCTTCCGAGAGATTTATAAGGACAAATGATACACTGTAAGGAAGCATTAACAAGACTGTCTGAGCAAGGCTAAAAACAAATCCCTTGAACGCACGACTGAACCCAAATTACTCAGCGAGATACGTGAATGTCCGCCGTATTGATAGAAGCGCTTGTGGCTGTTAATTGAGATGATTAGAAGGGCGATAAGTTGTAACGTGGATCCGTATAACACGCGCAAGAAGACGACAACGTAAACGTCGTATAAAGAAAAGAGAAAGCGACAATTCAAAACAATCCTTTATGATTTGGTTATCGGCAGATTCGATGAATAGGAAGAGATTCGCCGTGCGATACAGATCCACAACAACACGTCGAGTGATCATTAGATGAAGTTGTTAAGAGAACCTGTGCATACTCACATTTTCTCCTGGAGCTCCGAATCCACTCAAATTATAATCACCCATTCCGCTGCCGCTATCTTCCCGTGGTGTACCAGGACCGCCATTCGCAGGACTGTTTTTCATCCCGTCGAGACCGTCACCGTTTAGAACTGGGCCCATCGTATTAGGACCCATAGGTCCCATTGGACCACCTTCCGGTCCGCCACTCATTGGAAAGTCCTAAAATGTATGAATTTTTAATATCATCTTGTCTATATAAATACTTTAAAGCGCCGATTCACTTATTTTCTCCATTATGATGCAATGCAACTTATAAACGAAATATATAATTCATTACGAAAAATATCTGCAGCAAAATTGTAACAAAGAGCAACGCACGATACGTTATTTAATTACAATAAAATAAATTGTAAACTTACACCTGGCATGTTCCCTCCAGGTACAGGCTTCATCATGGTATACATATTTTCTCCCCCGCTATTGCTGCTATCTTGTGGGCTAGGCATGATAGGTGTGCCAGGTCCTGGCGGACCTGTTGATCCAGGCGGTCCTCCGTAGTTACCCGGTGATGACGATGAATAATTCATTGGCTGTGCATCATCACATGAAGAGTTTTTAAACATTTCTCTTCCTCAAGAGCGTGTTAAGAGCAAGTGGAAACATGTGTATATCGATAGACGGAATTCGTCTGTATTTATCCGTACCGTAGATGTGTTTGGTTGCCACTGTTGTCTACCACCGGGAGCAGCCATACTCATTGGCGGCATTCCAGGACCTCCTGGCCCACCTGGGCCCAAAGTGCTATTGGGTGGTGGACCTCGCATACCCGGACCATAGCTTCCAGGACCCATGGGACCCATGCCCGGCCCTCGCGGAGGATTCATTCTTGGATTCATGGGATTCATTCCTGGTGGACCTAAGATAGGAATCCGAGTTTGATACATTCGATCGTAAATGCGAGAATGTTAACTTTGCTCTAATTCTATGTTAATGCTAACTGCTAATTGCGATCTGTAAACTGACGATAAATCGCGGACTTTGTAAAATCTAATAAACTATTTTGTGTATCAAGTTTGTGCTCTATTGTGTACAAAGATAACAATTAAGTGTGCGCTCAAAGTGCCCGAGTGAGAATCATGCTTTGCCAAAGTGAAGATCGAGGTAAAGCAGGTGGATGACATGCTAATCAAGCAACTGTCACCACACAAACACAGTGAGAAGCTCATGCTGAAGATAAAAACAACACTGCGCAGGTTGTGATGCTGAACTGCAAATGATTATTCAACAAGTGAAATATTTGGTAAAAAGAAAATATTTTGCATTAGCTTCTTAATATAAGATTTTTAAGGATCGTTTAAAAGCTATTTCTTGCTTTATTTAGTAACATATAATCGTTATATAATTGGAGTATTAACAAATTTCTTTCTCTGTGAGTACAACATACATAAGCAACATAGTTTTAAGAATGTTTAAAAAATATGCTTGTTAAACACAAATATGATCGATCTTTTCCGCCTGCGTGTGGCATAGAGTCTCGAAATGTGCAAATATTTTTAGTCGATATAAGATGTTCTTGCACACAAATACATTGTGCCGATAAATTTGATGATTTTTTCGCTAATTTTAAAATATCTGTTCCTCCAAGAAAATGAACCATGCATTCACGCCCGTACACTTAATATAAATATATCACGAATATTTTTTCCTTGATATAATACACTTTGCACACATATTATATGCATTAACCTGTTTTTGATGAGAGGATTTAGAAGATTACGGTGCATTCTGCAATGCATTTTGTAAGTCGTATAAACATTGTTTTTGTAAAGTTACACACACATGTCCTTCGTTTAATACACTTCATTGCAATTTTCATGCTGAATGTCATTTTGGATGAGCGAATTATTTTGCAAAAGAGCAAAGCCGGTGCAATTATTTTTATGAAAATGGAAAAAAAACCTTAGAGGCAAGGAGGAAAAAAAAATAAAAGTTAGGCTCGACTAAGTCATGTAAGTGTGATTTGGTTGCTGGGTTGCTTCCTACCTTGCCACCCTACAAATTCTCCAGCTTCGCCTGAGGAACACAAGAGCACACATTAGTACGGCAGGTAGGTAAGGTCAGTTTCATGGTGGTGGTAAAGCCTAGTTATTTCACAGTGGTTCAGCATATATGTTTATTTTAGGAAAAATGTTTTCAACTAATGAATTATCTTTAACATATTTATAGTAAAGTGAAAAATAACGTATATAAAGTTCCAAAAACCATTTGTGTAAAAACCCACAATATTTTAAGAACAAGATATTCTTCTGCAGAAATTGCACTTTTGCAAGTTTAAATTTTAATATGACGAAACATCTCAGGAAACATTATCGTATACTTTATAGCATAAAAATCATTTTCTTGTGAAAAAGAAAAAATATAAATCATAAAAGCGTATCAAACGTTGGTAAAAAAAATACATATTTACATACAAGTTACAAAAACTGACTTTTTAGCAATCATACGCAAACTGCACCACTGCTTATAACTAGACAATTCAAAAACCAATCCACTCCACATCACAGCAATCCAATCCAATTTAAAATATTACTTATTCGTTTGTTGCTGTGTGGTTTTTGGTACGCATGCGTCTATGCCATTCTCCTTTCGCAACTTTCGTTAATGCCAGAAAAAAGTAATGTAATACTGGCATATTAAATGATCTCTCACCTTGCCTAGTAGGATCCATACTATTTGGCATCATTGGCTGTCCTGGTGGCTGTGAAGAAAATAGATAAATAATGTTAAAAATTTATAATACATGTACAATGACATAAGTGTGTGCAGCTCATTCGCGATATAATTTACATACACGATTTAAAGTGAAAGAAAAGAAAATCAGAAGAAATAAAAGTATACAGTCTACTGTCGTGACATTTTATTTATTTGAAAAAGATATTTCTAAGCTTTGACCTAGAGAGAGACTTAATTAGAGACATGTATATTTTTATCCTTACCCCGTTAAAGTCATTTGCCATTTGTGGCATACGTACTCCAGGTCGTGGTCCTGCCGGATATCTGGGGCCCATAAACTGTAACAGAAAGTGAACTCTTGCCATATCACTCACCAACAGGGATGACTTGTCAAAGATTTCAAGTTGTAAATTAAGTATTCATAAAGTGTAAGTCATGATTACTATACACAGAATCGACTAGATATAGTATAAATACCAGGCAGCCACAATAAGCAATCCGTGAGATGATAGGCCATAAAATATGCATTTCAATCAAGTTCATCGCAGCACATTAGTTGGTAATATCATGTTCTAAGGTGCTTTCTGACAAACTGAGAATATGTAAATCGTTTATCGTATGTTGTAAATATATATAAAACACTTCGGTACACGGTAAACACACGAGGGAAAAATTGAGACAATATCACCAGCGACGAAGGTTAGTTATATAAGTTTCAGCTGTACTATGATATGGTGCGATGACACAGCGGAACAAGTGATTCTTCATGAGTGAGAGTGTATGTGTTGAATGAGGCTTACCTGAGTGGACATCATCTGCGAGTGTGGGGGCGGGGGTGGCTGGGGGTGCTGGGGGGATGGCTGTGATGAGGGGTGTGTGGGCGGAGATGGTCGCATTGTCGAGTTGTTCTGCAACAAGCAACGCAAACGACAGACATGTAGCAACACTGCGATCCAGGCAACAGCTAGACTAGAAGGCTTGGGGATGATTGTGTTAATACTATGTCGATCAGAGCATCTTGAAAGTTACCCAGAAGTTGTAATTAGGAAAATCATTCGGATGATGTCTCAATCCGCTGTTGTACGATTTGTTTCTTTCTTTTCGTAATTACAACTCGTGCATGACGAAAGATTTCACTAGATTGTGAAATGAGACAGACAAGAGTACAAGATGCCAATCAATTATAAATGTACAACATTGTAGAACGTAAAACGACTTTGTCGGAAAAGTATGATGACTCCTAAGCATTACAGGATAACTATATTAAAGAAATCTAGAGAAAAACCGCATTGCTTATATACTGTATGTAGCATTTTATCTTGATCTAATCTAGTAGGGGATGGGTATTTTGACAAGCGACAGATGCATGATTTTTTTTTCATTTTCCCTTAATATCCGCATATATATATATATATACATATATATATATATACATACATACATATATGTCCATATATACATATATATCAAATTTCTATATATCTTTCTATTTTTCTCATATAGTCAATGCGAATGTTATCATACATTCCTATACCAGCATTACAAGATGTATTAAATATATCATTTGTTATATAAAAAAATACAAATAAAATATTAATAAAATATTGATGATTTAATAAAGAAAACGATTTATAATCTCCTGTTTTTATAATTAATTTTTTTTAAGGTACTATCATCATAAATTATATAAAGATATATATTGTACAATTATAAAATTATATGCATATTTACATATTTTGTATATTCCAGAATTGTACTGTTCTTCTCTCAATCTTTTCATAAAGGTTAAGTTAATGCATAATTTAATCAATATCTCTCAAATTAATAATTCCCCCGATAAAATAAACGAATTTGTGAAAAGACTAGACTACACTCTAAGCAGGCTTCCATGTTAGTTATTCTATACATTCTAAAGAGTATAACTTGAGCTGGCTGTGCAATCCAGTGAAATGTCAAGACGTATTTCGCAAATGCGGCATTGCGAACGGCATATACACATCTATAATATTTTTACATACCACTGTAACACGACCAGCACAAAGTAGTACACTCGTCACAATATGTTTATTGTATCACAGTATTGGTGCTGAATGTATTCTAACATTTATATAGTCCTGTTTTCGATAGAATTTCTAGATTTGCTTTCTTTTTATGCGCCAAGGAGATGAAACAGTGAAAATGGTACAAGAACGCACATACAAGTATTAGATAGAGAGCGGAAAGAAAGTAAGTACATATATACAGTATAGACAAGCATGACATAAGAACGTTTTTTGAATGTACACTTGTTTCAAAACGAAGTGACCATGACTACGACCAGTGTGTACATTTACTGGTAACATAGGGATACATGTTTGTAGAATAAAAACGTATTATATAAATAATGTATAATATATAATTCGTCTTCTGAGGTAAAGGTGTGTGTGTGTGTGTGTGTGTGTGTGTGTGTGTGTGTGTGTGTGTGTGTGTGTGTGTGTGTGTGTGTGTGTGTGTGTGTGTGTGTGTATTTATAAAAATATTAGTTGTAACACCCCTATTCACATATAAATTATGTAAGGAATTCTTATATCAATCGACAATTATATCTCTCACTAGTATTTAAGCAAAACATTAACGTATTCTTTATTTGTTCGGATACTTCTTGTGTTTCCTCTTGATCTCTATTACATCAATTATATGTAAAATAAGCTACTTCTTTATTATTCTATTGTGCTAGATAATTAATAATTAAATTAGCACTAATAACCAATCCCGTTAATAATTTAGACTTGATTATTAGTCTTTATTGTAGGTAAATTTTTATATTTTATTTTTGTACTTACTATGCTTTGAATCAAGTGTAAGTTTTAATAAACAAGAACTATGCATGACAATGATAACAGATATATGACAATGTATATATACATATAAATGTACTAGATTAATATGTAAAAAAAAAGAAAACAACTAGTTTGTTTTATTTTAAAACTTTTACTTTTTAATTTTCTTTTCACAAAATTGCTCTAGTGTTTTTCGTGCAGTTTACTCAAAAGAATCTAAAAAGTTCCATTATTTAGACTGTCACAATAAAGATAAATCGAGTATTAAACAATTCTTCAGCTCATTGTAAACTAGAAGAGATCCTAATACTGAACTTTGCAAAGACAATTTTAAAGAGAGCAATTGTTTCGAATTGAAATCAAATGCTAATGACCCTTTCTTTCACTGTACGTTTCACAAGTACAGATTGAGGGAAACGAATGATGTTGAAACATTTGAATATTATAGAATGAAAAGAAACTCACAGGGAAGAAAGCAGGAGGCATAGGACCACCAGGCATTCCATCATTCGGTGCCATTTGACCGATTGGAGACGGAGCTGGTCCAGCATTCTGTAAATAATTTGTAGTTTCTGTAGTTGACGGCGACTCTTCCTCTCAAAAGAGAAAGCTTTTCTAACAAATATATTATGCTGTTCAATATACAAAAATAATTGAAACTCGCTATGCATCGAAAATTGCGCTAATTATTACGCAATACTAATGTGTTAGTATGCGTTAATATACTACGCAGAAGAAAGATTAATATAATAATATGTACAGAAGTCGACATAATAGACTTAACACGTAGTGACTACGATTTTCAAACACACACGCATGAATACGTACAGTCGAAAAATCGTAGCCATTACGTGTTAATGGCTATCACGCCGTTCTCTGTATGTTTAACTCAAGCGTACACATCAACTGAGCATAAATCTGTCAACGTACGTGGGCAATGCCATTGACGTTGTAAGCACTGTTCACAAATCCCTGGAAACAGAACATTTTACATAATATCCAAGGTTTTAAGACAGTCAACGAAGGACTGAATGGCAGATGTCAGCGCGTAAGTGCCAATGACAAACTCCGAAATACAGCACACGTAAATGTATACCAAATGCCAGTGACATAGCTGAAGGAAGCTCAAAGTGTGAAGACTAAACTGTTTGGTACATGTCTATAGGGCGCTGAATTTAAGATTTTGTCGTCGATACTCATTGTATACTTATGCACTAACGCATAAGTTACAAGCGATTAGTGCATTTACTACATTGTACTTCAGCGCATATCTTAGGCCTACTTACATAATCATGAAAAGCTTTGGCCTCGCTGCTATGTTCACAAGTATCTCTTCGTTCCGGCGCTGCACAATATAAGTCCCAAAAGACACTGAAATAATTCCACAATTATTTTTTACATTACACAATTTAAATCTCTTGATAATCGAATTATGGTCGAATTAGCTAAAGCTAACTGCCAAATATACCGATAATACTCACCACCACCAAGAGTGTAAGAATCCAGGAGGTTCTCCAAGTGTAATATTCTTTTCCCATCGGATCTGCACCAATCGAAAGCTACGTTATAGCATATAGCACTTGGAAACAACGATGATACAAACGTAAATATTGTAACATTGGATTATTACCTCTGAGAGGAAGGTCTGTGCTGCTTTCTGTGCGCCTACATGTAGCAAGTATTCATATACATAAAGAGCCAACCTGAAACAATCATAACGTGTCAGTTGCGCTGCGAATCAAAGACTATCGATCAAGGAGAAACTTTAAAGGGATCACAACCAAACGAATACAAGGAGAAGTTCAAAACAACGAAAGACGCAAAAATGGTAAGCGAATTGCACGGACAACAACAATCGGTCACTCTTCGCGCTGGGCATTCTTGTTTTCATCATTCCTCTTAGAAAGCCCGTACTTAAATCAGGACTGCCTTTACGTCGCATTTCCTTACGGGATCGTCCGTTAAACGTAAAGTTAATGTCGACTTTCCCCACGTAGACAGCAACACGGCAATAATGCATCCAACGAACGCATTACTTACGACGAGAGACCGGCTTCGCCGCCGTAACGATACAAACATGGCGCGGAATTACGCCGACGATCCGCGAATCGGAGCGCGTACTCTCGGTGAACTGACAACGCGCGCGGATCAATCGCCTTTACGTGAAAGCGGGTTACGCGCGCTAGGAATCCGGGGTAAACACAACTTCCTCATCAGTCGATTTCATTTTTGCCATTAGTCTTTTCGAAACCATCGATTTTCCGATCGATTCGACCAGTTTCCTTTTTCAGAATCTTCGACACACACCTCTCGATGCGTGATACCTAAACATTCTTCATGTTTTATTGTTTGCATTTACTAATGCAACCTGACCTGCAACAATACGTCAATACGAGTGTAGAGGATGATAGATTTTATCAATGGGCCAGCGAAATTGTCAGTTTTCAATTGATATATTCACTAGAATCACGACAGTTCAAAGAACAACCGTAAATTAGAGTCAACTGGCATGAACGCCGTTGTCACAGCGACTAATCGCATCAGATTTTGACGGATTGAGCCTCGTTTAAAAGACTTCCTGATCTCATCCTAGATAGAAATGATAAAAAGAAAGATGCGATTAGCGCAGTCGGTTCCTTTCCAATACTACCTCCCTTCTCCCACTCCCTGCAATCTTTCCTCCCCTCTCCCCATCGTCAAAAATCTCGAAACGTTTCTTTCCTTTTAAATGCAGAACAGGAAATACAGTACGGGTAAAAGGGACAGATGTCACACTTTATTGTATCGCGACGCAATGAAGTATCAAACGGCAGAATCTACGTCGCCGATCACGGCTGCTGAACGCGATTTCGAATTACCGAATGGCTACTCCGATCGGGGTCGCTCGCCGGCTAATTAGCTGTAGCCTAACTTTCTAAGGGAGATCGGTCGGACTAATCCGCTCGTTTCCAACGTTTCGCCTTGCACTTTCAAAGTGTACCCGCGCGGAGGCCGTTTCGCGCCATCACGACGGCCTGTCGCACATAGTATATACATATAGCTGAACATTGTAACTAGGGTCACCTGTGCGACTTTTGATCTTAAACGTCGTACGCGTCGGGTTAAGAAGCGCGCAGAACTCTACTGAAGTATCGTTACGGCATATGCCTGGTGTGCATACGTAATGCCGCGTCGAAATTCAAAACTTTGGAATCGAAATGATGAGACGCGAGCGTTCACGACGGCGTCATCTCGCGAGGTTCGCGAATCCGTATAAATTTCATCTGGTACGACAGCGCGCGTCGTCTTTGCCGCGCGGACGATCGAGCCTTTCGTATGTCGAGACTCGAATCGATCGACAAGGGGAGAAGGAGGAGCGGGAGGAGGAGGAGAAGAGGAGGAGGAGAAAGAGGTAGAGGACAGCGGGGAGCACGGAGAGAGGGGCATCATGACGTTCGCAAAACGGGGAAAAGAGACGGACGAAAGAGCACAAATCGACGGCTCATCGGTAAACTGGATTAACCCGACGAACCGGGTTCTCCGGTCGCGATGTATATACGCGCGCGGGTACATACTCCGAGCAAAAAGAACCGGTGAACGGCGACGGCGACGGCGACGGTGGCAGCGACGGCGGCGGCAGCGGCGGCGGCGGCGGCGGCGGCGACGACGGCAACGGCAAGGGGGAAGATCCGCGGATATGAAGGAGCGCGGGCTGAGGGGAACACGGGGAGACGAAGGAGGAGGGGAGGCAGGAGGATGCACGAGAAAAATGGAGTTACTGGGCGATCAATGGCCGGCCGGAATTTTCACGACGGCTCGCCGATTCTTCCTTTCCATTGCCCCCCTCGCCGCTGCGCCAGCCTTTTTCCCCCGACACATACGCTGCGCACGATACGTACTTTTCTCTTGCTTGCGAGTCCGAGGGCACCGACGACCCTTTCCCTTTCGCGTACATCGTCGTCGTGGTGGCCGGTCAGTTCTTCCAGCGTAAACACAAGCGCGCCCGCCGCCAAGTTCGCTCCGTTGGGCGCGCTGGACGGCCGAATGAAAAGAACGGCAGCGGAGATCGGGTACTGTGCGTATACGTACACGCGCGTGTATGTATGTGTGTGCGTACACCGCTCTCTCTCTCTCTCTCTCTCTCTCTTGCTCTCTCTTACTCTCACTGTCTGTCCCTGTCTCTCGTTCTCACACTGTCTCACTCTGTCCCTAGGGCGACGGTGTGTCTTTTCAACGTGTGCTGCTAGTCGTTCCGCTGTCGACGACGTGCGACTCGTGTCGAACGAAATACGAACGTACACTCCACTGAGAAAGGTGCGCGCACTTCGGCGCGCTCGCGCGTGCGCTCCCTCTGTCTTTTTGTCTCTCTTTTGCTCCTCTCTCTCTCTCTCTCGCTCCTTTATTCGTCACTATGTCCCTGTCTCACTCACACTCTTCTTCTCTATCTCTATCCCTCGTAGTCGCTACCTCTGTTTCACTCGAACTCTGTCTCGCTCACTATGTGCCGAAAGGAGTCGCGGGAGGTGAGTACTGCTCTCCCTCTCCTTCTCTCTCTTTCTCGTCTTATTCCACCGGTCTTATCCGCTCGCTCGCACGAGACGAAGGTCTTCTCCACCCCGCTTTCGTCGCGTCGCGTCGCGTCGCGTCGCGTCACGATCACGACACGTCGCGAAGCGTCACAACCGTAGCGAGGTAGCTCACTGCTGTTGCGCGGTACTAGGACGACACCGTGTGACGTACACCGTTGTGTCGTCGTCAATTCAGGTGCGTTGCTGCAGACGTCGTCTCGACGTCGTCGCCACCGTCGCCGTCGTAGTTGTCTTCATGGTCCTTCCACCGTACTTGTTCTTCTCATGCGATCGCCGTCATTCTCTGGAAGTACCGTACCAGTACGTCCTCCCCGTTGCTCGCGTTTCCTATTGTCTCTGATCACTGCCACACCGCGTCGCCTCGTCGTCCTCCGTCTTTGTCGGTTCTTCGCCGACTCTCTCACTTCTTCTCTCTCACTTCGCGTCGCTCACTTTATCCCGAACGCTCGTTCGCTGGTCGCTCTCTCGTCGACTCGTCCCGCCTTGCTTCTTGAACGCGTTGCCAATCACCAGCACCGGGACTCGCAGACACAAACGTATCGATGACGGACGCAGCTCGGGTTGATTTAAATCCCGATCGCGCGTCCCGGTCGTCGCCAAGAGCCGAACGTCGCAGCTGTCTCTCTCTTTCGCGCGCGCGCGCGCTCGTTCGCTCGCTCGCTCGCTCGTCTTCGACAAGTTTCGGCTTTTGTCGCGCGCGCTGCCCGAGAGCGTCTCGCGGCCGACACGGGAGAATGGTGTATCACTGTTTCGCAGTATATGTGGTGTACAACGTGTATACGATTCGCGCTATCGCGACACACGTAACGGGTACCCACGTACGCAAGCGCGCGTGCACGCACACCCGAGCGGTGAGACGAGGACGGACGACCGAGGAAGAAGGGAGGAACTTACCGCTCGTGTAAACACGAGCAAGTTCGGAAGTGTGACTCGTAGGAGTTCGCACGCGCTGCACGACTACACGCAGATGAGTGGACGGTGGATACATACGTGCCTCTTTCCTCTACCTTTCTTCCTCGTTACATTTCCTCTTGCTCGCTCGTAGCCGCCACTCAACGCGCTTCTCTTTCTTTCTCTCTCTCTCTCTTTCTCTCTCTCTCTCTCTCTCTCTCTCTCTCTCTTTCTCATTCTGGTTTGCGATATCGATGCGCTATCTTCATCTCTCGAACTGGCTGGGAGTGGTGCGCGCGCATCGCCGTTTGTTATGTCAGGACCGTATCAAGACGAGCGAGAAGGCGAGTCCGAGGGGCTTTGTCCATTCTCGTCTCAGTATACGCGATATTTTTCCTATCGATACACAGGTGAATCGATATCATATCACGGTGCATGGGTGCAAGCAGAAGATAAATTCCAAGGACACGGATTTTTCTAACTCGAAATTCCTTCAAAGTCGTTGTCTTTTTTGTAAAAAGTCCGTGAATTTCTCGTCAATGCATGATCGCACTGGTTCTTATCGATACTGCAACTACGAGTCATGTCGTGCGTTGAAAATCATTTTTATGTATTTCCCTGAGAGAGAGAGAGAGAGAGAGAGAGAGAGAGAGAGGCCAAGAGACTCGGGAACCTTGGAAATATCGTAATGAGAATAGCAACGATCGTTGTTGCAAGTTGCGCAGCGATGCGGCTGCACAGCGAATTTGAGCTGGTCGAGAGATCGATTGACCTGCGTTCGTAGCTGCGCTCAGTCCGGAAACTGCGACCGAGTTGCTTTTATTGAATATCGAAAAAAAATAACGATTCTCGATCTTCTTACTTCCCTCTGTAGAAAGCTCGTCGAATCTACTCGTCAGACTGATGCTATTAAAAGATACTTCGACTGAAGAAATTCTGAAGTCATCGCGTGGAGCACCGGTCGCGATCGTATTTACGGAAAATAATCATGACTCCTCGGATCGTCGATTAGATATCTCATGACGAGCTTGCTATATATACGCTCGCTGTTTGTACGCGTCAGATTACATGACGGCAAAAAAACGGTGTTTGACTGCGCTCGACATATTGCTCCTTCCACGCGTCGCCAAGGTATAATTATAATACGCTCATTTCTTCGTCGACCTTGCCTTGTTAGGCTCAGGCTTGTCATTAGTAGCGGCAACAATGTAGCGCATTACTGTAGAGCGAAGGCGTGAATCTTAGACACGGATTCTCCTGCAATTATCACGATCATCGAGTGTCTCATCGGTGCAAACACCGTTACGAACGGCGATCGAACATTTCACGGCGGAGGACACCTCGGCCGCGCGGTTGCACATTGCGCGGTTAAAAACGCGCCGATATTGGGATAGGTCGATACTGCGAATTGCAATAAAGGCGCAGGCGTAAAACAAGGGAGAAATTATACGCAACACGTTGGCGGCACATTGTTGAATAAAGGACGAAAGCGCCGAAAAGGACGGAATGATCGGGGCCCGGGTGGAGGAAACGGCACATTTGAGCCCGCTTTTGGCACAGCACTGACTGCATCGCGGCGTCTGATTGGACAGGCGCGACGGCGATGCACACACAGTGTGCACACACCGTTGAAGTAGCCGCTATCGGCGTGCGTATGTCGACAACCGTGGAAGCGCGAGGGAGGAAGCGAAAGGGCCGACGGCTGAAGAGAGCAGGGTCCGATTATGCCCGAGCGCCGGCGGACACGTCCGACGTGAAATAGCCGACAATTGACGCGATAGAGAGTTTGGTAAGAGGAGCGGCGGGCAAGAGGAGACACGTGCTGTTCTCTCGGCTGTACCGCTTCCCCTTTTTCAATTTTATCGTGCGATCGACGTGCACATCGTCGTCGTTCGGCGACGTCGCTATGCGAAAACTAGAGAGAGGAAGAGAGAGAGAGAGAGAGCTGACCTCCGGTAATTCTTCTTTCCTTCCTTTCTTTCTGTCATTCTCCTTTCGCTCGGCCACGAGACAAATCGCGCGCCGATTCTCCGAGTCACTGGGAAATTAATCGGAACTCGGTTCTCGTGCACTCTCGGGAGACAGAATTCGCGAGCATTTAGGTTGCATTACATCGTGTCGGTAAGCTATATCCGTCACGACCGCCGCTTCTCGTACTTGTGTGCATCCATCTGATGTACATGGTACAACAAGCTTGCCGTCGTGGAGAAGAGCGTTTCTCTCTATTACGTACCAGTCGTAGTCTCTCAAACGTGAGAACATTCTTTTCCTCGATCGTCTACGCTCGAAAGATCCCTCGGCCGCTTGCTCTCTGCTTTTGTGATGATACAACACAAAGAGAAAACGATGCAGCAGAAGGGAGGGGGTACTCTGGTTCTAGCGACTTCTCTCGTATGCTGTGAAGCTGTGCACAAGTTTTCAGCTCCACATTGCAGGGCTGATTTCGCCCGCGAATTAAATACATAGACGAATAAGAATACTTTTGGCGCTCGAGGTCAATTTTTTAACGAATTTCTGAAAGAAACTTATCGAAATCTGGACCCACTCTATGTTAGAAACTGCTCTTTAGATATCGTTTATATGCGTTTCCTTTATTCCTGGCTATCCGTGACGCTACTGCGACACTTCGTGCGCCTTTACTCTCTTTCGCTGACGTCTACTTGCGTGATGACTTTGTAACGATGTATTTTTCCAAACAACATTGCAAAACATCAACTTCCCAAAGTTTTAAAACATCTTACCGAGGTATTCTGCGACGATTTTACCCTCGTATGTAATAATGGATTTCCTTTCCAGTTTTCCCTGCCACGATGGACGGTCCAGGTACTTTTACATGGGAAGAATTTGTTGCAAATGCGAAAGAATTTCTTGCTCTTTCAGACGAGCTTCGTGATAGGTGGGAGTTTTGTGGTAATCAGGTACGTGCATTTTTAGAGAAGTGCATTGAATTGTTTGCAAATTCTTATATATTACAAGCTAAGTGAGTTTAAATATGTATCTTAAATTGTACTGAATGTGGAATCTTTGTAGATTCAGCGATTTCATAAAGAGATCTCTCTCCCTAGGCTCTTGATATATTTTTAAATCATGTTTAAATTATAAGAAAGTAGTATTTTCTGAACGACTAAATTTACAAATATTCTACAACACTGATATTGTTAACAGCACGTTTGCAATTTTATATTTTGCCTATATAGTTTGCTCTAAAAATATATAAAATTTAATATCTACATGTCCAAAAATCTGGTCTTGATTCAAAATGCATATTTGACCAAGTGCCAAGGTCGATAGCAAAATAAGTATATTATTGTTCTAATAATATACAATGTCTAAGTATGTTTAATGGCATTTGTAATTTGTAATGTCTTTATTTTATTGTAATAATGATGCTCAGAATATTCCTGGACAAGCGTACCTAGTTAAAAAATCGATGTGCTTTGTACGATGCGATGAGGATGTTTCGAGGAAAAAGGACGACAACTTCTTGTCTTCCCCACATTTCGGATCCGAGGTGCCTATCGTTACCGAACATCACATATTATGGTCTATGAGTTACAGCGTCCCGGTTCTCTACTTCAACGGATGGAAATCGGGTAACTTGACGCGATGTCAATCTTATCGTAAAATCAATTCTTGACAATCGAAAAGATATATCAAAATTGCATGACTCATTAATTGCTGTAATTTTCGCACGTAGATTATTGTAAAAGGAAAGAAAGAGAATTATTTGCATTATAAATTTCGCCGTGAAATTTATATCCTATTTTCTCGGAGAGAGAAAAATTTGTGCGCAATTTTGAGGTCTAATCAATAATTGATTCATTCGTTTGATTTCGGGTTCGCGATTTCCCTAGAGGAGATGATAACAACAAAGTTTAGGTTTGTTTTTCTACATGGGTTCTCTTGATTCTTTCATGCCAAAACATCAATTTTTAATACCTGATAATATCTGACTTCGTATTATCGATTTTAAGTACTTAATTATAAGCCTTTACTGTCTATTTCGGAACATAAGACAATTATCAAACTTGCAAAACTAAACCGTTTCATTTTGTTCACTGTATACAAAAATTTCACAATGAGCTCAGATTCATTCGGATGATCAGATTCAGCACGAAATGCACAGCTGAAATACGGACCGTCATCTCCCTATCCGGAATTCCAGTTTCCCCGGGCTTCGCACGTTCACCATTCGCAAAAACCAATTTGCGTCCCTTGATAAAAATATTTCACGTGTACTGCGTAAAAAATGCTTGACCGTTCGCATAAGTCGTGCGATTTTAACGAAAGATATTTGTCGAGCTCGTCGATTTGTTTCGGGCGGAAAGTACGGCTGGAACACATTGTAGAGTTTCGTAAATTCGACCAATAGATGCACAGTATGCGGTTGCGGATACATTCGTGTTTCCTCGCTCGCGTTCATCGTTTATTGATTACAAACGCAGCGTGTTCGTCTATTTCAATATTCGCGCAGATATTCCGGTGGCATAATTCATCTCGATAACACATTTCAGCGGAGCGGAAATAAACGTAAAATTGCTCAAGTGGGAATAAATGCGTACGCATGCATGCTATTTGGATTAATTAACGCCGAACGTTTTTTTTTTCTCCATTTTTTTCTTATGTATTCATCAACGAAAAGAAGCAATTGTCGTGAGAGACGTCATCTTCTTTCCCCCTGTTTTAGGTTATCCCGACATGAAACCAGTGAACGTGGACGAGGCTCGAATGGCCCACAGTTTACAGCTGAATTACATGGAATTATCGCAAGCGATCCACCCTATCATCGGCACTCCGTTCCTGCAATTGCATCCGTGTCAGTCGCAGGAATTGATACGAAATATGCCGAACAGGTGAACAATGCAGCGGGATATAATAATAATGATAAAAAAAAAACGGAAGAGAAATCGTATCTATATCGTGATAAGCCAATCACGCGCGATCACGCTTTTTCGTTCTTTACTGAATGCCTCGTAAATGTTGTAGCAAAAATAAACTCGTCAGTTGGCTGAGTTGCGTGGCATCTGCGGCCCTAAATCTCAACGTGAATTCGGAATACTACAAATTGACCGCCGAACGCACTGGTTATCTTGGGCTACTGCGGCAGTAATAAACATCTCGTTAAAGAAATTCTCACTCGAATATGTTAACATATTATTAACGTACTTAAGTATATATTTTTTATTAAAGAAGGATAAAAAGAGGAGGAAATAAAGAATGATAATCTAAGGACGAATGTGAGCATCGGCTAAGTGGCCGTTTACCGGTGATCGGTCATTCATTGCCACCGGTGTGCACCGAGATTCCGCTCGTCTCGAAGTTGCCTGCGAATAGTTCGATGTTATCTTCGCTAAAGTATACGCGAGTAATTCCAGTCACGAATATTCGACGACGATTGGAATAGAATCGTACGCTGACGGCAACGACGTCGGCGGCGGCGGCGAAGGCGGCGGCGGCGACGGCGGCGGCGGTGGCGGCGGTGGCGGCGACATGGCGTCACCGGATCTAGCATTGACCCACGTCGGCCGCGGGCCGGGTAAATTGCTCGCAATTGGGCGCGTTCGCGTTCTCGCGCGCCCGCGAAGAGACCGGAGCGTGGAAAAGAGAACGCAATTAATGCGACGGGCAGTGTGTGAGCGCACGATTAATTTGCGCAAGGACAATTTACGTGCGTCCCCGGAATGTTTATTTCCCAGCGCGGAGGCGTATGCTTTTTGCACGTACGCATCGGGTTTCCCCCCTCCCCCCTCTCTCTCTGTCTCTCTCTCTCTCTCTGTCTCTCTCTCTCTCTCTCTCTCTCTCTGTCTCTCTCTCTCTCTCTCTCTCTCTCTCTCTCTCTCTCTCTCTCTCTCTCTCTCTCTCTCTCTCTCTCTCTCTGTCTCTCTCTCTCTCTCTCTCTCTCTCTCTCTCTCTCTCTCTCTCTCTCTCTCTCTCTCTCTCTCTCTCTCTCTCTCTCTCTCTCTCTCTCTCTCTCTCTCTCTTTCTCTTTCCTGCTATCTCGCGTATCTCGTATCTTGTATTCACGTGGCACGCGTACAACAGTGCTTCTCAACCCGCCGTTGTCTGCCGGTGCGACTCGATGCCTCGCTCTATGCGCCCGGTAATAATCCCGTTATTCTCGTCCTCCGTACACCCGGCCCGTGAATGCCCGCCTCGCAGGACACGTGCCGCTGCTTTAAATTACAATAGCAAATGCACGGTGTCGTTCATCTATTGACCTTCATTCAGATTAGTCGCATAGTGCTTATTGTACTTCCTCCTTCGGTCATATAAAAAACGTCAAAATGCTTGTCGTGCGTTGTCGTTAACAGTCGTTGAGGATGCTATCGCGTGCTATCGTGAGAGAGAAAAATGTATCCCGACTAGGACGAAGGAGGAGACTCGGTCTGTTGTTCTCACGCTCGAGGAGAAGTTGATCGTAGCAAAAATTTAATTCGCCGATTGCACGAAAGCGCCGCTCGAGCATACCGGTGTTCCTCTGTTTATCGTGCTTAGGCGATGCTCATTCATGTTGACCGTATTTCCGTTAGCTCGAGCTGGAAGCGGGCTACTGCGAACCGTTAGATAAAAAACGGCACGACCTTTCTTTTGACGTTACTAAACAAACGCGTAATCCATCGTCGATCGCGATGCTAGTTTATGTCAAATTGCGTATGTCTTATATTTCAAGTTGCATACATTTTTAATTTTCCATTTGACCAAATCCGTCGCAAGTACTCATGACTCTTACATAACAGTGAACGTGTGGCGGGACGATAAGAGGCGACGACGCGATAATCAATCAAGTTCCCATCTTCCCGAGAATAATACACAATTTCTGCGAACGCGGTACTGTCAGGGGTCGGATGATTCTCGAAGAAAAAGAATGAGTCGGGAACGTGGACTAAATTTGTTTTCTTTGCCCCACAGAATTGATCAGTCCCGCGGAAAGTATCGTGAACGTTCTGCGTGCAGAAAACTGTTCTTCGTCTTCATCTTCACTCGCAAACTTCCGGCTCGTCAGGGACGACAAGATACTCTTTGTACAAGAGCAAGTTGAATGATTCGTCGAGGCGCGAATAGTCGCGGTAGTCGCTGGCTCCACCTATAAAGGCGATCGAAGCTGCACGGCCGTGTAGAGAAAGGTCCGCGCGCTTTTCGAACCGACCTCGACTGTCGCGCGACTCGACTCTCGTGCGATCTCGCAACCGTCTTCGCGCAATGCGTACAGTGAGTTGACGCCGCGTGCGCGCGGCAGCGAGTAGTCTCCGTCGCATGTCGCGACCCGCCCGGCGTGCTATTCCGTCGTGCGACACGCTACGTTTGTGCGTAACCGGAAACGGAACGAAGAGGAAGATCGTCGCGCGCATTACCGTATTCCCCAGCAGCAAACGAGTATTCGAAAGACAGGTGGAATAGTCTCATCTGGCGCGAAATCCTCGAAATCGCAGCGACAGGAAGAAAGTTTGTCGAAGGAGCGGAAGGTGGACGAAGGAAGGCGGTGTTTTATCCTTTCCTTACTTCGACCGCGAATGTCGCCGAAATATCCTTCCGAAACGGATGCTGCGGAGTATCAAATTCGATCTCGATCGTTCGACTTGTACGGGAGACTGTCTCCTCCTCCTTTCACTCCGCGGCCGCTCGCCGTTAAGATATCGCGAGCCTGATTCTCTCCTGTCGCGCGATTATCACGGTGTGATATCATTTAAATGATAACTCGAAACGAGCGGAGGCGCGGAAACGCGCGACGCGCCGCGCCGCGCTCGTTATCTGAAATTCAGGAGGCGTTATATCGATCCCCACGATGCGTCGCGTGGGCAGTACCTCCTGACATCTGATTCGTTCCGTTCGTCAGGTGGAAATAGAAGCACGCAGATAAAATCCAGGGTGTCAATGAATTTTCCATGGCGACGCGTAGAATATCGAAGGAGTGGGAGGGCGCGAGACGAGAGATACACGCTTTATATATCGCGTTGTCCTCGGATTTTCATCATGCTTATCGTAACACCCGCCTCTCACCCTCCCCGTTTCTCGAAGATGAGCTCGCACGCCGATTTCGAAGCGTAAATGTGAATGTTTTGTACGATTTCTTTTTTATTTGCGGCCTTGAGAATTCCTCGTCTCGTCGAGTCTACTAAATCGATTCTCGTTATTGGGTCTTCTCGACACGACGGTCGAGACGACGGTACTTTTGCCGGACGTTTTTTTCCCTACCAAGGGACCCTGGTTTCGTTATGTAACAAACCAGACGTTCGTTGCGAAAGCACCGTGACGACGACATTCGTCTTTCTCACACGCTTCACAGTGCTTCTATGAAAAATAAGTAGAAATGATGAGTGAGACGAATGAAATAGAGCGAGCGAGATAACGATTTGCCAAAATACTGGTGTCACAAAAAAAGCTGTAGAAAAAAGTGCTCGTCAGCCCGAGCCGGAGAAAGGCCCGAGAAAGGCTCGACGACCTCCTCCCCCGGGCAATCGAGACACACACGCACGTGCGACCGAATGCCGGCGAGACTGCGCCGGCGAGCGCTCATGAATCGCCACGATTTTTTGCTTCACCCACCGGTCGCCGATTTATCTCTCTCTTGCTCTCTCTCTTTCTCTCTCTCTCTCTCTCTCTCTTTCTTTCTCTTTCGTCGCGCTTCCCGCGTCTCCCGCCAATACCCCGGACCACCCCACCCAGCCATCACGTCTCGCGCGCTTTTCAAAGTGGCATGGACGTCACACGCGCGCGGCTTACAGTCCGCCACCGCGCTATAAAGAAGCAATTTTACACCGCGTCGCAACAGTCTCGCGATCGTCGCTGTGCCGCGCGGATCTCGTCATCCGAGAGCGAGTAATCGCGACCCCGACTCTCGTACGTATGTTCGTTCATCTACCCGTTCATTCATTCGTCGGTCCGTCCGCACGCACGCACGCACGCACGCACGCACGCAACGTGAAACATCGCAGGCGAGTCGCGCGATTAATCGCGTCGTCGTCCACTGTGAACCGTACGAGCGCAATGTGGCGCTCCTCGATGAATTAATTACGCGACGAAAACTAGTTGTTGGTATACAATTGAGACGCTGAAAACGTACGACAGCGGACCGAAGTCGTTACGCAACGACGCGCACGGTCAGTCGTTCGCGTCGCGGCCCTCGCGCAAGTACCTGTTGGCGCGCGAAAGATCTTCAACGTGAGGTGTGCCATTGTGTGTAATCAAAGTCGAGTTATCGCTCGCACGACTCAACTCGTCAGCTCGGACTTGGTTACACACAGATGTTTCGCGTATTACTGAAAACTTTTGTCGCGACTTTATCACGCGGAACGCCCTTCAGCGCGTCGATTCTGTTCCAACAATTCTGTAGAATCACTCTCAGCTGACTCTCGTTTACTTCCAAACTTGCCGCGGGTCGTTCGCGACAGTTAACAATTTTGTCATCCATTCATCCGTCCATTCTTCGTGCTGAAGGAGAGAGGGAGAGGGAGAGGAAATACAAATAAAAGAAGCGCGCTACACAGCGAACGTTCACGAAGGTCGCACGCGGACTTTGTTGTGTACAGTTCGATACCTCGATTAACGAATGCTCGCGCAACGATTATGTGTCCCAAGGTTATCGGAATTAATCGAGGACGAGGCGGGAGAAACTGGAGGTTTAAATTTGGAGCGAGGGCATCGTAGGGACATTTAGGGCCTTCCCCATTACCCGGTCGTCCCGCGCTTGATTGCACGTTACGTTTGACGTTCACGTCAAATCGCCGCTCACCGAGCCGTAAAGTATCGCCAGGGTGTTCAGCCGGCGATCCCGGGACATTTAGCGCGGCAGCTCCGCCCGTAGTTGGCCCGGTTGGCCCGAGTCTCCTCTTCTGGTTGTAGTGTAATTAAAGCTGTCAAACTACTTAGCCGTGCCTCGTAATCGCCGCCGCGATCGAGCCTTCCGTTTCTATGCCGCGAATGCTAATCGAATTGGACTTGTGTGACACACGTATGCAAATCCACTCGATGACAACAATCCCGAGCGGATTACAAGTGCCGTCCTGATTATCGAAAGTCGCGAACGGTGACGTATGCACGATTCGGCGAGCTTGTGTAATAATGCGCGCGTTCCGCGCGAGCGAGCCGGTGAAATGTACTTTTTATTATGATTCACTCGCTATCTCGCTTCAGATCAACGGCCGTTTATCTCATTACGATAAGCGCAACACGTTACGCGCGTACGGATTGATTTTTCCGCGGTATGCAACACCGGACACGTACTCGCCTTATTAATTACGTCGGCTGTGGCTCATTGATAGTTTACTCGACTCTCTCCTCTTGCGCGATATCAGACGTATGAATGAGCGAACGACACCACCGTTGACAGCACACATTTTTTATCTCGACAAGCTGACAAGTGTCGAGAGCTTAACGACTGACATCTGTTACCGTTACGTTACAACGAGCGGCAGTAAACAGCAATGAAATCGGATTATGTATTCGGACGGATTTGTTTGCGGGAAATACTCATCCCTGTCTCTCTCTCTCTCTCTCTCTCTCTCTCTCTGTCTCTCTTTCGGTATTACACGTTACGTAAAAACGATACGCTGCGGCAATTATCTCGGCAATTAATGCCGTGCGTTCGATCGTAAGCGTCGCATTACGCGTGTTAAAAACAAAAATGCCACCGGAAAAAAAGGCGATGCGAATAAAACTCACGCGAGTTAAAGGGAGCAAACGACGTCTCAAGGTTCAACGCGTTTATTAATATAAGACGCATCATTTTGCAGGTAAAATTCAGCAAATTTCTCGCCATCCTCGAGACCGTCGCGGTCTGAAGCAACTTAAACGAATCGCATCATCTGAAGTCAACGGTCAGCGAAACTCGCTTCGAAAAAGGGAAAAGAGCAAAAGCAAGAGAGGCGACGAGCGAGGTACTGGACGGGCTAGAGCACCGAGGATTCGGAACCGTCCGGTTCGATGGGAAGAGGCTCGCTTTCGCAACGAGGGACGCGTCCGCCGTCGTAGCCGGGACGAGAGAAGAATCGCCAACAGCACGAACTCTTAATCGAGTGGACAAACCGCCGACAAACAATAGGGAACCTGGCGGCTTCCGATGGGGTCGTAACCGCCAACGCGTGTATTCGTAACATATATCGCGATGATAGGCTAGCCGCGGCAGGAAGAGATCGTAGGGGGATCGCCATAGCTAATCGTACCACCCAAGGTGGCACAGATTGAGAGCCCTATCAGCATACATCCTCTCCTGGCTAACGAGATACCCAGCGTCCATCCAGTTCGCGCACGTCGTTACACGTCGCTTGCATTGACGACAACGTGTCTTCGACATCGTCGTGCCAACCTTCTCGGAGGTTCACCGATACTGACTGCCGGCCGACATTCCGATCAGTCCGATCAGCCAGGTCCTATATCGGCAAAGACCACCATCCTCCTTGAGCTGTCATCTTCCCCCGAAGACACGCGCCTCTTCCGGTTGACTGGAGGTGACCACGTAAACGACTGACGACGACGAGCGATTCGCATTGGAAGACGCATACGGCAAACGACAGGCGGGATCATTATGGAAGTAGCGAGCGAGCTGTAAGTAGGACTTTTCTTCTCGCATGAGGCCTTTGTCAATTCATTCACGCGACCGGCGAAGTTCTCCGACTGGGAGAGGAGGTGTAAATTGCAGCGGTGTGCTCGCTGCCGTGTTCTGCATGAGGAAAAAGACCGGCTGAATGAACGTGACGATGAACGAGCCAGGCGCATTTTGGCCGAAGGAAACGGGCTGTCTGGTCCTTAGAAGCGAATTTCATTCATGTGCGGCGGAAATTCCGTTTCTCTCGACCGAGACGCGCGTCACGTTGGTTTAATCGATCTGTGCAGCGAGTCTTGCTAGCCGAGCTATCTGGTCTTGTTGCCACTGATGTAATTTGTCGTTTGTATGAATGTATCATTATTGCGACCGAGTTATCGGCAGACTGCTGATAAGCAAGGTTCGGCACAAATAAATATGTGTCGGACTTGACTTCTGCCCTCTCGTGTTCGAATTTGCCGGCGCGGTTATCGCCGGAATCCATTTTCTGAGTCGTGTGATTCCCGAGATCTCGCGATTTACGCAAGAGAATCGCCGTATACTCCGAATAATATTTTTTCTTCTACGTTCTTCCACAAAATCCTCCTCGACATTTTCGCACGATGCTCGCTGACGACGCAAGCGACTGCATCCAGTCTCTCTCACTCTCTCTTCCAGAGTCGTTTCGCAGCTGTGTACGCATCTACAGACTTTTAATAGCGCATACAATTACCGTACACGTCTTCGCGGCACGCGTCCTTTGCGTATATTCATCGGCAGATGCCTGTCTGATCGTAAAAAAACATAAAACACTCGCCTATCGACACATTAGGTCGCGTGTCGCTCTTTATTCCCAATTGAAATGGATTTCAATCGCGTTAACTAACTCGATGCGTGCCACGAGAGACTCGGTCACTCGACCTCGTTCCTTTCCGCGCTGCGACGGTGGCGGCGGCCCAAGCTGTTGTTATCGAATCACATATGAGGAGCCTATAATTTATTAACGGGGTGGGTTAATGACGCATTCGTCTGATGAATGTTGACGTGGCACAACACCACACACAAATGTCAAAACGGCATAACGATGCGCTTGAACTTGTCATAGACAGCGCTTGCAGCTTCTGTGCAGATTTTGAAAAATTGCGAGAAATAAAATCAATCTCTTATCACGCGTCATATCGTGAAGTACACCGCCTGTTGCCACGTGACATGTCGCTCTTTACGAGACGTCACGACGAACACGTGCTGTATTTTATGCACCGACATATATATATATATAGTTATAATTGAGTCAGCGTCGATGTTTTCGTTTGAGGGAAAAAAAGTGACGTATCGCGTTAAGCGACACAACTCAAATATTCAAAATGACGCTGCGACGTCATTTGGATATTTGAATGGAAGTCGCGGGTCACCCTGTATATCCGCGGTCGATCCATTTATATGTCGCATTCAACGGCGCAGCGAGATTCATTGGCACAGAATTCCATAATGGCAACAGCGGTGCTTGGCTGCTCATTAAATCATTGTTGGGCTCGTTCTTTGTGATAAGGAACGGAGGGAGACGACGACGACGACGACGACGACAGTCGCGCGCGCTGCATAAGAATTTATCGCTAATCGTAATTAGACGCAGCTCTGCGGCTCCTGCGTGTAAAATCTGTCGAAAGGGCACACGTAGGCTTTGAGGAAGATGATTTCACGAGAAATCCTCGTGAATTTCCGCCATCAGACCCGTCAATTAACGACAGAGCCAGCAGCGATTTTAGCGCGACCCGATTTTTACCGAAACGATCGAAATGACAGACTCTGGGAGAGAAAGGAAAACAATCGCAACAAAATGAAAAAAAAAAAGATCGAGCTTGGGACACGTTCGATAAGAATACGCCAGTGAAATGCGTTATCGCGGATGGAGAAGTGTGCGCCACAGCGATTGCGCGCATTTATCCTTTGTTCGGATGCGCTGATAAGGGAATACATGATTCGCCTGTGTCGCTCGAAGCGGTGCGACTGCAAATTTATCTTTTATCTCATGTGATCGCACGGTGCAGTCGATGGGGTTTGATTAAGCAGGGTTGCGGCGCTTTCGCATCGCGTGTGCGATCTCACTCGCGCAGAATTACCTGCTCTTAACGAACATATGTACGTTTCCGAGCGAGCGAATTCGTCATTTCGGACTGCAATAATAAATCCATATTCCAGATCCTCGATAATTAAACGTGAGATTAACGCGGCATCTCTTTTCTTCGATATTCAACTGTCGCCTTTCGCGGGCATCTTGTATCTTTTCGGATTGATCGCGAGTGTCTAATAATGCCGTCGATTGCACAATGAGCACACACGTGACATGCGTGAAACCGGTTATTCGAGCGTGCATGTGCTAATTATTCAAATCCAGAAGGATACGATGGAAATGGGCTTGACGTTAACCGCGCGCGCGCACGTGGGACTATTGAATTTTTAATTGAAACCTCGGTATTGTGCGATTTCGCAAATCAGACGTGGCTGAAATTAATTCCTTTGCAGTCGCGACGGCTGTGTCGAGCGATCGCAATTGCGACGTTGGAATCTCAGATAAATATTTACGAAACGACAGATTTATTCTCTATTTCTCTCTTGCTCTCGGTATGAATTATTGAACATCGTGAAGATTGCATCGGTAAAACCTCCCAGTATGCGACGGCCAATGACGTCGTTTTTCGAAATACACGGGAGGAAAGGAGGTCTGCACCTCCACCTGCACCGTCAATTTTACATTAGCCTCAAGTGCACCTACTTACGTAAGTGCATTCAACAAGTTGTTTGCCGAGAAGATAATTTTGGAACTATCAGCCGAGCCAAGCTGGCATTGAGGATTTTCGACGTCGCGCATTATTGTTATCTGCTCGCGATTCTACACAAATTTTAGCGCGTGTCCGATGTATTCTCCCGCTTATGCTCGTTTAGATATATATTACGTTATTAATTTGCTCGAGAAACTGAAACAATCCTGCCGCGTGAAGTGAAACATAAGGTGCGCGTAATGATCTTGTTATTTCTTCTTCCAATCGCGCTCAAAATTCTTAGAGCGCCGACCTCCTTCGACGAATCGCGAGCACTTTCGCGACGCATGTGTTTCGCAAACGCGCTGCCTCGCCTCGACGATATGCTTCCCGTTTTATTTTTCCGGCCCATTAAGTGCCTGAGCACCGTGAAATTTTTATTTCCGACAGAAACGTCATCCCCCTCGTTAAGCGAAAAAATTTCAATCGGCCGTTATTCGAGACGAACGCGTTACCCATGCAGCCGCAAGGTGATACCTTTTAACTCTTCGGCATTTGGCGCGACTCGCGCGAGCGAATTAAACGAGGGTAATGTAAAACCGCGAAAAAAAAGAGGATACGCGTGAGCATCTGTCGTCCAAGTCCGAAATTAATTGTCAAGGACGATGTTTTTCCCAGCCGACCAATGGTCGTGACCGCCGGGATTGTTTTGCAACAATCGTGTGTTTCTCTTTTTCCTTTTCTCCCTCTCCTTTCTCATCTTCATTTTATCCAGGTCAATGTAAACACAACTCCATCGTGCATACAATTATCATTGTGTATTTTTTTTTTATTACACGCTTGCAGGGATTTTTCCCAGAGCGCCTGATAAATAAAACTTGTTGTCTTTTTCTTCCTCTCTTTCTCTCTCTTTTTCTCTCCATTTATGTGCCGCGCTACGAAAGTCGCGAGTTTCGTCACGCTATCGGTGAATTAACTGGTGCAATTAAAATCATTTCTCTCGCCACCGTCGTCGTCGGGGCGACGTTATTATCATCGCCGCTGTCATTGTCGTCGTCGTCGTTCGTTTACCTCGATACGTCCGTCGTGTCAACAATGTGATCGCTCGCGACTCTTCCTTTACGAATTCCTGTACGCACGCACGTTGAGAATCTCGAGCGCAAGATTTTCGCCAACGTGAGAAATTCGCTTCATCCTCGGCGACGGATCGGTATCTGCATTTACAAAGGCATTTCTTCGCGGTGGGCGACGATAAGATAAAAATACAGGCGACCGATCGAGAAATGTGGGACACGATTCGGCGGGCGTTTCACGCGACGTCGTCGCAGGTTCAGGCGGAACTCCGGCACGAGAGACGGAAATAATTGAACCATCCGCGAAACTAACCGTGACGGACGCCCACGCGTCGAGTAGGAGTTGATTGGTTGCGTCTCTCCCGCAAGAGAAGCTATATCGTGCCAGATCTCATCGTCGATCCCAAAGTCTTCGCTCTTTCTCTCTCTCTCTCTCTTTCTTTTTCCGTCGTCATTAATAAAAGTTGTGGAGAACGGTCGCATTTAATAGGCGTAATGCAATGGAAGCGGCCAACGATGCATGGCGCGTGCTCCTCGTGTTCTACCTCGCGCGCACGTGTCTCTTCCGCGACGCGCGAATCGCGTCGGAGGAGATACTTGGCAGAGGCCGCCGAGGAATGGAACGGCCGCCGCAGCCAACGTTGTCCGATGCGTTACGGCCTCCACTCGTTCCGCATTTTCCGCGAGTTACACGGTAACTCGATATCTTTTCGCGTTTCCCTTCAAATCCCCCTTTGAAGTCGAGACGAGGGTAGGGACACGCATTGTCCCGGAAAAATGCATCGAAGAATGTAGAAAATGGAAAATAATTTCCTGAAAAATCGTAATCTCGGCATCCGAAACGATCTCCCGAGAAATAGAATTTCAGTATTCAATATTTGTTGTATATATGTATTTTATATTATATGTTTAATTTTACTTCCATATATTTGAATATCGAAATTGCCTCGTTGTGCAGATGCGTTAGTTATTTGAGTGCAGCGAGAGAGAGAGAGAGAGAGAGAGAGATTCGGGGCAATATTGCCTCTTCGGAATAATTCATATTTTACGACATGTCGGATTTTGGTATTTTGGGACTTTGCGGGAAAATCTTGCTGTCCAAGATTTCGAATGTCGAGAATTGCAGAATTTTTCGGAACCGAGATATCGTCGCACGCCAATAATCATCGACGTCCGCCTCGCGACATACGCTGACACCCGCGGGGAGACAAGCGATATCGCTCAGCCGACGACGATGAAAGACGGGTTGAAAGTGTGACCGAAGGAACAGATTAGATACAAAATGAACCACATCGTGATGGTGACGTAAGCGCGGCTAAAATCTTTATACGCAAGTGGATATCCGTGACCTCTTTTTTTCAGCGACGCTGAACGATCGTGCGTTAACTTCCACGCCTGGTCAAGGTGTGAGCGCGCTATTGTGTGGTACCTGTAAGGGTATCCGTATCGTATGCGCCTTGAGATGACATTTCATAACGGACTTCACACCTAGGTTCAAGGTGGACGTCGCGATAAATTTTTTCCGACTGTCCTGTTGCATCTGAATGACCACTCCTTCGTGAGTTGCAAACATGTTTGACGAATCTCTCTTCTTCCGTGCGTTTAAACAGCGCGTCTCTTTCGACTCGAAGCCGAGGAGAAACGGCTTACAACAATCGCGGGCGTGAGCGCCCGCGACGTGTTTGCTCGGACACGTATATTTATTTATATCACGTGGACTACGCTGGTGAATATAGAAAGGTAAGCCACGCGCAATCATCTATTAATAATCAGAGACACTTCCGACATATGTGTGTTCTAGTCGAGAAATATCTCGCGTGTTCTCCGAGAACAACTGGTCGCCGCGGACTTCTGATCCCGTCGGGTCGTCCGTGAATTTTTCTCTCTTATCTCAGTGCCTTTTGCTCTTTCTCTCCCTCCCTCCCTCCCTCCCACCCTCAGTCAGCCGCTAACAAAGACGCGAATTTGAACGAAGTACACTCGCGGAAAAATGCTGGTGCAAAAACATCGTATACTTTAGAACAACAATAAATCAATTTATTTGCCAAGCTCTTCGGGCGATTTGTCCGGAAAGGAAAGAGAAAAAAGTAGCGGCAACTCTGTATGTTATCAGATTAAGTGACACGAGCGTGACTTTAAAGCGCGCATTATCCTCCCGATCCGTTTAATTCCGTAATAACCATAAACTCATATCAGCAATAACGATGCGTTCTTCGTAATCGGCTCAATTACACACACACACACACACACACACACACAGACATACATACGCAGCGGGCGTCACCAATGGAAAAAGATCGACAGATCGTTATCTCGTCGCGTTAATAAAGGGTTTGCCCATGACGATTCGCAGCAGTGTCACTTCTCGGTCTCATTCGAGCACTTGCCGATGTAACACGCTATCGATACTTCCGTCTCTCATCGCCGGTATCATATCGCTCGCGTCGATTAAAGCGATTCACCTACGCGCCGCTACGGGGACGACGGTGGGATTCCTCTATGTTATTAAATTCATCGTTGCGACTTGATCGACGTGAGCATATTGCGCGATTTCTCATCTCTCAGCTCGATTCCTCAAGTCGGAGTATTTTCCGCCGTGCGAGCGCGCGCGTGCCTCGCAATTATTCCGTCGTCCCCGCCGTTTCCTCGTGAATACCGATTGCGCGGCGTGCACTCTTCATAGGAGGCAGAGGCCGAAGCTTGTCAGAAAATAGTCGATGGCTTAAAACAGTCCTCGGCCGACCGCGGAAGAGACCGGTAATCTTTTCGCGAGGTGTCGGACTGTGGGAATCTCCCGACATTAAAGAACCATTCGCCTTGACGAGAGGATCGTCGTGTGAACCGCCGCCGTCGCCGACCTAAGATGCCCAGACAATCGAGATACGTGCGAATCGAGCGTTAATGTTTCCGCACATACCGCGAACGAGTGCTAATTGCCTAAATCAATTGCGCCCGTCTGTTTGGGATAAACGAAAACACGCCTGTCGAAATCTCCTGCCAAGTGCGATCCGTCGACTCGCGATTGCTCGGTGATGCGAAATATCAATTTTTCGATTCTCAGCGATTTGAGATAAATATAAAAATCGCGCTCGTCGTGTGTGTGTGTGTGTGTGTGTGTGTGTGTGTGTGTGTGTGTGTGTATGTGCCATACTTACGAATGACAAAATAGATCCTTGGATCTTGTTGGATCGCGTAATTCTTCGTTGTGCAAGTGACGTATCATGGCCGACGCTGACGGAACGGGGTAAGCGAAAATTTATCAACGAACAATGCTACTCTCCTGAAGAGCGTCCACTGCTTATGCAAGACGTTAAATATAGAATTAGCACATTTAAAGATACACGTTTGTGCGTTTCGGCACGTAACAGTGTGAAGCTGTTAAAATCGTATCTCTTAAAGTCGGTGCGTTATCAGAGAGTTATCAAGTATAACGAATGTCAGGAGCCGTTGGACTTTCGGCGAGTCACAGGGCGGCTCGCAATAAAAACATGATTAAATCCAGTAGCAGAGGAGAAAGGAGGGGGAAATTTCGCGAGAACCGAGCGCGATAAAAATGCAAGAATTGATCTATTATTCTACTGTAAAAAATGCTCCATATGGATAAGATAGATTCGTTGAATTAACGTGACAACGCGAGTCTATCACTATTAATGACTATCACTATTAATGATTGAAGAAAACAGAATTTCCGCTTCTCAGAATCGAATTTGTTTCGTAAGAATCGGCGATTCTGGTTAAAGCAAAAAAAGAAAACAAATTACTTTTCTTTCAACCGACAGACACGTTGATTCGTTCGTCATCGCGTTAATCAATCTTCGTTTTCTGCGAAAAGCAAAGAGAGAGGCCGAGTACCATATTGCCGGTACCACCTATGAAAACCATCTATCGCCAATATGTGTTGTTTCAGGTCGCCGTTGTCGGGCGCGGAGAATCAAGGCAGGATGAAGGAGAGGAGCTCATACTACCCGCAGGAGCCCAGCAAGAGGCCGAAAACGAAGGGACAGAAGATGCGGTCGTGCTTGAGACACAATGCGCTGACGATACTCACTGTCAGCGGCGTGGTCGGCGGCGTGATCCTCGGCATCATCCTGCGAAACTCGCGGACCGAGAAATGGACGCCGCGGGAGATCATGTACATCAATTACCTCGGCGACCTCTTCCTGAGGATGCTCAAGAGCTTGATCCTGCCGTTGATCATTTCGAGCTTGGTGTCGGCGATCGGCTCGCTCGACCTGTCGCTCAGCGGCAAGATTGGCGCGCGTGCGATCGGCTATTACATGGTTACGACCATCTGCGCGGTCGTGTTAGGTCAGTGAAGCCTAATTTGTACATCGCCACTTTCTCCTTCCCTCCGCCTTTCCTCTGCCTTTCTTCGCGCCACTAATGCGATTACTTCATGTCGGGCACGGATATGTAAAAGCGCGCGGACGCGAACCTCGGAGTCTAAATCCCGAGTGTAATTAACGCGGAATAACACGCATGTAGGAGCACGCGCAGGAAGGAAAGCCGCAAGCGTCTGTGGTGATTGTTCGCGTGTCTTCTCTCGCGCATTCGAAGTCGGCTGTCTGAAGAGAAGTGAGCGGCGCACTCTCGGAGCTTTGTGTACTCTCCGAGGTTAAACGAAACGATTGGCCCGCATCATCAACGACGCGACGACGCGATCAAAGAGAGGTCCCGTCCTCTCGGGCGTTTTGTTTCACGCTCGCAACGGACTGCCGTTTCTCGGAAATCGCGAGCAAACGTGACAAACAGTAGATGGATGGCACTGTTCCTCGCATTTACATATCTGGTCGCAGGAACGCGCGCACGATAGCCCTGAATTCTCTCGGTGACTCATCCTCGGTTAATTGACAACGAGCTCCGGATCCGAGGGAAAATCAAGCGCGCAAACATGTCAGGCCCCCCCCCCCCCCACAACAACCGCCGGCAGATTACGATGTTATCTCCAAGTCTGCGCGATTTTGTTCCCCTCTACCTCCTTTTCTCTTTTGCAACGCGTCGCGAGCAGAAGATACGATGGTTTATTACGTTAGTCACTACAGATTAGACCGGTTATAACCGAAACCGTCGCTTACGTACGTTCGACTTTTCCTCCTGTCATCGATTCTGCTTGCGACATCATATATGCCAGCTGTATAACTATTCGTCATCTTCTGCCTTTGCACTTATCTCGTCGATTTTTCATCGACGTTAACGCTCCTCGCTATCCGTTGCTCTTGCGACCGACGATAAAGCAAATGTAGAAAAAGAGATTAGACATTTACGCGCGTTGACGTTATGTCATGCTTTGTTAGTGATACGTTGGGTATCGATTTCAGGTATAATTCTCGTCGTTTCCATTCAACCCGGAGTCGGCAGCTCCGCCTCGGAGAGCAAGAGACCGGCGCAAAATGTTTCCACCGTTGACACGCTGATGGATTTGGTGAGAAACATGTTTCCACCGAATCTCGTTCAAGCCTGCATCTCCCAGCACCGCACTGAGCCCAAGCCGCCGGAGAACGAGTCGAGTGAGTCGAGATTTTGCTACCGTACCAGAACTAGAGATCTTTAGAATAGACAAGAAACGCATTTTTCGTTTCGTTAATGTATACATTTGCTTCTAAGAGCTTCTACAAGCGAAAGAATCATTTTATCCATCAGTAATAATTTATCCATTTTCCCCTATTGAAATTAGTTCCTCTGGAGGAGTGGGAGTTGGTGGAGAAAGAAGTGTCCGGTGCCAACATTCTCGGGCTCGTGGTATTCGCAACGGTGTTGGGCATCACTCTCGGTAAGATGGGACCGCAAGCCAAGCCGCTGTTGAGCTTCTTCGAGTCGCTGTCCGGTGCTATGATGGTGATCACTAACTGGGTCATATGGTAAGGCACGAGGGCAAGTATACGATACTCAAGATCGTGTCGAGTTCCTCGGGTCGGGGAAACTCGTGTATTATTCGCACAACGTTGACGTCGATGTTGCATAACATTGTGTTGCGCAGCTATCGCATGATGATGCGATAACGTCTTCAGTCGTCACGCGTCAGTCGTTATTTCTTTCAACGATTGAAGGAGTCTGGCAATTTATGCATGCGTGCGTTACGTGCGCGCAGGTTGTCGCCAATCGGTGTTCTCTTCCTGGTCGCCTCCAAAATCACGGAGATGAAGTCACTGGACGAGATAGTCGCCCAGCTCGGCATGTACTTCTTGACTGTGTTGGTCGCCCTGATAATACACGGCTTTCTGGTGCTGCCGGGAATGTACTTCCTTCTCACGAAGAAGAACCCTTATCGCTACATATCCAACATGGCTCAAGCGCTTGTCACTGCCTTCGGCACGTCTTCGAGCTCAGCGACGTTGCCGATCGCCATTAGCTGCCTCGAAGAGCGCAACGGCATCGACTCGCGCGTTACCAGATTTGTCATGCCGATTGGCGCTACCGTAAACATGGATGGTACCGCTTTATACGAGGCTGTAGCTGCCATTTTCATATCGCAAGTGCGCAAAGTTGGTCTCTCCTTCGGTCAGTTAATAGCGGTTAGGTGAGTATTGGCGTTACTTATTTCAGTTTCTCTCTTGTTGCAAGTCCCATTAGAGGGTCCTATGAAAGTGAGACGATTACATGAGCTAAAACTTTTCTGGTCCAACTTGTTTCAGTATCACGGCAACCGCCGCCAGTATTGGCGCAGCTGGTATTCCGCAGGCCGGACTAGTCACAATGGTGATGGTGCTGGACACAGTTCGCCTTCCGGCCAATGACGTTTTTTTAATTATCGCGGTCGACTGGTTGCTGTGAGTATATTCTCGCGTGTCATATTCGCCTTGGAATTGCAACTTTCCGATGTCTTATCGGAGACTCTATTTGCTATGTGAGCGCATACTTATACGTGTCTCCACCTTCCAGAGATCGTTTTAGAACAACGGTGAACGTAATCGGTGACTCACTCGGTGCGGGAATCGTTCATCATCTTAGTAGAAACGAGCTCGCATCGATGCCGCATCATCCGCAGCAGACACAAAACGGAGCCGAGCGTCACGCAACCACATCGATATGAACATGCCACTGGTAATCGCGGCGTCTCCTCGACTGACGATTACAAAACTGCTTCGCGATCAGAGAATTGACCAACCGACTACATCATCAAATTCGCGTGGCTAATCGCCTGTCGAAACGCTGACATACGCTATCGCTACGAGTTCAGGAGAGTTCTACTTCAAGAATATACGATTAAGTTCAATTTCAAGTGAGAATCGAGATTAGAATTAAGAGCACGTGAGTGCTCTTAATTCTAATCTCGAGTGCTCTTTCAACTTGTGAGCGATAACATGATATTAGTCTTTTCTACCACAACGGTCGATGATCGCGAGGTACGATCCTGACGAAGTGTTCTTGCGTACTCAGTAAGTGTTCCGTTTTTACCTTAGTCAGTTACATCGGTTTAGTATTAATTATCCCGTACAAAAAGAATAAAACAGACTACAAATGAAGGGAACAATAAACTGTATCGCCGGCTCTTAACGCCATATTATGCGATAAACGCACACGCGGAATGCGAGAGACGCATAATCTTCTTCAATTACCTCTACACGAGTACTGTAAGAGAAGAATTATTTTGGTAGTCACTTAATTGACATCCATTCCGCGATATATGTAATAATAGGGCGATAAGATTTTAACTATTAGCGCACAGCGCTTGCAGTGCGAGCGACTATGGCGTCTTTTAGATAACTCCGAAGTGTGTTTGAAACTAAATAATTCGTAGCTTTAGTTTACTCATAGACCCCATTAAAGCAATCTTGCTTATAAAATGTATAGGTATATATTATACACACATATATGTCTTCCATTCTTGCGTTTAACGACATTTACGCTTGTTATCTAATATGTATCGCGCGTTACACTTTGTTCGAGCCGCGAAATTCGCCGTCTAGTGTATCTTTCCTCGCGATTCATTCTTCTCTTCAAGTGCATTTAAAATTGAGAGGTCCATAAGAGACAAAGGGAAAAGAGCGTAACGTTTTTGAAGCTAAATATGCCAGCGGTGCTTCCGCAGAAATTGATTTTTATTACTATTTGACACGACGAAAAGTCAAGATAGATGAAATTCCTCTTATTACTTTTTTATGTAAAAGTAGAAGCGAGAATGTGTATAAATCTGTTCGTGCACTATTCCGTAGCAATTAAGAAATGTCGCAGCTTGTGCCATAGAACGTTACTGTCGTAATTATCGAAGTAATGCTCGATACAGCGGAAAACGCAGACTTAACTAATTTTTGTCAGTTTTGTATGCAATTAAAAACGAGCGTGTGAAAGCAGTCAAGAGTCACATCATATTGACGGATATTTTCTTGGTATCGGGATGAGAAATCACATTACCGAACATGAGATCTTATCGGAAATATTTTTTCCGTCGTCTATTTGCAAAAAGTGTCGCGTACGATGTTATATAGTATACGATTCGGTGCCATTAACAACAATCAGCTACGGTACTTAACCCTTAAGTATGAAACCTTAAGTATGAAGCTGATCACATTTTTTGTCCCTTCATCAATTTTCAAATAATAAAACCACAGCTTTCTACATTTTATATTTTTTCACACGAAAAGTCTAATAATAAGTCACGACATGTAAAATGAAAACTACAAACAAAATCTTTAGAAAACGTATGTTCAAAAACCGAACATGCTAATGATGAAAAATAAAACGCGTACTTAAGGGTTGAAATACCTTTTCTTTCTATTGGTGTAGGAAACAAAGAAAAAAAAGGAACAACGTAATTGTGAAATTATCATACGCGTGACGTGTGAAAGAATTATATGAAGAAAATAACAAAATGATTAATAAACGAATTGCCTGATTTTATTCAAAAATCATCTGGTATAAAATCCTTTTGTTATTTTTTACGCAGCATTTTTCTCAGGTTTGTACGAAAGAAAAGTGTTCCATTGAATGAATCGCTATTGTGTTTTGGTATCGCGGTTATCGAGTGTGATTAACATATCTTCCTGAATGTACTCTTGCACCTAAGTGGTGCGCAGATAAAGCAAAACCAGTGTATGTAAATAAAGCATGGAAATGAAAAAGAAAACCGCGTTTATCGTCGTACATGCCGATAAATACAACGTTCGGCAACTGTTTTGCTTGTACTGTGTATCTATCAACTGTATAATTCGGAAATATGTGTATTTGCATAATTAATATAACGAATATACAAATTAATATAGTATACACAATGTATAAATATATACATATATATATATATATATTATAAAAATATAAATGAAAACTAACTATATAGGTGTGTGTAATTGTAAGTGTAATAACATATGGGAAAACAATGTTCATTCTCAGAGAAGAATCTTTGTTCTGAGATCAAAATTCTACGCACAAACAGTGAGAAATCTGCGAGTTGTTGCGAAATGTTATAACAAGCGTATGTATCTCATTTCAAAGCATTACGACAAAAAATTTCACTTACCGTTTGTCGTGTATTTTCACTGCTCTGGAACCAGCTGCTCCATCGACTTTAGCTTGCGTCAAAATCTCGTTGACCATCTTAGCGAAGCATGCAGCATTATCGTTTATAGATCGGGAGAAGACGCACTACGTTATACCGCGCACTAATTCACACGATGCTTCTAGAAAAGACAATCGATTATGTGGAAGTTGATTCTCTTCTTTTAATATTACTCGTCTTTGTTCGTAGATACAAATTTTATTTCGTTACTTACATTCTTCTAACATTACGAACAAATCTCACGTCTCGCCGACACTCGATAGAGATAAATGAACGTTCTTACAAATATCAGCAATCTTGAGATAAACGTCCATCTTGAATCAAATACGTTCAAATACGACAGTTGCGTTATTTCTGCCTCTTGATTGGCTATCGCTAGAGTGTAGTTGCTCTGTATACACGCGTCCTTTAATTGTCGAAAATAAACATCGCAAGTAGATTTACATCAGAGAACGTTAAATAAACAATGTACGGCAATCGTAGTATCTTTATCAGGGAACATAATTATGATTAATCATCTTCAAGCAATATTTATATACACCGGCGGCGGCAGCGCTGGTGCAAGTGCAGATGTTTGAACGTTGGTAAGTGCTGCCGCCATGTCCTTTTCTCGCCGCTGCGACTCGCGATCGGACGGGATTTTTTGGTCGCTCCGTATTAATTACGTTCTTCGATCGTCGGAAACGCATGTCGCACATGAGTGAGTATCCAAAGTCGACAGAAAACGATCATACTCTCATCACAGCATGTTATTCAAGGCACGAGATCCCGATTAACCGTCTTTCGGGCGATATTCAGTTAAGTTTGATTAGTGCGACACGGCCGTTCAAACGTTTGTTGGCGCCATATTTGTTTCGCGCGGTCGTTCGGTCGTCGGCAGCATCGTTACATCGTATTTACGTTTTATCGCAATCGAATGTCGTTTGAACGTCGGCAGCACCGGTTGAACTTTACACGCGTCGTACGCGAGTGCGAAAGTCGCCGAATAAAATTAAGCGTCGTGCCGCAGAATATCGTATCGGACGCGAGTGAATTTCGCGAGTGTCGAGCAAAGTGTTCGTATCCCACGCGAACAAATACATCGCAAGATCGCCGCGATCGTGCGCGTAATATGATCGAATCGTTGCACCCGCAGCACGAGCAAAAGAGTCCAACAGTTCTTTATCATATATAGTGTCGGAGACGCCGAGTCAAATATCGTGCTCATACGCAAATAATGCCGGGAGTGTCGAATGTCGTGACGTGTGCAAATGTGATATGCTTTGTCGAGAAAGTGAGGATCAACGCGACCGTAGGAATAGATGAAGTTGTAGTTGAAGCAACTGGTAACCGAGTAACGACGACACGCGGCGAGCAGTGAGTGAATTTATTTGTCGTATTATTCGTTTTGTGAACAGATTCTTTGTTTGCTCGCAGCGATTTATCTAGAATCTGTTTCTTTCACATCGCGCATAGCGTATGTACATTTCCGATGTGTTCTTAAAAACGTACCAACTGCTCAGTGACGGTTCCCGAGTAAACTTCAATCTCTAGATGTCGCTAGAGTGTCTGTAAATACAAACATGCTGCGTGTCACTTGCAGCATACCGGCTTTTAAATAACAATTAACTATTAGATGTATTAAGTAATATATGCAGTAATATTCGTACTGTTGTCAGGTGTATATACAACAGTGACATGCTCTCAGTAACTTTATAAGAAACTTGAGAGCACATAGTGTTACACATAGGTTAGGTTGACTGAAGCAATAATTATGTGGCTGTGACGATATGTTTAACAAAATATCAATATTGAACATGTGCAATTATTAGGAATATTTTATCGTTGTTGAAATATAATTCTCAATAAATATTAGAATACATTTTTAAAACTTTAATTATTCGAGTTTGAATTGCAAGATGTTTATACATTCCACATTGATTTTATTTGTTACAAGTACTGTGTTGCTTTTTTTATATCTGAATCGTATTCAGCCACATTATTTCATTGACGAGGCTTTCCATATTCCTCAAACGTTACGATATTGTGCGTGGAATTTTACAGAGGTAACATATTCAATAGCCAAAACTTCCAACTATATTATACATCATTTCCCTGTGACCAAAAAATGAGTCAAATTATTTGCAGTGGGATCCTAAAATTACTACATTGCCAGGATTATATCTTATTACTACTGCGATATTGTCACCATTTAATCTCTGTAATATTATCTACATACGATGTGTAAATTTAATCGGGACATGTATAAATCTCTACCTTATTTATAATATCATAAAAGAAAATTGTAAATCTAACAAGATGGATCGGTGGAGTAATTGGTTGATACTTGTATCAGCATATAATATTACTCTCTTTCCGCCACTATATTTCTGGTGTTTCTTTTATTATACGGATGTAGCATCTGTGAATACAGTGCTTTTAATGTTACTTCTGCACCAACGTAAACACATGAAGATGAGTGCGTTTGCAGGTATGTGTATGCAACTTATATAAACTACAATATTAAAAATTATTAAAATTATGATCTAAAAGTGATATTGTGCAGGTTTAATAGCTGTGGTTATTCGTCAAACAAATATTATTTGGCTCAGCTTCCTTGCTGTAGAACATGTATTGGACTTATTTGATTACAAAATGGAACAGCCAGTGCCACCTCGATCACTTAATACCCCAATGCATTTTCACGTAAGCAAAAAGACCACAAGATTACAATATGTTATACATGTTCATTAGACGACTTAATCTGCAACATATTCCAATTATTTCTAGCTAATCTGGAAACGGATGATATATGAATTTCGCAAAGGCCTACTGTCCTTTATCAAGTTCCTCCTACAAATATGCGGCAGTCTGCTTCCTTACATAACAATATGCCTGATGTTTATCGCCTTTGTCGTGTGGAATAAAGGCATAGTGATCGGCGACCGTTCCGCTCACGTTGCGACCATTCACGTCTGCCAGATATTTTACTTTTCCGCTTTTGTCTCGCTGTTCTCGTGGCCATACGCGGTATTGCATTGGAGAACAAGCTTGCGATTTCTACGCCAGCATTGGATCCTCATGAGCTCTGTAGTCGCGTTAATAACTGTGGTAATCCGCTTCAATACGCTCGTTCATCCGTACGTTTTGGCCGATAATCGGCACTACTGGTTCTACGTGTGGAATCGATTAATAGGACGTTACACGGCGTGCCGGTACTTGCTGGTGCCAGTTTACTGCGCGAGTCTGTTCGCCATGTCGCGAAATATCAGTCACCTGAGATTTCTCACGCAGATCAACTACATGATCTGCGTGTGCATGGTTCTGATACCTCAGTTACTGGTAGAACCACGTTATTTTATTCTACCGTACATCTTTTACCGCTTGAACATCGAGAGGCCACGCAAATGGCAGATCTGTCTGGAATCGCTCACGACATTGGCGGTCAATCTCGCGCAATTTTTTATTTTCGCCAACAAAGTATTTTACTGGGAGGATCAACCCTATGCCCAGCGCATTTCTTGGTGATTTCTGACGCGGAGGAAAAATGTACACAATAAAAGAAACTTCTTTTAATTACAAGCATTTATCCCTAATCTTACTTATCTTTCAATACATTAACATATCTACGGAAAGAGGAGCATTAAAATGGTTGCGATTGTCTTTTTTTTCGACGCACAATAATTTATTGTTCATGATTGAAACTTATGGCAAAGCTGCTAATTGTCTTTGTACAGTAACAGCTTGTCATAGTTTCGCAACGCGCGTTATCGTCGGCGTACAATATACATTAAACATATCCGACGACATAAAACTGTTAAAATTCCCTATTCTTATCGTTCTTTGTCGAGTATCACTATCTTGCCGTATTATCACTCCTTCGTTGATCTGAACATAAGAGCGGTATTTGTAAGAGATACCGAGATACATTTTGCAAAGAATTTTATTTCTAGTATATATAAACGTTTCTTTATTCACATGGTAAAGAATTATGTACTCTTGCGGAAATCAGGCCTGATACAAGTATTCTTAAAAACAAATTTCACACGAATAAAAAGTAAGTGTTTGCGCGCATCGGAACAGTTTCGAGCCACCCCTGCGCTCCGAATCCGCGGACATGTTAAGCGGGAGAGGGAAACAAGTCAATGAATTTTTATTACAATACTAAACGAAGGAAATTGTTCTTTTCTCAAAAAGAGTGGCTCAATTCCTTCAGATGTGTACATGGAACACGGACAAACATGGGCAAACTAAAAAGCTAATTATCCTTTAGAAATCAAGACAAGTATGTACAATTCCCGGCTTATACATACACACACACACTCATACGCACGCACACGCACATATACATATATACGTACATACATACATACATACATACATATATACATGTATGTATGTATGTATATATATCGTACCATTCAGCCTCTCGATTGCCGGAACGTTGAGCATTATCCGCGACAAGAACTCTTTGTTGCTTCGCAGAGAGAACCGATGCATTTAAAACAATATAATCGTATATCACAAACAGTTTTCAATCAACGCTAAGTATTCTCTGTCTCTCTTTCTCTAGAGAATTCCTTAAAAAATTAAAACTAAAACTACTTATACAACGTACTCTTTACGACCTGGGCCTTCCGATAAAACGAGAACAATCGTTCCATCTGTCATTCGCTGTCCCTACTACCTAACCGTGCGAAAATCGCGCGTATTGCTTGTCGTGAGTTTATTGCAAACCGTTTACATAAATTGAATTTGGAACGTAAATAGAATATATATATATATATTTTTTTTTTGTCTTCTGTACACAAACCTCCGCACATCCCGGTAGGATATGTGATTGGGAGAAATATAACGCTCTTGACATCTGACCGATTGCTAAGTAGTGCAATTAACGTATAGATATATATGTATTTATATAGCTTCTCGAGTTTTGGTGTCACAGCGACACGATATAATTCACGTCCTAGCGTTACATTATTATCATCCACGCGCTGGAGTTGTTACGTCTATCCGCTATATAAAGCGTTGTACGCTAAGTGAGATAAAGTAGATCACTAAATAATAAAGTAGATCGCTCTCTCTCTCGAAAAAAAAAAAAAAGAACTCAAAGTGTCGCAGGAAAATCGTGCATCTTTGAGAAGATGCTGTAAGCCGTTAGACTTTCTTCCTTTCTGATTTAACTAATGACATAATAATTTTTCGATATTGATTTTAAAGACGTTACGATCGAGGATACCGCTAGACATAGAAATTTACACATAAAAAACAAGAGAACAGCTTTACTCCTTGATATATATTTTTTTTTCGAGCGTTCGTACAGCAGAACTCCTAATGCCCGAATTAATTAAGCGGACAATTAATACTCTAATCAGCGACTAGTCGTTACTCTGAAATGTCGAAGATTCTTTTCGATTGTTCTTATCGAGATCTTGTGAATTGTCTCACTTGGAGTAACTACATATTTTTACTCTCAATTTAAAAATATAAATTATAATAATATATACGTAGGATACTTATAAGTAATATTATATTTGTAGAGCAATCAGCTAAATACTGTATAAGTTTCATTTAAAATTGGTCACAAATTTCAGAAGAGATATGTATAGTAACAGAAGCGTGTCGGGATTTATCAAGGTTCCACTGTACATCGTGAGTCAATATAACCTCGATCGTTCTAGAGACGCCGTCTTGGAGACGATTGAAACAATTTTCTTCCCTTCTTCCTTTCCTTTTCTTTTTTTTTTTGGATTTTGCTTAGCACTCGTGAGCGGGGTGCATCTTTTTTATTTTCTGGTTTTCTCAGTCCTACTTAAAGGACATCGAGTCTCAAAATCCGACTCGCACGAACTATATTGTGTAAGAAGAGTCAAATGTAGCTTTGGATATATTATGCATTTCCTTACACGCACACACTTTTGACCACACGCACAAGTATGTTGCAAGTAAACGCAAACGCTCGTTTGTTTGATTATAATACGTTGTTCTCTTTGTAATTTCATCGTGCATCGATCACGACGTTACGACGAAACGATATCATATCAGAAACGGAAATAAAAGAGCGGCAACGAGCGCGACTCAACACAATGAAAAGTATCCCTATTCAGTCAAATACAGTCGAGGCCGCTTGTTTCACGACGATCGGACGGTGTTCGTCGCGTGCGGGTGTTTCCCCGACGTTCAGTCGTAAAATTAATTTTTTTTTCTGGCTTTCTGATTTAACGCGATCTAAAGTACGATAGACATGCACGCCAGAGATCCCACGCGGTTCGTGAAGAACGCAACCGAACGCTCGTAGATACTTGTCAGAGAAGACTACGTGAATTCTACACAAGTCAAGAGATATTCGACAAAATACAAATCTCGTGCATTCCAACTTCACGTTTTCCGGTGAGCTCCTATCTATCGAAGAAATTTCTCGCATCTTAATCGGAAGTCCTCGTAGACCGTAACTTTCAACGTCGGGCGAACTTTAAAGTAACTTTTGGTATCGGCGAATTTCAGAATATTAAACTCTTCATATTTCGTCGCTTTTGAGCATATTCTCTGGCTTCCTTTTTCTTATCTTTTCCCTTTTCCCTTACATTTTTATTTCCTCGTCTGAAATCGCGTTTGGGAAGTACGAGGAATTCTTATTAAGGAACTCGTTTTCTAACTCTCTACGAATCTTACAATCGTTTATGCTCGTTAAACGCAACGTTTGAAGAAACACGGCAGGATCAAACGACGAGATCACAAAAAAATGTTGAACATCGCAAAAAAATCTTCGTCCAGATTGACGAGCAATATCGGCATTCTCGTAAGTAGGAGACCGATCAACGCGGGTTCAGGAAGCGCGTAGTCACCCAAAATAAAAGGACACCTGCCGCGGTAGTGACTGCTTATAAACGTAATCTTTGGTTGTGTCGCGATCTTGACTATTGGTGTAACTAGCTTCGAGGTCTAGACGAAGGAGGGCTATAGCCAGTTTAGGAATGAACTTGACTGCTGTGGAATAAAATACGGAGCACAGAATAGAGAATCTATTCGGGAGAAGGGGGTCCCTCCAGCGGGGGAGGTGGAACGAAACGAAGAGCTTAGTCTTACCTAACAAGTGACTCGTCTGCTTCCTTTGGTCGTTGATTTATGTAGAGTGAGCAATGTCGCACACGTTGGGAGAGATAAAGGTCATTACCGCACCAACTTCCTCACCCGATACCACCGATACCGACTACTCTAATATTAGCGAATGAAATTGATCTCTCTCTCTCTCTCTCTCTCTCTCTCTCTCTCTCTCTCTCTCTCTCTCTCTCTCTGTCTGCTCGCGATCGCTTTGATGATGGGCGGCATGCACGAAACAAGGAATGCGCGAGAAGAGTACCGAGAAGTAATGACGGAGAGCACCAAACTCTCCTCTACGTGTAAACTCGAATCGCTAACATACACCGCGAGTCATTGCGCTCGAAGCGCCGCCCCGGAACCTACCTACCTACCTACCTACCTATCTATCTATCTATCTACCTACCTACCCTATCAACCTATCTATCTTCCAGTAATCCTTCCTTCCTCGAGGTAAGGGCGCACTCGTCTTCGGGGGAGCTACTTGCTGCGGATTGTAAAAGCTGATAAAAAAACGATCGTTTTACCGGCTACGCTTAAAGATAACGGTCCCTCCCGTCGTGAGAGAGAGGGGGTAGATACTTTAGGCACTGAATCGCACAGTTTTCCGCACCTAGGAATTCCCTTGGAGAAACACCGATGAACTAGTGCGAAGGAGGGGCGGGATCACAAGATTCAGGTTATTAGATTCTCTCGCGTTAAGAGTCGGCGACCGGTCGGCCGGCATCATACTATTTGCTGCTTCAGCTTCACCAGGTTCGTCGTGCCGTACAGCTTCATGTCCAAGGGCGCGCTCGGCTCGTTCTTCTTCGTCTGGGTGTGCCAGGCGAGCACCTTGGTGCAATTGTCCGCGAGCAGCTGGGCGTCGCGCGGCTCGAACGGCGCCAGGCTCTTCAGGAAGCCGTCCTCTTCGTAACCCGCGCGAAACGGCATCGTCGCGTTCGGTCTCTGCTGCAGGAACTTGACGCTCACGGCGAACCCGGCCATGTCCACCGGGAACTTCCTGCCGGCTATCCAGCCGTCGTAAAACCCAGCGAACTTGCCGTTCTTCAGGATAGGCGAGCTCAATCCGAACTTGGTGCACAGTCCCACCGGGAACATCGACACCGTCTTCGTCTTCCGAATCTGAAACGCGCGCGTCGGGATAGAGAGAGACAGAGAGAGAGAGAGAGAGAGAGAGAGAGAGAGAATGAGATGATTCGTCTCGAATCTTGTTGGGAGAGAGGGTGATCTGGGTATACCTCGTTGAAAAGCTCAATGTCGTAAGTATTGTCGTCGTCGGCGAAGTAGAAGACACCTCTCGTAGCGTTCGCTCGTATCCACTGCAGACCACGATTTCTGTTCGACACCCCTCGCGGCTTCGCGCCCTTCTTGAGCTTGTACTTCTCCGGCATCGGAGCTGCACAGACCGTTCGCGATGATCGGGAGATGTTCCCTCTGATAATACTCTACGGCAGGGCTACTCGTAATTCAATTTCGTGAGAGCGATTCGTTTTACCGATTAAGTGATCGAACTTCAGACCCGTGCGCTCCAACAGCCTGGTGACTTGCTTGGTAGCGACGGCAGCATCCTCGATAACGAGCCAGTGCACGTTTTTGACTAACATCAGGGTGTGAGCCATCCTCGTGAGCTCGGGGATTTGTTCCGGTCTTCGATATGTCGGTGTGATGATGTACAAGGGCTCGACGAGATTCGACGAAGCTGACTGACGCGGCGACGGCGTCGCCGCCACCGCCGCCTTGTGCGTCGTCGTCGGCGATGTTTGCGGAAGCTTGGAATTATTTCTGGAGGCCACCGAGACGTTCTTGCTTAACTGACTGATAAGCTCTTGTACGAGCAACGAGCTTATCTCCGGACTCAGGCCATTCGCAATTTGCACTCGATACACGGCGCATCGAATCTGTAAAGAGAACGACCACGTTGTCCAACGAGGAGATGTCGCGCGGATTGGGAAATTAGTCATCGTTCGCCAGACGAGGTGAGCGACCCCGGCGAGGCGCGTTCGCAGAAATTGAGAATTCTTAATTAATTTGCGATGAATTCTCGCGCGACAAAATTGCCTGTTTCATATTAATCTTCACGCGTTTTATGGCACACCTGGGTCTTTCGTGTCCGGTCAACTTTTAACGCGCGTTCGCATGTACAGGAGTAATTAATATCGTAAATTGTGGTCAAGCTAATTCTGTATCTCTGGCAAGTATAATCGCGAAGTTTCACCGAAATGAAATTGTTTTTCACTTCTTCGTTCTAACAATATCTCGAAACGCACATCACCATCGAATATTCAATCGCTAAGAATCAATGTAAACCAATATGAACTGCGCAAGGATGTCGCTAGCGGATAATTCTCCTTTCTTTCAATGATTTGCTTTGCGAAATGGGGGAGGGAGGAAGAGAGAAACGCGCATGAATGACCTCGGTTCGACGGATAATCGCGATTGATCTCGTCATTGTTTACTCACCATGTCCTCGGTGAGCCTCGAGGTTTTACTGTAGTTGTCGCCCTCTTCGCCAATCGGCAAAACCCCGGCGTCGTCCGCAGAGTTGTCCGCATTGAAGGCCGTTACTTGGTCGAAAGTAACGCCGGTGGACAGGTGATATTGATAAAACACTACGCAGATCCCTATCAAGGCGATCACTCCCATTTTCATGGACGGCTTCATTATACCGATGCCTGTGTGGAGAAACGAGTGAATAGAGCGTCCGAGCGCGGGCGAGAAGGGACAGAGAGAGAAAGGCGCGCAGGTCTCTCGACGAAGATAATACGTATATATAACGCGCCGGGCGTTTCGCACGTGCGAAGTTCCAAAGGAGCGGCGGTCGTGACGGGGGAAAACAGAGAGACGACTCCCGGCCGAAATTCTCGAGCATCGCGAGGCATCGGGCGTGTTTTTCGATCTTCCTAATCCCGCTCCAGTTTAATAACGGGGAAATGGGACTGGCGGATTAATCGGATTTTCAATGAAAAATGCACCGCTTCGCAACTTACTCTCCGCGAACTCTCCTGCTCGGCGCGGAAAGCAGTTACTCTCTCGCGTCCCATTCCCATGCTTCCTCCTTTTCCTCTTCCACCACCACCACCACCACCACCACCACCACCACCACCACCATCACCTCCACTACCACCACCTCCACCTCCGGAGCGTGAGTTTTCAATTTTAATCTGATTCTCGGCCCGATCCAATTCACCGAGCATTACCGTGTAAATGTATATCGCGCGCGAGTTATATGTGTAAAATGTAAATTTCCAACGTAGAAACGGAACGAAGAGTGCGCCGTCCGAGGGGGAGAGAGAGAGAGAGAGAGGGAGAGGGGGAGAGACGAAGGGAGATAGAAAGCGGTAATGATGGAAAAAACTCCATGAATTAAAGCTCAACGTCGCGCATTGAAACGCGCCCTCCCATACCTCTTCTCCACGACCAGTCCGCGTATTAACGCTCGTGCAGATGATCCCGAGTTTCGGTGCGATTCCAAGCGGAAAACATCGGATTACCATAATAACCGCGTCGGAGAGCGCGACAGAGAGGAAGAGAGCGGGTGGGAGGGAAGGAGGGTCGGAAAGAGAGAGAGAGAGAGAAAGAGAGAGAGAGGGGGAGGGGGGAGGGAGGGAGGGAGGGAGAGGGAGAGAGAGAGAGAGAGAGAGAGGGAGGGAGGGAGAGAGAGAAAGAGAGAGAGAGAGAGTGAAAGAGAGATATCCACTTACCCGAATGCTACATGTGTCGGCTGCTCCGTCGTTTCCGTTGCCTCTCCTGAATCGCGAGCTGCTTCTTGCCCTGTCATCAAAATAATTAGCTCGTCAAGCTCGTAATATCTCACCGCAGCGACAGCGGAGGGAGATAGAGGGAGATTTTTTTACGGCTCGAAAAAATAACAATCACGGAGAGATCTGTTGTACTTTTTTCTCGCCTTCTTTTTTTTTTATTTTACGGAAATATATCCGGCTCCGTATTTCCGTGCACAGCAGCATGTAACACTTACGGCGTTGTTACTTGCGCTACTGCGCGTCGTCGACCCGACTCCGCGAGTCAAAAACACGAGTCTACGTACGTCTACTGCGGTCGCGGCAATTACAGACGTCTCGCGGGAGGTTTCGCTGTTCGGATTCGCGCGCTCCGCGCGCATTCGTCACTGCGGACTAATTAAATTCTCGCCGCGCGAACGTGTCGCGCGACCCCACTCCTTCCCGCGATCGGGAAGGGCGGTTCTCGGCTTTAATTATTTTTCTAGGGTCGTATTCTTCTGTTCCCCTGGGGCCAGGGGGGCCGGGAAAGTCGTTCGGTGCGCGGGCGTGCGACTCGATAGCGCGCCGGAAGAACATCCGTCAGGATCGTGGACTTGGCTGATAAACGCAGCAACGTTTAAAGCAAGCTAACGTCGCTCTCTGCTAACGAGCGAGATAACGCGAGATTTATCTACCGAATGAAACGACGCGAGTTCATGGCTCTCGAGGGACTCGCTCTTGTGAACTATGAGCCGCGTGAGTGTGAGAGAGCAATGCAATATAATTTCAGCCACGTTTCTCCCGCTCGCTCTCTTGTTCTCTCGCGCAACGTCCACCGACACACACACACACACTCTCTCTCTCTCTCTCTCTCTCTCTCTCTCTCTCTCTCTCTCGTATTCGGTGAACGTCTTATTTTCAGCGCTATTTCTTCCGCACGCTATCACCAGGCGTTCCGCTTTGTCCGTCTGTTATTAATAACGCCATCTCCTGATCCTCGCGCGATTTCATGGTCGCTCGTTTTGGCCTGCGAAGACAATAGATATTTTCAGTCGACGGCGACGTTCGCGACGGCGCATATAACTCCGTAGTGGGATATTCAAAATACTCACTTATCTTTGTCTCTCGTATGTTTATCACTCAAGCTGAATAAAGGACTGCCAGCAATGAGCTCTTAAACGCTACACTTAGCCTTCCTCTAATTTATCTCCGGCCTCTACGCTATCGTCTAAGATCTTACATAAAATCGCCAGAACGCGAAACGGCCGTTCTAAATGACAATAAACGCGGTATTTAATACTGTCGATGTTGCCGTGCGACGTCAGCTGCGGAAAAACAACGAAAACACGCGACGCGATAAAATCTCTCACCGATCTTTCAATTAGCCGTCTTCAGCCGTCATCAGCTTTGTTCAGCCGTGGCTCAGCTTGGCGCAACCGGTCGCGCTATTTATTACAGATGACAAAATTGCGGAAAATACGTTCGTCAATTGATAATTAATTCACGTCGCGTATCGTCCGTCTGTTTTGCGATATCAGAATCGATCTGCGAAAGAATAGAGAGAGAGAGAGAGAGAGAGAGAGAGAGAGAGAGAGAGAGAGAGACATACATGATTCACGTAAAACGTTATTTCATTGCCGCCGATAATATCTGTGCTGTAGGAAATACCGAGTAACGCGCGCGAGAGAAAATTGCCGTCTTCTTTGCGACCGGCGAGATGCAAATCGTCGAGTACGAACGAGTAATATTCGACCGGATGAGACGCGCGCGGATGTCGGCGAATTGTACGTTGGTAAATTCCAACGACCGGCTGTAAATATGCGGAGAAGGAAGCGCCGCGCCGCCACCCTTGGTCGATCGATCGATTCCTCGTAATTAAACGGCGCGACAAACTCGCTTGACGGAGGCGCGAACGTGGCATAACTTCGTCGTCGATGAATTACACGAGCCGGTCGATGCGCGAAAGGTTTCTTCGGGGGCACGTTTCGTTGGCACGTTTTCTCAGAGTCACGTTTTTTCTCCTTCGCCAGCCCGGCGAAATTCGATCGATGCGTGCCGCGAGCGAACTTCGCGCAACGAAATCCGGAATATCGTTTGCGGAATACGGTTACTAAGCGCGCGACGGTGTTCCCGGCTACGCGACGGTATTCCTGGCTGCGCAACGATTGTTCCAAGTGTCAATCGTCTCGAGATCGTCTACTGTGATTCGCACATGATGCCGAGAGTGTGTCGGATGTCGTTACGTCAAAGGGAGCCTTCCATTGTAACCAAGTTGTTCGCGCGACAAGATCTTAAGGTGACAAACACGGGGTACTTGAACAGATCGACATCTATTGACTGCGCTACCCACGCAATTGCAGAAGACTCGTGTCGTTGTGAAATCTCTCTCTCTCTCTCTCTCTCTCTCTCTCTCTTCCTCCCTCCCTTCCTCCCCACACAACATTGTTATGCACAGAAAAATAGGATAAAAGATCGAGAGAATCCGCGAAATTCAGCAGCCGAGCGGTACGTAGACTCGAGAACGTTGAACGGATATTTCGCGAGTTACATTTTGCATTTTACAATCGTGCGTAATTTTGCTTCTGGTCAAAGCAAACAGTATCATTTTGCGTGCGCGCGAAAAAATACAATTCGCGATAAAAATACAGTCGATAAAAATATACCGCACAACGATATTCTCGCTCTATATACAAATAGAAATTCGCGCTGTTTTCGCACGAATCTAACGGTCGCGCGTTGTTTCTCGCACAAAGGGTCCCGTTATTAAGCTTACAAGGACCCGCTGTTCTCGCGCGCTATTAATAATAACGAACCTGATAATCGGCAAATCCCTCGTACGAATCCCGGTCACGGTGCGGTGCGATTATTATGCGTCGTTTGCGCACTCCACGCCATTGAGAGCGCCGATGCAGCGCAGCGCGAAATGGCATGCAGCGATTGCTCGCGTATCCCGATAGAAACTCCGTGATATCGCTGCGCTGATAAAACCTTCATTCGACGTTGCAATATAAAAATCGGATCAATTAAATTTTATCACCCTTTCCCCGAAACCTCTCTCTTTTCTATCTCCCTCGTTCGCGCGCACGCGCGCGCTCTCTTTCTCTCTCTCTCTCTTTACAACTTGAAAATTGAATTCGCTCACTCAAACTGAATTGATGTCGGGCCAAAGTGGAATGAGTTAAAATCGTCGGCAGAGTAAAAATTTTTAACCGTGACATAAAAGTCGACGTGTCATTCCTGACTTTATCTGTCTATTTTTTCAAGCAAGACCCGCAAACGTGCATAGGAAAGCGCGAGACATTTATCGCTATTTATTAGCGGTCTTAATAACAATTTTGCATATCGCCAGAATTATTTCGGACTCTGGCGATGTAAATCCGAGCTCTTCAGCCGCGTTGCGAGCCGAAGCATCGCTTTCCCACAGTTTATTAACGTCCTCGCGTAAAACCGACAGTGTGTACGTATTGCGCAGCTTTATTTGCACGGTGCACCGCGAAAGCTAATAGCGATTAGAGGTAATAATCCAAACATCACGCAATCCTCTCTCTCTCTCTCTCTCTCTCTCTCTCTCTCTCTCTCTCTCTCTCTCTCTCTCTCTCTCTTTCTCTCTCTCCGCCACTTACTCCTCTCTAATATGCGATATGCTCGAGACATTGCCGCTGCGTATTGCGGAGCAACGCATTGCGGAACAATCTTGGCGAGTGTGGAAATCATAAGGTAAGCCAAGTGCCGACTTTTTCATTCCGATGAACGTCGAGCACACCGGGCTTTAAAACGGTTTGATTTTCTCGGCGCGATTTACAACGCAGCCGATACGACGGGAGAAATCATCTCCGGAAAATTCGCAGAAACCAAGTTTTGCCATTGAACATCCGTTGCGTTCGGAATTGTGCGAAAGAGAAGAGGAAAAAAATATGTAAACCGTGTGGAAGCTCAGTGTGCGACGACGAAATCATCTATTTATCTGATTGTTCGCACTTCTCGATGAAACCGATCGGATTAACGGCGAAAGCCAAAGTCCGATAAATGCAGGACGTTAATCGCAGCTTCCTGGAACAAGCGACGGCACTTATCGCGCGGGTTCCTGTATAAGCCGAAGACAAATTAACACATTCATCGTCGAATCAATTTTTCACGCCGACCTACAACCGCCGCCGCTCTAATCACTCGCGCACGGTCGCGAGAGAGATCCACTCTCGGACACGCTCTCCCCGGGGAACTTTAATCAGGCCACTCCTCTCAGTTAGCGCTTGGGTCTCATTGTCCCACGGGAGACCTCGCGAGATCGGCCGGCACGACCGGAACGCGTCCCGACGCCGAGATCCCATCGGAGACACGCGACCGACTCGATGACGACCGGCAATGACGACAACGATGACAACGACGACGGGAACGACAATACGGAACGCAATCACGGCTCGCTCAACACTGAAAACGTTTCCTTCGCTTTCCTCCTACTTACGTGGCCCCTCTCTCTCTCTCTCTCTCTCTCTCTTTCGCTTCTGTAACGCCTTCGTAATGCCCCACTACCAACAATGCGGCGACATGATTGTCGTACGAGAGAGAGAGAGAGAGAGAGAGAGAGAGAGAGAGAGAGAGAGAGAGAAGAAGAGGGAGGGGGCAAAGGAGAGAGAAAAAAGAGAGGCACTTTGGCTGCTGCACGTGTGCGTGCTGCGCAGGGTCACGTGGCAGAATCTATTAGCAGATTGTGGTAATTCGGCGTGAGGAAGGCGAGAGCACGTTTTCAGGCCGCGCGGCCGTCATCACCCGCGAAACCGCTCGATTTTCGCGCGGGATTCGCAATCTTTTCGTCCGCGGCGGGCGAATCGTAAAGATAAGCCGCGCGCATTAAATTGCAATGCAAATTCGCAATGTCGTTCCGCTCTAAAAGAGAATCTGAAAACACTTCGTTGGGGAGGTAGGAAGAGAGAGAGAGAGAGAGAGAGAGACAGAGAGAGAGAGAGAGAGAGAGAGAGAGAGAGAGAGAGAGAGAGAGAGAGAGAGAGAGCATAGTGCGACAAAAATTGCATGTTATATTGAAATGTGCAGAACGGACGACGTATGCGGGTTAATTGCGAATGACGAACGGACGCATTTCACATCGCCGAAACACAAAGTGGACGTGAGAATATGCGACATAGAGAGCGCACGATTCCGATGTGATACCGCCGTGAATATGTTGTATATATGTGTGTGTGTGTTGTATGTGTGTGACGAATGTATGGTACGCACTTAGGCAAATATTTGATGGACGGGATAGAGGAGATAGATAAATTTATTACGTGTTTTAGTAAGATCAAATTAAAGCACGACAAAGTAACGAGTCGAAAAGTGTGATGTACATGGTGCAAACATTGTGCACGAGTACATTGGTTCAGCTGTTGCAATCAGAGGTAGACTCTCCGCGGGATGAAACGCTCGTAGAGTGTTGCTGAAAAGGCATCAGGGCAGTCTGGCTGTCGGCAAAAAGACGGACAAAGAAACGGCGGAGATATTGATATTCGGTTGCCACGCTGAGCCAGATTGAAATAGGAATAACATTCGTCTCGCTTGTCCGACAGGCAAGCGGGATATTTCTGTCCATATCGCGATATCGCGGTGACATTCGCAAGTTGGAGCCGAACGACTCCGAAGAATTTCGCGGATAATTCATGCGACCTGGATATCGGCGCTTCCGATTTTTCGACGTGCGCAATCGCGGCTAATCAGCCGCGTCGCGAAAATATCGCTGCCGCCCACGCAATACGAATCACGTACGCGATATTGGGAGCATGACGAGCGACGGCGACATGAATCATTTATCCGGACGTTTTATTTCAGGGATTATTTCTATTAATATTTCGGCAGAAGAAGTCGCGCGAGAGGGGCAATCGCGAGCGGAATAAAGATGCTAAGGAATACATACGTGTCCTCTATCGGGCGCAAACACGGCGGTTTCCGCGAAAATAGAAAAATTATTTCGGGACCCCGAGCGTTATCGTCGGCAAGTTTCTTATCGGCAAGGAGCTCGTCGAAGACGCATATAAATCGTTCTCGCGTTCCTCGTCCACATCGCGCGTCACGACGGGTACAAGAAGGTAAACAACACCGCGCCTCTTTCGTGTCTCTTTCGTTTTATCGAGCGAGCTTTACCCGCCTAATGCAAAGTACGCCCTGATTTCTTCGCTTCGTACCAAGGTAGAAGTCTTGAGAGAGAGAGAGAGAGAGAGAGGGGAGGGAGAGAGGAAGGGAAGGGAAAAAGAGGAATATTTTTTATATTGCATCGTGGAGGCGTCGCGCGACAGCTTTGACGTAATCACGCAGAAATCGCGCCGCACTTTTCGTGTGACGTGTGACATGCAGAAACACGTTGTCGGAGCGACCTCGTTAAACGCGGTACGCCGTAACTGGCATGATCTGCACGGTGGGGGAGGGAAAACAATTTTCAGCGTGATTAAAACAGCCGAGCAATATCTGTTAGAATTATCTGGATCGCACGCGAGCGAAATTTACAAATTCTGCCGACTGTTGAGTTTTCGTCCGACCGGTTCTGCATATATACGATACATACATTTTGCATACGCATCTCATTGTTACCAAATAGCGCTGTGACTCACGTTCACGTTCGTATTTCGAAAGCTTAGCTGATAACGGGAAAACGATACGAGCATGCGATACCCGTACGTGGCACGTGCTCGCGATCGTCGGCGCACGAGAGAGAGACAATGTGTGGTTGTGTAATGATCAATAATACGAAGCGCGAAACGAAGACAGTGGTAGCGCAATGGCGAAGGACGAACCTTCGAGCGCCGGTTCAGAATAGACGGAGCGGCGAGTAAATCGTTTGGCAGAGAAGCAATCGAGTTCTCTCTCTCTCTCTCTTGCGCGCGCGCCCGGTGTGACCCGAATAAGTAATTAGCTTGACGTAAAATCAATCTCGAACATCACCGATTGATCACGATCGATTGATTAAATATTGGCCCGCCGCCGCAACGGGGATATCCCCCGCATGGCAATTTAATTCCATTAAAATTTCCGGCGTTACGGTCCTCCTCCCCTCGCCTCTGTTCGTGTGCACGATGGATAGCAAATACTTGATATTACATCGCGCGCTATGCACGCGGGATGCACGCGGACGACTCCGCATAACGGCGAATGTTGGCGGACAAATATGTAACTATTCGTCGTACATTTGCGCGCACCGCGAAGTATCCGGAATATGAGACTGTATCTTTGGCACTCGAGCCCTCTTTAGACGATCAATTATTCGCGACGGAACTTGGGACATGGGGTGTCCCGTGTGTATGGTGAGTGTTCGACTTTACGTGCAGACCGTGTGACAGAGAACACTTGGAAATTTATTGGGTCCACATACGTGTACAGTGTTCGTAACGGCAAGAAAGTGATTACCCATGCGAGAAGAAGTAAAAAATGTAGAATAAATTTTTTCCCACGAGGGTTTGTCCTCGAGCAGATCAATATTGAATATTCGCCGACTACGCTGTGTGCACTTTTGACCGTTGCGTGGAACGTCCGTCCCTCTTTCGCTTCTTTCACGTAGAAACGTAAAATTTTGCCTTAAATTCTGCTCGCGAATTATACAGCTCATCCAAAGTGACCGTCCCGTCGGACGATCGGTTGTGCGCGCGTGTGAAAAATTCCGAGGTTGGAGTGATTTTTCTGCGCGGACTATACCGTCAATATTTTCACGGAGAGCACTCTTTACGTATACTTACATACTCCGTTTGTATCGCCAACTATTTGCCGAAGACTATAGCGGCAGTTCCTCGCTCCGAGAGAAAATAGTAAAAAGATACGCCACAACCTCGGCGTCGGCAATCCTTGAAACCCGCGTATTTACCGGAGTACCGCGCATTTCCTCTCCTTTCTTCTGTGCAGTCCGCTCGCGAGAACTGCGCGCGGCAGGACTAACGAAGGAAGATATAACGCGGGAGGATATATCGCGGAGTTTGATCGATTCGCGTTCGAGCAGGCGAGTTTCGGGACGAACGGATATGTTTGTACAAGCTCTCCCCGGTTTCGCGTTTAATTCCCGAGCACGTTGCCACCGGCCGCCCATCCGTGTCAGATCCTCGGGGGCGCAATTTCGAGACGAGGTCGCGTAATTTGTAACGCAACTTTTGCTATCGGAGCCGCAACTAATAAGAAGTTCCCGCCGGCCAAGCGATATGCCGGCCGGTGCGCACGGTATGGTCAGTGCCTTTTCGGTTTGGAAGGCACACGGTACGACCGCGCGCCGGGTGCCTTCGCTCTGGTCGATAGTCACGCTCGCCTCAGCACAGACACCATGTGAATTCTCTCCCCCTTCTCTTACGCGCCTTCGCGATACCCCCGGTGGTGTGTCCTTCCCCTGATACCGCTTACTTAGCCGTCCGCGTACGCCGACAGAATTTTTCGCGGACGAAGCCCTTCGTGCGCGTGTCGGCCGGCGGGATGCGGCCCCCTCCCCCCCCGATCAACGCCCACGAGATCTAACCGACGAGACAATGCCCCCTGAGCTCATTAGGGGCTGTAATTATAATGTAAACGGCTGCAGTCGAGTCACGATCGTTCGTGCTGCCGAAAGTTTCAGTATTGTTCGCACGAACGACCAAAGTCTCCCGAGACAGTCGGCGATCCGACCTTTCGGAGAATTAGAACAACGTGTACGCGAATGAGGATTTTCTTTTATCCCCCTTCTTCAGCGGAATCTCGTTTTAGAGATAAAACAAGACCGGGCCGCCGCGCTAGAGGTGGCGGCGCCGATTGTTGACGAGTTTACAAGAGGGCACCTTTTTTCCTCCCTCTTAAAAATTCAGAGAAGTGCAGGTGCATCCTCTTGGTGATTCCTCTCACGGCGCCCTACCTTCCCCTCTTTTTCCCCCTGTCTCGTTCTCCATCCGTTCTGTCCTTCTTCCGCCGTCATATTGATCGTGACTTACAATACCAAGGTGTGTGTGATATACGTGTAATAATGTAAATCGGGGATCTCGCTCGACATCTCGACAGAGACCTTCCGTGACCGATCTCGCCGGGTGCAATGTAGATTACACGGATTATCAATAAGGGCCAGTTGGCGCGTTGCCCGGAAATGTGCTCGGATAAGCCGACTCGCGATCGATCAAGGTCGCGGTCGATGCTGTTCTAACGGGTGTCACTCCTCGGTCGTTTGATTTCGCAACATTGTGTCGGCTGTTTCTTCGCAATCTTTCGCGTCCGTTTCGCGAAGCGGCCGGGTATCGGCTGTCGAGATGGATTTATTCCAATGCGCATACTATGTACATATATACAAGGATATCTTTTTACAGGACGGATTTCGAAATGTACACGTTGGCAATAACGCTAGCACGCTGCTTCAAAACGTGCGCTGCATGCAAAACGCGCAAACGATCGGGGTCGTCCACCACGTCCTCGTGCTTTTGTAACTAACTTTTGTAACCGTCCACCTTAATCCAATCCAATTAACTCGGCAACATCCCTCGCGAAATGGCTACACGTGTACCTTCTCCGTAATACCGTATTTCCCCGTGGAGTTCCCGCGCCGCCGAAGCAAACAAGCGTGTTGCTCACGAGCTCGACGAAGCGCGATCGTCTACTCCTCTTTCTTTGCTTCAGCCACTTCCAGGCTCTCAATTATCGGCGTAATATCATAATGCGAGACCACCTCTTTTTCTTCGGCTTGACATTGCCGCCTTTGGACTCTTCCGCGCGTCCATCGAGAAAAATTCTCTTTCTCTTTCGTCTTTCGGAGGGAGGGGGGAGGTCTCTCTTTTGCCCTCGGCCGAGCCGAATCGCTACGACTTCGATGGCGATTCGTCTCGCCCCGCGCGAGACGCGCGCAACCCACCCTGGCCAACGTCCTTACGTCGCCGCTCCAGGACTTCCCGATAACTTAAGCCAGTTAAATACATTTCCACTTCCTTTATTGACCTTCCGATATCAGCCCCCTTCCCTAGCACCCCTTTGCCCTCCCGTTCCTCCCCTCCTGGAGCAATTCCACTCTAATCGGCATGGCGCAAAGGTAGCGCCACAGTAGCGCGCTGGAAGACCATTCACCACCGCGAGGCAAACAGCAGCAGATTTGGATAAATATTAAAAGCGATTACCGGACACACACACACACTGGGTATCGTCTCCTCCTCCTCCTCCTCCTCCTCCTCCTCCTCTTGCGCCTCTTCTTCCTTGTCAGGACTCTCGGCAAAGTGTCGTCGAGTCTTGCCGGCGCGCTCGAGCGGACGCAAATATTTAGCCAAGGCAGTTCGGCACGAGGAACTGTGCTCGAGGTTAAGCCATCGGGTCGTTAATCCTGATTAATCCCAGTAATCCGTCAGGATAATCAACATCGGAGCGGAGAAACGCTCCGGCGCGTGTGCCTCTCCATTTCTCTGGCCCCTTAATGATCCTCGTCGCGAGATTCTGCGATGTCTTGAAGAAATCGCCGCGACTTCTCAGCGCGAGACTGACGACTACAAATTAAATATCGGCACCTGACGCGACGAAAGAGGATCGTAAACGAATAGAATCGGTGCGCGCGTTCCGTGTCGTTCCGGGTTCAAGCAACTGGAAAAGCCAAAGGCCAGCTGCATTCGCCGCTAAATGCGCGACCATATGACTGGTTGAGCGCGAGACGGCTCGGCGAGCACACGAATCTGCGCGTCCGCATTTAGCACGCCGCGAGGAACGCGATTACCGCGTTCCGTATCCCCGTGAAACGCATCGCGCGCGTTAAGCTGCGCGACGACGACGACGTCGACGACGACGAGGACGACCGTTCCGCGTCGTTAAGCAGCGTCGTTAAACAAATGTCCCGCGACTGGATTCGCGTTATTCCGCAGAAGCAAGTCCGCTCGCACGCCTCGAAATCTCGCCGATTTCGATTCAGCGAGGCTCGAATCGTGCGCACATCGTTCGCTCGGTCGGCGGATCCGGCGAGAAAAATGGAGCCTCGTGGCTAAAAGGGGGATGCACGTAGGACGTAAGACGCACACACGCTCGACGGCATTCACGTCGATCTCTCGGCGAAGGCGCATCCGCGATGCGTGCTGCGGTGTGACGTTCCTCTGCCTCTCTCTCTCGCTCTCGCTCTCGCTCTCGCTCTCGCTCTCGCTCTCTCCCTCGCTCGTCTCTCCGCCGGATCCGTCCGCGAAGCGGAAAAAAGGCGAGCGTTCCCGTGGCTCGCGCGACCTCGTCAACGTGCATCCCCCGCGACGGTATTGCGACCATAGTGACTCACCATAGTGACGAGGGTGTCCCCGTCGCCGTCGTTCCGTCGTCCCGTCGCAATCTCCGTCGGCCGCCCTCGCTGTCGTCCAACTACCCCCGATCAGCCGATCGGCAATCACGGCAACCGCCACACTGCGGCGGAAAGCGCTACGAGAACGCTACTGCCGTTCCGGAAAAAGCGGGGGCAGATCGCGGCGGCGGCGGCGGCGGCGGCGGCGACGGCGACGACCACCGCCGCTCGCGACCCATGCTGCGGCATGCGAAATCCGACGCGCATGTACCTTGGCGACGGCGCCGCGACGCCGCGCGTCGCGCAGCCGGCGGATACACCGCGGCGGTGTGCGGTGCACGCACGTATGCACGTACACATGCGCGTACACAGCGTATACGCGCGCGCACACATGCACAGCGACATTTCGGGCCGGTTCCACGCGGTTGATCGAAAGAGCTGCTCCGACCCTTCGGCGTCACGGACGCTTTATTTCGCTCGCGTTCAATGCGCTCGCAGGCTACCCTCCCCGCAGATTCGCTCGATGAGAGTCTTGCTGCGAGAACTCGTAGACGAGACCGTCTACGAGGACATAGGTGGGCGAATGGAAGTTCTCGTAGGAGTTGATCAGCGTTTCATCAGCTGCCTATTGCCGAGAGCCCGTGCAACTCTCCGAATGCAATCGATCGCCTTTTGCATCTGTGAATCAATGAGAAAGAGAGAGAGAGAGAGAGAGAGAGAGAGAGAGAGATTGGATGTGTCGGTGCGTTTCGCAGGACACGCCACGTCTCCGAGAGACGTCGAGTGGACGCGATGGGGAACTTGATGATTTCCCCCGTGTTTCGCCGTGCTCGTCGCTTGTTGTTCATCGAGATTATGTATTCGCATTGAAACACCCCGAACTCGGCAGTTCCGTCTGATCAAGCAGACCGGTCCGGACACTCCGGCCGACCGCGTTTAGAAAGTTCATTCGACCAGTCGGCACACATACGCGTGCCGATCGCGGATTCCCTGAGGTTTATCGATGTAATGCACATATGGCAACGCGCAACGATAAGAGCGGCTAGTTCAATGTCGTACATTCAGTATTTCCCAGACCATATCGATGAATCACGTAATGCGTATGAAAATAGCGAGATCGTTATCACTGCTTTTCCGGAATTATGATTTTTTAAACGATTATCTATAGTCCACTTATCGCGATAATATCGGCGATACGAATGTTGACTGAAGCAAAATATTTGCTGAACGTTCGATTACACATACAGAATATTCCACATTCAACGAACGATTTCAATTACAAGTTTTTAAAGGTCCTCGTCGTGAAACAGACTGTAGTCAGCCAGTTCGGAAGTAGGGAACAAATCTATGAAGAAATACTACTCAGCTTTTAAATTTAAATCCACTTGTCGTTTCTCAGAGCTTCTCGGAGAGGTTCATTGTAAAATCGAGAATCGGAATCTTTCGAGTCTCATACCAAACTTCTACTCCTGATTCTATTCCATCGTTTTCACGTTATCATTTTTCCCCACCTCGTTTATTATATACCCCGCGCTTTCGATAGACCGGTCAATTCGACTTCGCCACAGTACGTCGACGAACGAATCTGCCGCCAAAGCGACGAGAGCCAACGTTATGGCGGCCAGAATCGGTGGTAAAAGTCGCAGTACCCGCCATCTACATGTCCGGTGAACACAGCCTGGCGGAGACGGCGTTCTCGCGGCACCTTGCGGCGTTCGGTGACGGTGCGGGAGAAACGCGCGATTCTGCGGCACAGCAGCGCGACGGCCCTGGCCGGGGGTTAAGTCTCTTCTGTTGGAAGTGCTCTGTATACGTGTGACGGCGGTGGCTTTTGTTTCTCCCGAGTAGTGCGGGAGGCACGGCGCGCCGTGAAGGGAGCGCGTGAGGTAAGCGACATTGGCGGCGGCGACGGCGGCGGCGGCGGCGGCGACAGTGCATTACGAGCCACCGGCAGAAGACGAAGGAGAAGGAGGAGGTAGTGAAGAAGGAGGAGAAGGAAGAGGAGAAGAGAGAGAGAGAGAGAGAGAGAGAGAAAGAGAAAGAGAGAGAGGGACCGCGTCAGGAAGCGCTTGCACGCGGTGTGGCGAAAAATGGCGAAGACGTTTCGCGCGGTGACGGTCACGACTCTGTCAAACAATGGACAGTCTACGCCGAAGTACAACAAGCCGGTCACGCTCAATATTAATTATGACCCGCAGGGCCTCAGCGTCGAGCTCGTCTCAGGTAAGGGAAGCAAGCCGTTATACGCCGTCTCCTTGGCCCAGCGCGGCCGTTGGACGGCGCGACGCGGCCAACGGCGACGCGACTGATCGATCACGCGACCGATCGCGGCCCGGGCAACATAACCACACTTTGCATCGAACCTCGCGTCGCGTGATGCTCGCCGTGTTAATTTTCACCGTCTTGCCGAACTGCGGTCAAACTTGCGAATCCACCGAGCCTCTTTTTCTCTCTCTCTCTCTCTCTTGTTCTCGCTCTCTTTGTATCTCCTCCCCCCTTGCTTTGCTCCGCGGCTCGGTTCGCTTCTGTGTTGTCGAGATCACCGGCGTCGAGATCGTGGTGGCTCTCACGCCGTGGTATTGTCATCGAGCGACGCACGCGAATGACCTTCCTGTTTAGCATGCTGCAAGTTTTCTTTTTCTCAGCTCTTCGGCCGTTATTGAGTTTAATCGGGCTTCTTCTCACCTATTGCTCCGATAAACGATATGGCGTTAATTAGTCGCGCGAATGAGTCAGATACCGCCACTCGTACATTACACGATGCTACCGATGCTATTGTTATATTTTGCACGGGAGGGATTATCTTGTGCAAAGAAACATTGGTATCGATTTGCAATTGATCAGCCGATTTTTGTCAATATAATTCGTCGTTACCGCGGTGATTTTGACGATAAATTTCGTTAATGCTTATTTTGTTGAAGTAAAAAATATTGATCAGTTTTGATTCTTGTAGGAGATCTTAGCAGCAGGGAAAAATCATCCTTATTGGAATTTCCAGTAACTCCCAGCACCGAATGTTCTCGTATATCATCTCGAAGTTATGTTTTTACAATTGATACAGATAGTTTACTCATTACATTTGCTAATGAAACAGGTGAGCCTGCAGTTGTTTATGTCACCTAATCTGCATGAATTTTTAAGAACTCTTTAATATACACACATAAGCAAGATATTTAAGTCTCAACAATCATATTTAATCTACAGATTTCCGCAACTTTCATTCGCAAATAGTAAAGCTCAAAATGGGGAAAGGCGTGTCAGCATTTAATGAGAGAACAGAAGAGTCTTCGGCGATGCAGTATTTCCAGTTTTATGGCTACTTGTCGCAACAACAGAACATGATGCAGGATTATATTAGAACCAGTACATACCAACGAGCGATTCTTGGCAATTTGTCCGACTTTAAAGATAAGGTTGTGCTAGATGTAGGAGCAGGGTCTGGAATATTATCATTCTTCGCTATACAAGCGGGTGCAAAAAAAGTGTATGCAGTAGAAGCGAGCAATATGGCAAACCATGCGGAATTACTAGTTGCAGCTAATAATTTATCAGATAAAATAATAGTCATAGCGGGAAAAATAGAAGAGATCGATTTGCCGGAGCGTGTGGACTGTATAGTGAGCGAGCCTATGGGATACATGCTATATAACGAAAGAATGCTGGAAACCTATCTACATGCGAAAAAATGGTTGGTTCCAGGTGAGTGTCCTATGAATGCACTGTCCTTCGTTTTCTTTATTTCTGTTTTATAATGAAATAATTTGTATGGCTGCAGGTGGAAGAATGTTTCCCTCCAGAGGTGATCTGCATATTGCACCATTTTCCGATGAAAATCTTTACATGGAACAGTTTAACAAAGCTAATTTTTGGTATCAGACATGTTTCCATGGAGTAGATCTCTCTGCCATGAGAAACAATGCCATTAAAGAGTACTTCAGGCAGCCGATCGTCGATACTTTCGATATTAGAATATGTATGGCGAAATCGGTGAGGCACATAGTAGACTTCCAAACAGCTAATGAGACTGATTTACATAAAATAGGTACGCAATAAGAATCTCAGGCATTATGATATATAATATACATACATACAATCCCCTTGCTAATATCTTGCAAATTATGTTTCCTTGTAGAAATAGATGTCGATTTTCATATACTGGAAAGTGGCACATGCCACGGTCTAGCCTTTTGGTTCGATGTAGCATTTATCGGATCGACGCAACAAGTTTGGCTGAGTACGGCTCCTACAGAACCTCTCACGCATTGGTATCAAGTACGCTGCCTCCTGGAGAATCCGCTCTTTTGTAAAAGCGGCCAGCTACTCTCCGGGAAAGTAATTCTTATAGCGAATAAAAGGTAAACATGCCAACTTGTAACTCGTATAGTGTTTTACGGATATTTAATTTTCCGCAATTGTTATTATTGTGTTTTACCTGATATATTTATTTCAGACAATCTTACGACGTAACAATAGACCTGAAGCTCGAGGGAACGAACTTGGAGAGCAGTAGCAACACTTTGGATTTAAAAAATCCTTACTTCCGATATACTGGTGCTGCAGCGCAACCACCGCCTGGCTTGAATAACACCTCACCTAGCGAGTCGTATTGGACAACTCTAGATGCGCAAGGTGCTCGACAAGCAGTGAATATGGTTAACGGAATGTCGGTTAATGGTCTCGGCGAAGTCTCGATGGACACGAGTACGGCCGTAAATCCGAATAATTTGCTGGCAATAGGTAAGATTTGGTTTGACTCCCCAGTATACCACTACATGTGTTAAACGTGCCATGTGTAATATATAATATTGTAATCAATATGTCCTTGTATCACACGTATAACGCCAGGAAAGTTTCAATTCCTCCAGTGTTTCGATTGATTTTTGTACTGAACGTATTCATCATGAGATTTAATGCGTCAAAGTACGATTGAACGATATTAATTTAAAACATAAAATATTACAAGTAAAACGTTTCAGTAGCAGTAAACAACTGATTTTAAAATTTAAAAGATGCATTTTATTTGTCTACCGGTTCCCGTAGTTCCCGCTACATACCGCAATACGTTTTATATAATGTGTTATTGTACAAGAATATTCTGACTCGTATTCTTTTTTTCCAAACGACTGATTTATTCCATTTTTACCAAAATCTTATCCCAGTGACGCTTTTTCTATATAAAAGCACAATGTTGAAAAATAAGCATGAAATACAATAGTTGGTGTATAAATGTTTCATTAAACAATTCTTATTAGAGTGCTACAAATGTGCTTCGAAGGCTGTCATTAGATACTGTTAATGTAGAAATACTTCTTTTTTTTTCTTTTTTATGTATACACATCTCCAAAATTGTAAAGCAATTGGTAACTGTATGAGTAACTATATAACTATGGGTAGCTGGCAGCTATAGTTTGTTCCGATAGTGAGACATTTAGAAGACGAACGCATTACGGTAAATATAAGTTACTTTTGACTCTTATATGGTGATATTGTTCTAATTATAAATGTTTTGTAACCATTAAATATCAATTTGTCGAACATTTCTATTGTAATAGTACTTACAGAAAATGGACTGAGATATTTTATTATTCTACATCACGCAGGACATTTGTACAAAGAAGAAAAGTTCCTTGTGATTGTTCTAATTTATACATTTTGTAGAATTCAACTCATGTAAATAAACTTCTTTTTAGAGTAGTATGGGCTTATAAATATTTGACTATACTAATCCCATACTCGAAAATTGAGTTTGCTTTTTTTTTATCCCAATGCTTTTGTGTAAGTATAATTTAGAACTGTCCTACTTATTTGTGAGATACAAGTAGACATGTGTCTGCTGAGAAAATGGATAAGCCCATTTTTATCATTGAGCGCCTGTTATAGGTTGCTTCGGTGGCTTGTATAAATATATCTTACTATAGATTACTTATTTCATTTTTATTTATAGATGCACGTTTCACACAACATTTAACTCCTATTGTAAATCCAAACACTTGACATTTTTTATAACATTTCCAATCGATTAGTTTGCTTTGCACATTTGAAATTTAAGAGTTCTTTCAATTTATTACTTGGAGCTTCTGAACAACATTCTACTCGAGCTTTCTCTTTTTACTTTTATCAACGATAGTTGAGGCGCTTTGTACTTATGATGCGGGATAATATTACGAAAGTATGATACTTGAGTTCTTTTTATTTATACTTTGTGCTCAAAATGCTACAGATCTCGTGTACGATACGATTTCACAGACGATACATAGGATTTCCTTTATGTAACAGGTGGCCAGCCAAACATACATCCCGGTTCTATCTCGAGTACTGGACGAGGTCGTGTGGGAGGTACAGCCACGAGCACACAAGCAGCACAATTGATAGGAGGTGGGATAACTCCGAACATGTTCACATCACCCGCTACTGTAAGTATAATATGTATATCAATATTTTCATACACACATACACACTACACTGGCAGCCGAAAATTCGCGAGCATGAAAAGCGCACGTCCCGCAAAATTCTTGCGATAGCTCGCCACACACAATATTCAATATCTGATTACGTCTAATACACGTAAGAAACGGAGACTAAAGCTAAACGTTTGCCTGCGTGACTTTCGCGCTACAGCTTGGTGTTACTTTCCAGCAATCGCTGGTCCTTGGCAACACTTCTCATTATCCAGTGAACCCCAGCTTGATGATCGGCGACTACGTGACCCCTGGGAACGGCATATCGCCCCAGGCGTATCGGCAATGATCTATGGCAAGATCATTCCTCGCCGAATATTCCCGCAAAATAAAACAGTTACAGAGTGAGCGTAATAGCTGTAGCAATATTGGCGATACCGGCAACAACAGTAAGCAAAGCCGCAAATTGGTATTTAGCTCCCCAGCCAGTAAGCTTCGACTTTCGTCCGCCGTACGGATTTTAAGTACTGTCGACCTGGCCAGCATCAATCCGGACTCAAACCACAGCAACACTGCTTATCCAAACAAAAATAATACATTCGGTCCTGGGTTTGACTGGAATCACGCAAGGAATAATAAGTCTCAGTGGGAGGCACGTTGGAAAAGACTGCGAGCCGTCCTCTCGTAGTTGTCATTAGTTTTCATGCGATTAATTTTTCATTTAGTCATCTCTCGAAAAGAAAAGGAAAATAAGAAAAAGCAAGAATGATCTTCCAGATCGACGTGCATGCTTGCCAAATACACCCATGAGAATATAATATTTTTTAATGACAATACAGTCGTCGTTGTAGTATAGGCATCACTATTTTACGAGGTCTTGACACGAATCTGTGTGCGAAAATCATAATTTATTACGAAAGAAGGAACCGAGAATGATCATATTATGACATATTTCATTTTAATTTGGTGAACTGAAATATTTTAGGATTGACTGAGTATTCTCTCTCTCTCTCTTTCTCTCTCTCTCTCTCTCTCTCTCTCTCTCTCTCTCTCTCTCTCTCTCTCTCTCTCTCTCTCTCTCTCTTTTACATACATACACATACACACACACACACATATGAAAACAGCGTATTTTACTGAGCTGCGAGGTTGGCTCTTGATTGGATTTCGATATCAAGTGACTTTTATACGAGTTTTTAGAATAGGACGGAACAGCGTTTCGAACATTTTGAGAAGTGCAAAGAGCAATAATATATTAGGCATACGTTGTAGAGCACTCTGTGGCATTACCTGTTAATCGGACGTCTCCGCGTGCGCTTGTTTTATACAGTTGTTGTGTTTTTCTTCTTTTTCCTCTCTTTTTACATCATTAGCATGACAATATATACAAGAAGTACAACTTTTTTATGAATATGATTGACATGATGACGTATATTTCAGTTCCATATAATCCGCAACGAGATGTTTTAAACTGTTTAACGCGTGTTATCGACGAATATTTGTGTATTACATTTCGTAGACAAATTGTATATATCTAAATATGCATGACGCAAACATATAAGTTTATGGGATACTTCATCCAGAAAAAAAAGCAAACAGAAACGACGGCTACCGATTCAACACGACACGATACCGAATCATCTGACACTTTGAGTTATGTTGCCATAACATAAGCGTAGCTACAGATTTGTTACAAATGTATTGCGCATTGTGGGGAAGAAGATCGCTCGAATGAAATCTTATAGTTTTATATAAGATTATCTGTAATTTGTAAGACTAGATTTATACGTTATACTTAATTTTCTTTTTTTTACATGTATTTTGTAGTCGCGACAAATGTCTATTTCGAAAGATTCTCCTCGAGCGTTATTTATAAATCGTAACGAACATAGCGACGCTACGCGTCGTAGACGTTTCAGCGATTCTATGAAGTCGCTTTCTCTTTGCCATTGTCATGATGTGCATAAACTGTAAAAGTAATATAAGGATTCGATGTGTCACTTTTACATCGAGGCGTTTCTTTCCCGGGTGCGTATATTTTGTAATTTTGTGATAACAGCGAAGCCGACGGAGCTTTTGAAGATAGACATTTTTCGCATCGATGATCTGTACACGTAAAAAGTGATGCTTGGAAATTTATCCATGTTCCCTGTACTCATAATAATGTGATGAAGTAAAAAAGGAAATATACGGCCATAATGACTTTTCATCATATTTAACCCTTTCCACTCGTGGATTGAGATACAACGGTGTAGAATTATTCGGTATTTGTGCAGGCATTGTAAGTACGGAAAGCTGTATGAAAAGCCGTTGTAATTGTACGTTGAAATTATATCTTTTACAAGATCCACATCGGCGATCATTTCCCGTTATCAATCTTTCAATCGTCGAATCAACGAAAACAGATTTCAGAGTGTAAAGGGTTAAATTGAGCTACTAAACTATTTTACGTACAGTCTCTCACATACAAGGCGAACACGTAACACGACGATGTCTATCTACATCGCACTAAGGACTTTTTATTCCGGTAAATAGATGTGTGAGTTGTGTGTGGCACAACCATCGATCGTCCAGGTGCATGTAATTAATTGTACATATACCTGTATCCTCGAATCACATTTTTATGTATTGCTTAAGTACACAGCAGGTAAATCTCGAGAAGAGGATCTTTTTTAAGTCTAATTAGTTTCTAAGGACGTTACACAACTTACACTTTATTTGTTATCTGCACACGCTTGCCATCCAATCCCGATCACAATCTCCTGATTACTTCATCGCTGGTTAACGGCTGACAATTGAATTTTGCAGCGGCTTATTTCGGTGTTCCTTCCCGTAGGCATTTGTTGAACCGAAAAGAAAGAGGAGAAAGGAGATATATGGAGGAGGAACTCCTTGGTGCGAAACGTTCGCGCGGATACGCTTCCGTGCGCAATGTTCTCACCCATTGTACTTTGAATCAAAGCTGAATAGTTTGTACTTATTCTCCATCGACGGGATCTTTGGCGAATCGTGTGGATACTCGTGCGAAAAAAGTGCGGGAGCGGCGCGCGACAATTTCTCGATGAAGTATTTCTAGAAAACGAACGTAGAGAGGATGGGAGAAGAATTCGTATCGCTTGTTAATGCGCATCGGCACACAAAACAAATCAATCTCGTGACAGGCATTCCACAAGTGCTGCTAATAATGCATGGTTTGTTGTTGTAATAATTAATATAAGGACTCGCTTCCACATGGTTATTTTTTCTTTCTTTTTTTTTTTTTTTTTTTCTCGATGCAGCGGCGCCGAGAGCAACATCCAGTGGGAGTCTAACGCTCCGCTTATCTTGGTTTTTTCATGTGCTCCGCACTTTTTCCATTGCTCATGAATACATCATGTAGAACATCGGGAATGTACGATGATGATATTGAGGACGACGAGATGATAATCGTCCGCTACGTACGTTTCCGGATGTTGCTCTCGTCGCGGTCTTACATTGATGTGAGTGTGTGCGTTTTTCTTTTTGTACCGTTTAGAATATCGAATATATAAGACTGGTAAACCGCTCGAAAAAACATATACGCAAGTACATATCTTATCCCAGTTGCGTCCGTCGTTGCTCGTTGTCGCGTTCTCATGTCTCGCGTATTCTGTCGAAATTTTCACATGATTTCAACGTGTATAAAATTCTATTGAAAAGCGCGTGTCGTCTGTTTGGAGAGAATTGCTTTGCCCTATTTCCATCCGATCGTTGAGACGTTCCATCGATTTCCAAATTGGGGTATACTTCGTTAATTAGCTTCCCCTCGTGTGTGTTTTCGGGCGGTATGTTCGAGTATTAATAGTCCAGCAGCATTACATATAGAAATCCGTGCGTTTCAACGACTGAAAACTATATAAGATATCTCAGGTAGTTTACGCGAGTTCGAAGGATGCCTTTACTGCGCCGAGTGTTTGGATCCGATTACGATTGTTTTCTTTCTCTCCCACAAGAAGTTCGCTCTCGATTCGGCATTACGATGCGAGAAGATACGCAGGTTCTCGTTTACGATCCGTATCCGAGTCAAGCATAAGCATGCTTTTACCAAAACATTGTATAATCGCATGAAATCAGAATCATATACAAATATAATCTATAGTGTAACTGTGTAGTAAAACTGAGACCAGTCGTACTTGAGACAAGTTTCTTTTCGAACCGATCGTTTCTCCTTTGCCACATCCGCGGAACTTTCCACTCAACGTGGTCATTTCGGGACATTCTGTTAGTTCTAACGCTCGGTTAAGCAATTTTCCTTTTCAAGTCCCAGCGGATAATCGGTTCTCGGCATTTCAGAACGATTTTTGTCCGAAGCATAAGAGCCAACTGCCCAGTTTTATTTCACGTATATAAATTAGAGATGGATTATTTTTGAGAGGTTTCTTACGAACATACGTTGTTTCTGTCGCGTGTTTATAAGAACGAAATTCTACATTACGCGAGCGGAAAGAAACGATTGATACTGCTGAAAAATTGTACTTGGCGGTAACAGGATTACAGACAAGCAATAACATATTGTTCTAGACATTATACATTTAATACGTTGTATTCATTGTAAATACGACAATTTTCGTAGTAACTGACATTCTTTTTTAAATTCGCTTACAAGAATTTCGTATCCGTATGCTGTGTAAGATAATAACTGAGATAATATTTGGTTTTATGACGTTTGATTTGATGATACCGAAGTCAATGAACGCTCACACTTGTGTGTGTATGTGTGTGTGTGTGTCTATTTATTGGCAATTTTAATAAATTCTAATGACTTACTTTTTAGCAGCGAAGATCACACGCACAAAGAATTTATTGTCTTAATTACAAGAATACCAGTTTTATAAGAAATAGAATTTAAGTAAAACAGTTCAGTGTTTAGTTTCAGTAAACACACGACTGCGTTAAGCTGAGCATAATTTTAACGGGGATTTATAAGTGTAAGCTCGCGATAAGTTGTCCGATCTTTCAACAATCTACGACGCTACGCGTCTGGTGGCGTTTGGAATTGAGATCTTTTCCCTCTTCATCCGGAGAGCCCCGTTTTTTTAATAAAGGTGTTTCAACGAATTGCGTCTATCGTGTATGTGTATTTTGTGTAATTATTAAAACCTTTTTGCAACGAAGGTCTGCCAAGTGATTATTCTTCACGACGAATTCACGATTGAAAGCGAGCGACCGAAGAGAAGAGACTTGGCAAGCTTCGAAAGGAGCAATTTATTGCATATGGGACTCGATATATACATTGTATCATGTGATATGATTGATTTCTCATAGTATAACGTATGCGTAGGAGCTGTGTTTCGAATTTCTTTTTTACACAATTTTACACGAATACTCGCAGAAATGTAAGAAAGTGTATGTTAAAACTATACGTATATTTGACGCATAATAAATATTCGGATCGCGTATACATATACATATATATATATATATATACATATAACAAATATCCCCCAAAATAACTAAAACTCGCGGTGTGCCGTACAATTATCTTGAGAACGAAAATAACGAATGTTACATAATGACTGACTCGCTTTGAGACGATTATGAAACGATTATTGCGACGAGCGTTTCTGTGCGTAAAAGTGTACACGATATACATTGTGTTAATGTTCTCCGTGCGTTTTAGAAGGTTTTAGAAGGCTTCTCGTTGACACTTTCCTAGTGCTTGTAGTCGCTAAGTTGCGTTCCAACCGAACATAACGTGAGCGATTATTAGATATATCGTTATGGTTAAAGTACTTGTTACCATGATGGGGAATCCTATCCTGCAACATATTCAGGCAACGGCAGGAATTTTAATTAACAAGTCGCGGAACACCTCCATGTAACTGGCGCGTGCGATAAGAAGACAGTTGCGATTTACGTTTACGTAGCCGTCGCGGCTACTCTCTTACTTACTTGAAGAACTGCATGAAACTGAACTTGTAACCGTGTTGCTCCGCGACGCCCACGCAGACCACATTGGCGGTAGCTCCAATCAAAGTTCCATTTCCTTTAAACACCGCAATCGTTCAAATAGCTCACGTAAATAGAAGAACTGGCGCTCGTCGAGGAGCTCGTCGAGGGGCGCCAGTTTCCACGAGTCGCGGCCTTTCGTTATCCCGCGCGATACGATAGCTGAGACAAGTAAATCAAGCAACGTGATCATGGGCGAACAAAGTGTTCACTTCGAGAGCGAGAGCGAGTTTCGTAGCGACGCGGCCTGTTCAGTTTTAGACGGACATTGATCGAACTTGCGCGATATATCCGCTTACCTCCCATACAAGCGCCCAACGCCAACGACCACACCAGAGGTTGCAATGGTAAATTGAGCTCGTTATTCTGCGCCAGATTCGTGGCGATTCTCACCATCATGGTGGTGAGCGGCACGTTGTCGACGAAGGCGCTCGCTAACGCCGACACCCAGAGCAACAGCAGTATGGCAACCGCCAGTCGGGACTCCTCGTTGACCGACAGAATAATTGTCTCCGTCTGCTTGCCGATCCAGTCGATGAAACCCAAGCGTGATAGACACTGAAGAATATTAGAACGTTAAGTCTTTTACGTTCACGGGGCAAGTCTTTGGGTCGAGTCAAAGGCTTGACATGATTCTTCTCACACGTGGTCGTTGACAGTTACCTCCATAAGAATAAACAGCGATGCGAAGAATACCAAAGTACTCCACTCGACACGCGCCATTAGACCGTCGAGATCCTGGCTGTCGGTTAATATCAGGAGCAGCAGGATGCCGATGAGGGCGGTCCAGCCTAGAGATAGGTTCAAGTTAGGCACGCTGTGCAGGAAAAAGAGTGTCATCTCGAAAATCAGCACGAATCCCGACTTTGCCAGCAGCCATTTGTCTCTGATAGGATACTGCGGTGGAAAGAATAAGATCGAATAAATTCGTCAAGAAAAAGTACAAGAAGAGACGCGACGGGGTATAGTAATCATCAGGACACAATGATTCGGCTCGTCCTTCGGGCTCGGTCTCACCTTTTCCTGCAATTCGTCGAGCGTGTTCTTGTAATTCCTCAACGCTGTGCTGCCAGTGATCGCCTTTGATTTAAGCCGCGACAGCAAACGTTGGGCTTTCTTCAGCAACGTCTCTCTCACCACGTTCTCGTCTTTGCTGTAGCTGGATAAACTGGCCGCCGCTCGTTGCCAGATGGCGATCTCGTGTCTCAGCTCCTGCGACGTGATTTCTCGTGTGGTTATCGTAGATAGCGCGGCAACACGGGCGGACAATGAAGAGATATCGGCGTTTCTCGAACCTGTACATCCTGTGGCACGTCGAACCTCAGGACCGCCACATCTCGATAGATGAAACGGAATTGCGCGGTGACTATGATCAGCACCAGTATTACCCCGATGCTCATGTGCAACATGAACGTGCTGAAGTCGATTCCCTGCCGCGACAATAACGATTACACTTGTCAGTCGCCCAAGAAGATTTCAGCTCGATGCGGAAGAGAGACAAATTGAAAAGTTTGAAGAGAAATGCGGTTGCGAGTTATTCACGAGGAGTTATTTCGCGTCAAATATCTTGGTCCGCTTCGGGTTGATTTTATCAACAGCGGCTTCGGCAGCATTACTCACAGCTTCTACGACGTCTCGGTTGGAACAGATGATGACATTCGGCGGATCGCCGATCGGCGTCATCGCGCCCCCGATGTTGGAGTAAACCACCATGGCGGTCAAGATCGGGACCGGATTCAGCTCCATCACCTCGCACAACCTGATGGTCACGGGGGTCATCAGCAATACCGTCGTGACGTTATCCAAGAACGACGAGACGAATGCAGTAAAGAAACACAGAGTGTTGATCAACGGCCACATCTTGCCGCCGGATATCTGGAAGTAGACGAACCATAAGCGTGTCGGTGCCTCGTCCTCGCCGGCTCGTCGTTAACCACGAGCGGAATCCGACTTGGATTATCGCACCGTTCACCTTGTAAGCGTAAACTGACAGCCAGTCGAAGATGCCGGTCTCAGCGATGATGCCAACAAGCAACATCATGGAAAACAAAAGCAGAAGCGTATCCATGTCTATCCAGGAGATCAGTTGGGCCATGGTCGGTCGCTAAAGCACGAGTGCTGAGTTTTAAGTCGGTACTTCAACATCTTATCGTGCAAATTACACGAATATAATAGTGTGTACCTCGTTGAAAGCTGCCAATATTCCGACAGACATCGTAGACGCTAACATGGCTGCCAGTGCTCTGTGTACAACCTGACAGGATGAAGTAAGTCAAAAGTCTTACTCGGTAAGTGCACGAAAAAGATGAGAAAAGAAGAAGAGAGAGAGAGAGAGAGAGAGAGAGAGAGAGAGAGTATTGACTCGCACGTGCAATTACCTCGAAGATAATCAAGATGTACAAGCCTATCAAGACCAAAGCTGCGCATATTATACCCATTTGGCTGTCCAACAAGTCGTAACTGACGTTAATCGGAAAATTGGACTCCAAGTTCGTGCGGAAGTTGATGGACATCACACCGCGCGACAAGGTGCTGAAGACAGAAAGGTAGAAGTCATTTTTCGAGTCAACGCGGTGCACGTTAGGAAAATTAGAAACGGAAAGTCGCACTCGTCGTTGATTCCTTTGATCTCGAATATCCGCTCGTGCTTTTGGTCGAGAAAGACATCCATCAAATGTTCGGGCGGTACGTTCAATATCCACACGTCGCTTATATTCTGCAATTGACAGCCACGATTTCACATTCAAATCCAGTATTTTGTCCTTTTCGGACAATCGCATTAACTAATTCTCCCCCTCTTTTCTCTGCTTCAGAATCGACTGGCTTAACTCGGCGGTTGCTAGCTCGCACTTTTCTCGTCTCTGAACGTGAGTACGTGCGTACAGAATAATTTACAAAGAGGACGTTTTGAATCGCGAGCGACGTAAACTACCTGCGGCACTTGCGGGCTTGCGTCAATCGTTTCCTCGCGTATCGAAAACCCCAGCCATATGATCAAATGAGGCGTGGACAGATTTTGTTCGTTTTTCACCAAGGACAACAACGAGCCTTGCACCGTCATCTTGATCCGCTTGCTTGCGACGCGCTCGTGAATCTCGTAATCTGAATATCTTGATGGTAAGGACGATACTTTTTACCTTGCTTGCCGAATTGAACGTCGCTCAATTTCGACCAAGTTTCTCGATCTCGCTGTCTTCGCACGAACAAAAGGATACTTATGCTTTCTCCGCTTGGGATCGAGACCCGGTGCATCGTCTCGATCTTCTCGCTCTTGAACATCAGTATCATCTGCAACAGACTTGGAAATTTTCCATGTCGGTCGGCCGGTTCTCGCGTCCGGCTTTCGCGCGGGTTCTTACCGTAAACATCAGCCAACAACAGGACAGCACGGTTAATTTCACGTAACGACAAAACATCTTTTGCTTGACCTCCGGGGCCGCTTGTGCATCTTGCCCGTTGTTCCCTTCGCTGAGGTTGCTTGTATTCGGGACTCTGCAAAAACGGCAGTTTTATCACGGCGGACGGCTCTTCCGTCGCCGGCCGCGTTCTCTTCCATCAACGTTTTATATCTGGAAAATTTGGCGCGCAAGGATTTACCTAATCGACATCGCGGGTTGCCTGCCGAGAGACATATTCACAACCAGGTAGTCTCGCTTCGAGTTATCCGGAGATCTGCGAACACGTTATCGTTAACGCAAAGTATCCTTCTTCGGTCGTTTCTCGTCCCTCGTCACTCACCTCGTCTCCGTTATTTGATTGACTCGGTCATATTCGCGCTGGAAAACCGCCAGGCTGGGGTCCAGTCGAACTGCCTCCGGCAGTTGACTCCAGACGCGCAGCACGTCTTCGGGGATTTGCCCGAATATCACGGAGCTTGTGATGGACGAGGGTGTAACTGGTACGTGCCGCCATTGGAAAATATTAGGAAACATATTGGATATATTAGAGCATGCTGGACATGCCAGATATATCAGATATATTCAGCAGAGAAAATAGCAGAGATCACGAAACGATATCCGAATGTTTCGAAATTAATTTAATCACGATCACGAAATTACGAGGACGTTCCGTCATCGAAATAAGCGCCCAGACAAATTGACAAGAGACATGACAGGCGAAATAATTTAGCGAGTCGAATCACCGCAGCTGCCGCGAATTCTTACGGCTTTTTCAACGTGTCTCGCAATCGAGCAAAATGTGTACCTGGGCTGCCATGATTGTGACTCTGATATTGGCGAGTTTTTCGGACAAAATTCGGAGTCGGCAGGTCCGATTCATCTTCGCTCGTATCGATGTGCGCCATTTCGGATTATTCGGTGCGACTCGAGATCTCTCCCGTTCGTAATCACTCGTGTCTTTTAGTCACGTGGAAACCGCATGTACATCCCTCTAGGTGTCCTCTGAAAGGTCGTGTAATGTTTACAGTTTACACACGGCCATTGACAGCTGACAGAAATTCGACACAACAATGTGTCACTTCTCTTGCAACAACGAGACGTTGGAAGGAAAGTTGAACACTTGTGTTTGGACAGTGGTTTTATTCTAAAGAAATTACACATCGCGATTGCAAACAATCCAGTCGTTTTTCCATTGACATCATTAACTAAATTATCATACAATGCGCTTCACGCGATCGTATTACAATTCTACAAGTGAATTTGACTTTTATACAAAATTAGCGCACACTCTTGTATATACATATGTACTTAAAATAACAATCCCAAAGTACGAAATATTCTACAATGACACTGTTCAGAAATGCTGTACAAGCTGTTTAAGAAATTATTTTTAGAATATTTATTCCACAATTCTCTCACAAGAGACTCTTAAATAATACAGCAATCTTAATCATGTGTTACACTGTACATACTATGCTGATCAACCTAATATTATGTTGCGCGCAATGCAGCCGTTACATAATCTCAAAGGTTTTCAGCATTTGAACAGAATGTTCCCTAAGCGTCCTCCATCTTTTGCTGGTCATTATTCTGCAAGGTTCCTATCGCTCTTGTTCCTCGCGTCTCCTGTATCCTGTTTTGCATTGCAGTGATAGCGTATTTGTTCTTCACAAAGGTGTATCGGCAGAAACACCAGTAAGATAAGGAAACACCCATGTAGGAACCCATTGCCACGTTCGTCGCGAGTCTGACGCGACTCGTGAACAGGAAGGTGACTAAGCCGGCCGCGACACCGCTGTAGATACCAAACAGTACACTGTTCTTGAAGCAGGTAACCTTCCTGATGTCCCGGCCTAACAGCATTACCGCTTTCGACTTGTCGTCCGGCTCTGTATCTGCCGTCTCCATTTCTGACAGTTTCTGTTATTTAAAAACACAAGTGCTCTTTACACAACCTCCGAGACAGTGGAAAGTGAGGTTAAAGCATCACTCCATTTGATAGAGCGATATCTTTAACAAGGAAGTACGAGTTGTGTGAAGATGGTCGATGGTCCCCTTCAATCGCGCACAAGATAGAGAACTACGTCGTTACCGGCTGAAACCGAACTCTAATCCTTCTCAGAACGCTCAACGTGGTCGTAACTCTACATTGGTGCATAACCCGTGCTTCCCGATTAATGATGGAAAGGTCGAAAGATAATCGATTGCTCGAAAATTCGTCTCGCCCCCAGCAGAGAGAAATCTGGGCAACGATCATGAATCTTTTCTCTAGCGTGAACTAGTGAAAAGTGAAAGACTTCTGTGAATTAGTGAAAAATGAAAAATTTTATATGAATTTGTGAAAATCGAAACATTTCACACGACAGTTGAGTCATTCAACATGACAGTTGCATTCTGGATAATTTTTAATGGATATCAAAGAAATCCGTGTGACGCGAAGGATATTGCGTGACATGTAAAATCCGTTTGATATTCCAGAGAAAATGTTACATTGTAAGTTAATCTATATATAGTAAATGATCTCCAACAGATATCTCCAGGATTCCTGCGGACATTCGAATGTTCTCAGAATATCTTTAGGATGACCTTGAGACATTTCAGACATCCTCTGAATGTTTTTCGAATATCCTTAAATATATCTTATGCTATTTTTATTTTTAACAATTATATCTATATTACAGAAATATTACTTTTCACTTTTTTACAATTCATTTTTCATGTGAAATTACTTACAGTGAAAAGTGAAAAAGAAGTTCACGTGGTGAAAGATTCATGATTGCTACCCAAGCCCCTTCTTGGCCAATATAAAAGTTTACCTAGGGTTGACTTTAATATTGCTTCGTCGGTGGCGTAGTTAAAGCAGTATTATCAGTTAAAGCGGTATTATCGCTCTTCAATTACCTCCGGGGCCCCTTCAGGCCCCTTGGCTGATACGAAAATTTATCCAGGGCTGTCAGTCTTTATATTACCTCGTCGGTGCTTAAACTCTCATCTTACAAGTTACAAATCTCGCGCGAATGGCGTCACGTGTGCGCGCGCCGAATCGACGTACTCGAGCCGACGCACTGATTGGTCGCTCGCGGCCGTCGGCGCGGCGAGCAGTGGGGCGCCGGTGACATCAACACGACGCATGTTCCATGCTATCGAGTACGTCCAAAGTGACAGGTGGTGTGCGCACTGCCGAGGTTCCGTATGTGTTTCGTGCGCTCGTATCTTCGTGTTTGCTCTCGCGACACACGCGGATCGGCACAACCCACACGAGAACATCGACGACGCGTCGTTACGTGATATATCCACGTACGCCAAGTCCGAGTGTCGCTCTTCGTCTCGCTCCACCCCGACTCGCCCGCGACTCCAGACACCGCTCCGTTGTAGGTCCACGCGTGAATCGCGGTGACATGCTCGCACGATCGGTGCGTCGCTGCTCGTAGGTGCTTCCAGTGCCAGTTCCTATGATGTATACCACGTATTCTCGCGACTCGCCCGGGAGATTCAACTGCAGAAGAGGTAAGCGCTCACGTTATCTCTCACGGCCGCCGTATCGGACTAATCGCGATCACCTGTCTCGCGTATTTTTCTGCCGTTAATAACCTCAACGGCGAACGGGCACGAATTCACGCTGTTTCCGACGATGCCCTCGCTGCGTCGTCGTCGTCGTCGTCGTCGTCGTCGTCGTCGTCGTCGGGCGAAATTCATTCTCATGTGCATGTCTCGTGGGTGGAGTTTGCCAAAATCTTGCTGTCTACGTTTCTCACGTAGCTCACCTAGGCTCGATCTTTGGATCGATGGCTTTGCGCGATGTCCCGCCGGAATACCGACGCGTTTGCTTCGTAAATAAACAAATCTTACGCGTACGGTCAGAGACTTTTAACGGTGTTACAATCACCGAGAGCCGTGCAGTGTGTAACGTGAATTCTACCGAAAGATAGTAATGGGTAGCATGTATGGGATATCATGAGACGTGCATTGATCAGCGACCTCGTCGTCGTCGTCGTCGTCGTCGTCGTCGTCATCATCGTCATCGTCGCGCGACGTCCTCCGGAACGTTGAGAGAGAGAGAGAGAGAGAGAGAGAGAGAGAGAGAGAGAAACGACGTCTCTCGCGAATATACGCGCATAAGAGGAGCACCGCACTTCTGCAGCGCTCTTGCCGTCGCGATGTTTATCAGACGTTTTTCCTCTCAACGGAACAAGAATTTCCCCGTCGGACGCGTCCCAATGGACGAGGCGAGTTCTGAATCGGAGTCGCATGAAAGTAGACGACTTTACTTTTTTCCAGTGTTTTCGAGATTACTCTCCGGCAGGCCAGGCATAAAACCGCAGGGATTTTCGTTTCTGTGAGTACGGAACATACACGCGGCAATACACGCTAATGCCATTTAAGGTCCGACAAGAGGCGCGTGTGTACTTTCGAAGGGGGAAGGGTTGCTGCATGCACGCTATTTTCTTGCGAGCAATCTCGCGCGCGCTATTAATCACGTATCTCTCTTTATCTCTTTCTCCCTCTCTCTCCCTCTCTCTCTCTCTCTCTCTTTCTCTCTCTCTATCTTTCTCCCTCTTCCTCCTTTTCTATCTTTCTCCTCTTTCTTTCTTTTTTTCTCGTTCCGTTACTTTTCTTTCTCTCTGTCCTGCATGTATATACTCTCAATTTCCGATGCGCATTGAGATAGAAAAATTCAACGGAAGAGCCCGACAAACCCGAGGAATTGGCGAGAACGAGAAGTCATTCCCGGTCTTCGAGCGGTCTAAATTGGAATTTGTGTATTTGTCCAACATTCAATTCCGACAACGATTATCGTGTATCGTCGAAACGTCGGGAAATCGTACCCGCCCCTCGTTGAACCGTGTTCATGGTTATCGTTCTGTATTATGCAAATTCGTAGGACAATTTTCTTCTTTTATACGGTCCTGACGACACGACTCTGATCGTGGAAATTGTGTTGCTTGAGATAGAGAGAGAGAGAGAGAGAGAGAGAGAGAGAGAGAGAGAGAGAGAGAGAGAGAGAGAGAGAGAGAGAGAGAGAGAGAGAGAGAGAGAGGCAGAGGGGAAAGGACGCGACGCGTTACGTGGGCTGACCGATTAGAGAATCGAGTACACCTGCGAAGGTGTACAGCAGCGTATCTCTGGTACTTCGTGGTGGCCGGCGCTTTGCTCGCTAACGGTAAGCGGAGATTTCGCACGAGTGCTACGGCAGGAAAGGTCAAATTCCATGCATTTACGGCGCGGTGCGAGAAGCACCGCTCGACACGAACACAATCACCTGTTTGTTCGCCGTAAATCAGCCCGGGATCTGCATTAGATGGAACGACCGACGTCGCATAGATAACGCTTTTTTTCGCGGGCTGAAAGCGAACGAACGGTGGAACGGGAAACGGGAAGCACACACCACAGGGTGGCCCGTCATCAACGAGCTGCATTTCACATTCGGCTTCGCGTCTCGCAACACCTCTCGATATCCAGGAGATTGCAACTTTCTCGAAGCAGCGAATGTCGCGGGTACTGTTCGTCAGCTGCGTGCCCCGACACAATGTAACGTTACAATGTAACCTCGCTGATTTATCGATTAGATTCCCTCAGGCTTTCGCCCGCGCGCCGTCTTCCCTCTATTTTCTGTTCTGACCAAATTCTGCTCAAACACTTCTGCCGGTCAATCGCTGATTATGTTAATTGGACTCGGTTTGGGAATTGATTTATATATTGAACAAAGAATTCGATGAAAGTCGCCGCTAGAGGCAGATCCTTCTCTTTGAATTTTTCGGATCCTTGCGTAACAAGAGCTTTACCTTCATTTCTCAATTTCGACTTGGGCAATTTACATTGTACGAAACGTGAGTCCTGTGATGCCTCGGTACGATGAATTGGGCCAGTGCCATTAATCGTCCTACATTTAGAGATCGTGGCACGCCGGTCACTACCTTTCACCATCTATGCGATGCATCTAGAATCAAATTCCTCGGGCGCTCCTCTCTCGCACGTGTTTTTCTCCTTTTGTCCTCCGATCGCCGTCATGCGAGACATCGCTTTATTTCCAAAGAGTTAGTTATCCACACGCGCAGGACGTCTGATGAATTACAGGCACAACGAGCGCACGAGAGAGAGAGAGAGAGAGAGGGAGAGAGAGGGAGAGGTTTGTTACTTATTCGATAGCGCTATTCCGAATATTCGATGTGTTTTGTAACGGTATTCGTATACGCTCGTCTCCCTCGGCGGATTGAATACACGCGAGCGAGCGCGATCGCTATCTCGCGTTTCACATTCATGGATTAATTATCCATCTCCGCTCGATCCGATTTGCAGGGGGTACGCGGAGGCAACGATAATCGGGACTTTAAACTCTTGCGTTCTATTTCTTACGTAGTTGGCGAAATATTCTTTCAACACAGAGGTGTCGCGTCGTATTTCGAGCAGCAAAAGCATCGATTTTTATTAAAGCGTCTTCTGCCTCAAATATGTTCCCGCTGTGTACTATTCACCCTGAGGTGAACTACTCGTCGAGTTAATCAAGTTATGAAGATGAGGCAAAATTTTGGCACACGGGTGCTCGAGGAACACTTGTGGAGCTAATTCAGAGTTTCTTCGAAAGTTCCCGGAGAGTGTCTCTCGGAGAGAGAAGCGTCGAAGTCTCTTCCGCGAGACACTCCGTGTATCGTAATAACGTCCCTGGCGTATCTAATGGGGACGCAAGTTCGGTTCATGACCTGCGTGTACGTGGAGAACCGGTGCGCTGTAACTCCAGAGGTAATCATACGCAGCGCATACTGGTAGCGCGATACGCGCGACCGGTAGCTTCGTTAAATGGCGCATTTTCTCTTTTCGCGAGCGAAACAGGCTTTGCATATCGATTAACGCACGATACTTTTCCCAGGATTTACATACTGTGGTGGCGGTGTTATCTCTTCTATACTTCTTGCTGCATCTTGGCCTTCTCTCTTTTTCTTTCTCTCCCTCTCTCTCTCTCTCTCTCTCTCGCGCTGCCTCTGCCTCTCTTCCTATTTCTCTGCTCTCTGCCGAGCCTCTCGCAGCTTATATATTTCATCTCACACTCGACGAGGAATTAAATAAGGGGATTCCTCGGCGCGTCAGTCAACCGCGAAGTGAAATATTAACGAAGGTGAATGGGAAAGGCAGGTGTGCAATCAGGATGATGGCGATTACACGCATAGTTTAACTCCTTCCGCTATACGTGTCGACTGTGGTATGCGGGTATCTGTCTATTAGGTCGGCGCAGAAGATTTATCGTAAAACGTACGAGAGGGCAGAAAGAAATGGAAAAGAGAAGGAACAAAAGATGTAAAAGTACGCAACAACGTCGGGAGGCAACTGTCACTTTGTCATCTTGAGCTCCTCCCCACTCAGAGGAGGAATTAAGAGAAATGTTCCATTACCTCGAAAAGAAAGCCAACTCAGACCGGTAATTCGAATCAGGACTAAATCCAACGGGGGAGGGGGAGGGGAGAGAGAGAACGATCAGTTTTTTGCACCGACCTGACCGGTAGTGCGGCGACGAGATTCGCCTGCCAATTTTTACAGACGTATCTCGATCTCCGGTTTACTTTCCTGCGAACGGCTTCTCTACGCGAAGCGGAGTAGTGCGAACTTGCGCGCGCAAAATTCGCGCTCACCTCGAGTAATGAGCGACAACTAACGCGTAACTTTATTGATGTGCGACAGCATTCGGTGTTGGGACAAGGTTGGCAGATCTATATGGGGCAATGCGTGTCTCGTAAGGCGGGCGCCGTCGTCGCAGCATCCGGTCATCACAACTCTCCCTCGTACCGCATCATGGAGAAACACGCCCAAAAACAGGTGAGTCTCTGCGTCTCTTTCCAAGGTACAATCAGCGTCGAACATTCCCGAAGACTTCACGTCGGACGATTTACCGAGAGGATGTTCGGGAGCGAAAGGACTCGAAGTAGCAACGAGAGAACTTGAATTCTCTCGTCGAGTCGTTTCCTCCGAAGCGTCTCCAAAGTGAGAAGACATCGATCCAAGTTGCAACATACTTGGCACTTTTAATCCTTTCACTGCTGAATTAACTTCCCTTGAGAAAATTATTAAAATATTTGGTAGTCCTACGTTTTTTGGATCGCCGATTACGAATCTAAAGTCAGATTTGCAAAATTCAAAATGGTGGACTCAATATGGCGATCATGATGTACGAAAGTAATGAAAATTCCAATTATTATTGATGGTGTATGGGTTTTGCGGATCGCTGATTACGAATCTGAAGTCAGATCTACCGAATTCAAAATGGCGGAATTTATGTGGGAAAATGTTCAGTACTGCATATTTATGCTTACTAAAGATTAAACATTCATTTTTGAGTAAAATAATATTGATAGTATGGATCAGATGGAGATACAGAATGAAAAATAGAGCTAAAAAGTGCAAAAAATTCAAATTTCGGCCGTTTGTGTAGAAATATTTGTTTATAAAAAAAAATCTAACCTGCAAAAAAATACTGAAAAAAATATATGTTTTTGTACAACATCAGAAAAATATTTGGTGAAAATTTCGGACATCTACATTCAATACTCTCCGAGGAATCGATTTTTCCTAAAATCCTAAAAAAAAGTATTTTTCTCAACTTTGATTTGTTATATAAATAAACACAAATGAATAATAGGGTATAAAAACCTATTGGAGTATGTTGAACAACTATTCACTCACTTATCTGAAAAACTCAAATTCCCGATCAGTTCTTCAAAATTATGTGATTTACAACGCAAATTGTAAAATTGAATCAAGAAAAGGTGAGAAGTGTACTTCCCACCTAACAGTGAAAGGGTGAACGAAGGATCCGCTCTTATTTTCATCATTACGAGCATTATCGGGGTAATTATCGGCTGGAATAGGGTGAATTTCGCAAGCAGAAGGGACAAAGAACGAGTCGATGAATCCACGCAACGCTCGACTCATCGAACGCACCCCCAGCGCGCGAGTGTTGCGATCGATTCGCTCACCCTGCGTGAAAAGCCCGCTCTTTCACGTCGCTCCCATTGATCCCGTTGAACTTCGAGGTCTGCGCTCACAGCAGAGGCCGCCGTATTTCATGGCTGGCTATCGCTGACTCGCGCGCTCGCGCGCGCGCGCGCGCGCGTGACGACGCGGACGACGCGGCTTCTACACGAGTCGCCGAGCGTACACTCAACTTTGTCCCTGACTGCTCGTCGTTATTGTATTTCACGCGATACCCAGCGGAGACATCGCGAGCACGTACGTGTGTGAGCACCTCGCTGGGACCGCGCGAGTAATGCACGTATGTAGCGGAAAATCCAGCTGATCGCGCGAGCGAGCGAGCGAGCGGTTAGCCGAAGGCCACGTCGAGGTTCAACGCCCTTCCTCGCGACGACGATTCTGCTACCTGCAACGGTACGGCTTCGCGGATATATCACTCGTGCGTGGATCTGTCGTGGATCGTTGATCCGTTCGTCCGCCCGTCCGTTCCATTCGTCCACGATCGCAGCGCACAATGTCCTGCCTCGCTCCGCCTGTAAGGACACGCGATCGGCGACGCGTGACCGCGTATGTTGCGTCGGATGTCGTTTACCTCGAGAGTCACATCGTGTCTCGCTGTCTTTTCTCACGACGCACGTTTGCGGGATCGAACGTGGCGAATTTTGCATTTGAATTTATGCTCCGCTCGCAAGTCGCAGTACGCGGTCGTGACGACGATCGCTGTTACCAGAGTCTCCTTTCCGAACGGCGGACGATTATTAACGATCGGAATCGGCGTTTGAGACGCGCGCCGGGAAAGCCGCCGGGAATCGTTCGCTCGCACGCTCCAACGCTTACGCTAATCAGCAATGTAAGTGGAGTTCGATTATCCATCGAGTATCGTATCGGACACATCGATCTCCACTTTCGCGGCACGCGAGTTCGCTTTCTCATGCGCGAATCGCGATAATTATCCTCGCGCGGCCGCTCGTCTTGGCATCAGCGACGCTCACTTTGAACTTTAAGTTGACTTACCGTTGCTGTTTTCGCTTCTCATCAATGACCTTCCCTCGGAGGAACTGTAAACGCATCCTCTATGCACGGGTGATTTGCAGATTTATTTATTTTCATCCTCGTCCTGCCTTGCAACAGAGTATCGCTCGTGTTTCTCGGTGATTGCGGTTAATGACTGTGCGACTCGTAATTAGCTCAGATTAAATCCAAATAAAATTAAGGCGATTTGCATAAAACTGAGTAGTGGTCATTTTGTCAGGCAGCTTGAGGCGAGGTGATATTGTCGACGGTATCTAATGAAATGACACCGCAGACTTCTGTGTTACGAACCGATAATTACATTAGGCCGATAACTTAAAAGTATGTGTTAAAATTTCATTCGTATGCGCATTGCAAGGTTCCGAAAGGGATGTAACTGCACCGTACAGGCATTTTTCTCCAGAAAATGTTAATATTTATTAGAGATGTGCGAACTATTCGAATTCGAATCGAATCGAATCTAATGTAATTCGATTCGAATCGGAATAATTCGAAAATTTCCGAATCGCGAAGATTCGAATACGATTGAAATATTAGCGTTTGCGCGCATCAGCTGCAAAACGGGCCATCTGGGCCTGTATGTTTGAACCCTTAACTTATAATTCATAACTTAATTATAAATTACTTTAAATATTTAAATATATATTTTACTTTAAAATGATATTACAATATTAATATTCTCTTTCATAGATATTAAAATCTTCCATCATTATTCGCATGTTTAATAGTCATGTTAAATTTTTTAATGATTCGATTCGAATTCGAATAAAATTTCATAGATTCGATTCGCTTCGAATTCGAATTTAAAAAGTGAAATTCGATTCGATTCGGTTCGACATAGAAATTCTTGATTCGCACATCTCTAATATTTATCCAATATTTCATATTTCCTCTTGCAATGTGCACATTCAATGACACATTCAGCGTTCATGTAAATATTAAATATTGGATAGATATTAACATTTTCTCGAATAAAAATACTTGTACGGTATCATTCGCATGTGCGTATGCGATTCTATGTTTTACATTAGGCACGCTTTTATACACGAAAACCAATGGAAGTTAGTCTAGCTTATATATAGAAGTCTGTGGGCGACACATTCCTTCCCGATCAGCTGAAACCCTGTCTATTACCACCACCTATCGTTTTGACACTTGATGTATTTCCGAAAGTCCCGGGGAGCTTTCCCAGAGCACAATACAAATGCTCTATTCTACTTTACCCTCTCTATCTTTCTTCCTGAGTGGCGCAAGTAGCGCCGAACGTTGCCGTTAGATGTTCACGGTGCAGCGAGATCACGTCTCGTCGTCGTGGTCGCGCTGCCGGCGCGCGGAAGTGTCACGTTCATCAGGAGGTGCCTCGATTCACGCGCGGCCGATCGTCGCTCTTGTCTTAGCCGACGTGTGCTTGCTCTCCATTGTGTTCGTCGTCACGCGTGTCGCCTCGCGTCCCGCGGTGATCCCGCCGCCGGAAACCGAAAGGCCGGCTCGAAAACGCGGCGCACCGCCGCTGCTGCACGCTTCAGGTGCGAAGAAGGAGAAATCGCGGAGAACGCTCTCTTTCTCCCGTCTCTATGCACTGTAGCGCACGTGTGGCTACCTTTTCTCCCCATTGTCTTCTCCTCCTTTCCGCTCCGTGCCGATTCGCACGGCGAGATCTTCTCGCGCGCGCGCGCGCGCTCGCTCCCGATCGGATAGGGCGCCTCCATTGTTCCTCTCTCGTGTCTCTCTCTTCTTGTTAGAGACATGAAATCATGGCCGACTGCTCGCACGCTCCTCGCCGCGCCGCGGAACGAGGAGAAGATGTATGTCGAAGAGCGGAAGCGCCCGGTATCCCCTTTCTTTCGGACACGATTGTTGCGGATAGTCTGACTGATCGAGCTCGATCGGCGAGAAGAAGCGCATTCGCGCGGATTCAAGTCGTCCGCCACGTTGTTCGCGCGAAACGCCCTTTGTGCGCGGCGTCAGCGGTAGAGAAGAGAGGCGGTAGAGACGCGAAAGCGCGTCGCTCTTCTTATCAGCAAGGCCGGTTGCTTCGCGGCAAAGTCGCGCCGTGAAGAAAGAAGAGCGAATCTAAAGCTGCCGTCGCGACTTCTTATCGATATCAGGAAATGCCTCCACGTTCTTATCACGCCGATCAATCGGCCAAGGCGCTCTCGTTCTCCGCGCGATCTAATCTAAAGGAGGAACACAGTTTCCAAGAACCTTAATCTTGCGAACAACGCATCAGCGAATCTGTACCCTAGTAGCATATATTGTTGGGACAATATTGGCTACAAATTGGGCCCCCAATATTGGCCAATGTAACCCCAATGTAAGTCAATATTGGTATAACAATGCTATGCAATATTAGCGATATATTGTAATTTAATGTCTAACCAATATTGGTTGTATATTGGGATACATTGGGCCAATGTAGTCCCAATGTAAGTCAATATTGGTATAACAATGCTGTGCAATATTGGCGATATCTTGTAATCTGATATCTAACCAATATTGGCTGCATATTGGGATACATTGGGCCAATGTAACCCCAATGTAAGTCAATATTGGTATAACAATGCTGTGCAATATTGGCGATATCTTGTAATTTGATATCTAACCAATATTGGCTGCGTATTGGGATACATTGGGCCAATGTAGTCCCAATGTAAGTCAATACTGGTATAACAATGCTATGCAATATTGGCGATATATTGTAATTTAATGTCTAACCAATATTAGTTGTATATTGGGATACATTGGGCCAATGTAGTCCCAATGTAAGTCAATATTGGTATAACAATGTTGTGCAATATTGGCGATATCTTGTAATTTGATATCTAACCAATATTGGCTGCATATTAGGATACATTGGACCAATGTAGTCCCAGTGTAAGTCAATATTGGTATAACAATGCTGTGCAATATTGGCAATATATTGTAATTTAATGTTTAACCAATATTAGTTGTATATTGGGATACACTGGGCCAATGTAACCCCAATTTATGTCACCTTATCCAATGTAATACCAATGTAACGCCAATGAAGTGTACTATTAGGGTATATCGTTCCCGCTGAAGGCGCGGCTCGTGACGTCTGGGAACTCGGCTGGTTTCTCGTCATTCTCTCAGAAGATCACGCAGGAGTAGTCGCGTGTCTGCCGCTAACGCTAGACGATGACGCATCGTCGTGGAAGAAAAACTCATGAAAGCAGAAGCGCGCCGCGAAGGAAGAGGGTGTCTCTCGGCCGCCACCTGAAATCGATCGCGGTCTTCCACGGAAGCGACTGTAATATAGAGGCAGGCCCACTGCGGGCAGGCGGTTATTTCCAGAACACGCAGACTCCGAGAGGCACGACAGCCTTCTTCGAGAATGTCGGACGGTCAAGGTGAACTTGAATCCGACTTGAAGCCGAACGGTAACGGTAACGGCGCTCGTGTCTGACAAATGCAATTGGCATGATGAGAGCGGCAGCCGCCAAGTTGAAGCGGTCGACTCGCAGGCACCCTCGCGCCCGAGCACACCCTGTATATCGGGGGGTATGTACCTGGGCGCATCCGCAAAATCAACCCCTCGGTGTGCCGCGTCAGCATCGGCGTCGGCGTCGCGACGCCGGCGCAGACGGCCGGATCGATCCCTCGCGCTCGCTTTTCTTCGCATCCCACGAGCTTCGTTCGCGAGACGGAAGAGGCGTTCACGAAGACGCGATTGCGGGGGTGACACGACGACGACGACGACGACGACGACGACGACGGCGACGACGACGACAACGACGACAACCGACGACCGACGGCTGCACCTGCCGCCGCGCGTTCTTCCACACGTCGCCGAAGCGTGCACCGTCCTGACGATGTGACCGACCACGAAGACGACGTGAACACGCGCCGTCCGCTGCGAAATATCTTGTGAGTCTGGACATGACGGCGTGAGAGCCGCGCAGAGCGCGACAGAGGGTGGCCGCGCCGCGACGCAATCCCCGCCAGGAAGAGAGAGAGAGAGAGATAGATAGAGAGATAGAGAGAGAGAGAGAGAGAGGGAGAGAGAGAGAGAGAGAGAGAGAGAGAGAGAGAGAGAGAGAGAGAGAGAGAGAGAGAGAGAGAGAGAGAGAGAAATCGATCGACGACCGGCTGTGACATTGGCCCGGAAGAGAACACACCATGGAGTACCGGTACGGCAGCACGAGATGCGAGGACGACTCGTTGGAGAACGAGAAGGGCACCGGCGTTGCGGTAAGGGAGGATGCTTCCCGAGGACGTTCCTCTTCATGGATCACTTGGAGGATCCTCGCTCGAGCCGCTCTCTCCCGTTCCTTTCCTCTCTTTTTTTTTCTCTTTGTGTGTGTTTCTTCTTCTGCATACGTGTGTGCTTGTGTATGTGTGTGCGCGAGTTTGACGATTCCGTGGAGTCACCGTCGTATTATTAATATCGCTCGAGTATCACTCGACATGCAGCTGATGAGTTTCCTCAGAGAGCTTATTAGGTGCTCTAATGACGGAATGCGCGAGGATGAGTGGATCTCATCGCACGACGGTGGAAACGCGGCGAGACACGGGGCTCTTCGCCGAGTCCTCGTGTAAAACATTCGTTTAATCAGCTCCCAAGTGCAGCGCCGGCGATATCTCGAGTTCCTCGTCGGCTTGGTGCACTCGTTGCTCGACTTCGTTACATCATAAGGTGCAAGCTGTCGATAGCTGCTCTCCGGCTGTCCGGACTGATCGATTCGCAATTGTCGCGAAACGGCGTCGTACCGTCGCGTCGCGTCGCGTCGCGCCGGGCCGAGATCGCTCGGCCTTTTCACGTGGGGAGACTTCTCCGCGATCTCGAGGAGTCTCTCCTCACGGGCGATTCTCTTTCTCTCTCCTTCGCGACTCGCCCGAGACGCGCGAGCGCAATCCCAGATTTGTCGGACCGCAGCCGCGCTCGTCGGTTACTCTATTTCTGGAGTTCAAACGGGGTTGGCCGCTGCTGCATGGTGGCTCGGACGAGGAGAGCGTCCGTGAACGCGACACTCCGCCGCGAGTCGCGGCCTGTCGCCGCACGTACGCGCGATCGAAGTCGCACGTCGCTCTCGGACAATGCGGTGCTGGTGTGCGTGTATCGTCTTCTCCGGCCGGAAGCTTCGCCCGCGCCTAGGGTGCACTATCGGCTATGCCGTAGTTTCCCCGCTCTCGCGGCCGTTATATAACCCTGCCGCGTCTGTATAGGAGTATTGATTGATACTCTTGCAAACCGGGGATCACGCAGCAGCGAGCTCTCGCCGAACGAACCCCCTGAGCGCACCCCGCGAACGTACGCGTGCGGTACGTACATTCGCAGCCGTCGGGCGAGCCCTCGGGCCGCCGTCCATCTTGCAGCGAACATCGTGTCAAGCTCATCTTCAGGTTGCTGCCCCAAACGCAGCGCGCACGGGCAGAGTCCTCCTCTCGGCGAGATAGCGACGTTCTCGTACACTGAGGAAGTATCACGTCGCCTTGCGCTCGTATTGTTTCGGACGTTTCGGAATTTTGAGAAAGTAGCATGGGAAATGCTTTTACCGTGTACTTTTGCCGTGCGTCTTCACATCGTAAAGTTGACGAAGAGCATCAGTCGTCACGATGCATAAATTTGCACTTCGGTGTGAATGTCCTTTGTGCGTCTTTCGGGTATACCTAAAAGAAGATTAACCCTTCTAAGGTGTCTCTTAGACGTTACGTAAATCTATCCGACTGTGAAAATGCCGATCTTGGTCTGTCGGATGTCGCGAGAAGACAAGAAGGCAGAGGGGAGTTGAGATCGAGGAGTTGCAGTCGCGAGACGATCGGCTCCGGCAGTCGCGAACCCTCGCGAAATTCTGCAGTCGAATGGTAAAAGTTCCAGCTGGGCGCACCGTTGAAGCGCGTTTCCACCGCGATATCGATCCCTTCCCGCAGGATATAATCGTCGCGAACGATGCGTGACTGAAACTGCTACCTGCTGATAACAACCGCCGCCTTGATACGACGTGCTCTTTGTTCGTGACGTTTGTGGAGAGACGATAGCGATCTGTAGGTGGCTGCTTCCCCGGCTCGATTCAAGACCCGGCGATAAAAAGTCCACGATCGCGAATCGCGTACCGTTTCTCGCGCGCTCCCGACGAGAGAGCGATTCGTATCGAGGAGATCCGGCCGGCGAGAGAACGTGTTTTGATCGCACATTTCGATTCAGTCGTCCGTCGCGACTCGATAATTCGTTCTCTCTTCCGCGCGACTTGGCCGCTCTGACTGAAGTTTCATCAAATCCGACTGAACGAGACAATCTTCGATCGTGTTTCAGGGTGATCAGCGGGGCTCGTCGAGACGGGGTACGTCGCACACGCGCGGCACCGCGATGTCCTTTGGATTCCGACGAAGACCCGCCAGCGGGATTCCGATGCCGATCACGGGCTTCGCCGGTACCGAATCGAGTCTGCTGCATCCTCGATCCAAATCGGCTGGCCCGGAGCAAGACCGCAGGCGGGACGACGACAACAGCAACGCGGCGATTCACAACTCGTCGTCCGGCCGCTCGACGCCGCGATTAGCGCCGCCTAAGAAGGATTCTAGCGGCATCGGCGTCCGGACGAATCGCTTCGGCTACCGGCAGCCGCAGAAATTCACCAACAAGGTTGGCGACATATGCAACAGTCACAGTATCAGCCACTATAATCAGGAGAAGCTGCTGCAGCAGCAGCAGCAGCAGCTACAACAGCAGCAGCAGCAACAGCAACACCATCAGCAACAACAATCGGACAACTACTTCGCCAAGCAACCGAATAGAGTTCTACATGTGTACAACGCGGCGCCGACGACGAAGGCTCGCTTGTCGCCGTCAAATAACGTGGTTTACGGCGGCAATTTGACCGGCAATGCAGCGGACGTGAACAAGCGAGTTTCGGGCATTCCGGAGCCCATCAGCAGGTACACTCTACACACCAGCCACTTGCCGTTACCTCAGTACGCCGTAAGGGTGAACGACTCAAATTCCAAGATCGCCAAGACAGCGGCGAATCAGAGTAGGAAGGTATCCACGTCGACGTACAAGGGCTCGGCCAGCTCGAAAGAGGGCTCGATAACCGAGGACTCGGGCGTTAGCAGCCAAGCGGCTTGCCCCGAGGACAACGACAGAATCCGCTCGTTGGATTACGCGGACGATGGCTCCATGAGGAGGCGCGGCATCGGCAGACCGAGAAATCTGCGGATGGTGGTGAGCGGCAAGAGCTTCGACGTGAGAGATGTCCGGGACGACGACAGCACGGTCACGGAGATCTCCGTGATCCCGTTGCCCAAGTCCTTCGCCAGCGCCAACCTCAACACCGGCTTCGTGCGCGAGAGAACCACGCAGTACCAGCGGATCGTGAGCAAGGACAACAGGTACACCGAGTCGACCACGTCCATGTCTACCACGTCCTCGGAGGGCTACGACGAAGGTTGCCTGAGCGAGGAGAAGGTCTACAAGGACCGCTCGCACTCGGAAAAGATCCCTTCCATCAAGTCGGACTTTAGCCCGCCCAGCTCCGACGATCCCGAGTACGGCCACGGCGAGGCAATGGCGGACGAATATTCTTTGAGCTCGAGCGACGATTGCCAGCGCTCCGGCTCCATACAACACGCGCAGGCGATCACGGCCGCGACCAAGAACGGCGTCGCCACGAAAAACGCGTTGCGCTCGGTGCTGCTCACCATCGAGGATCCAGCCTTCGCCGCCGCCGCCGCCACCACGACCACCTTAATAGACGACGAGACCTCTCCGGTCGACAGTCTGTTCGACAGTCCTACGGCCAGCATCACCCAATCGGACGGGAAGGCCTCGAAGAAGGACGATCACGTCCTGGAACCCTCGGACAACACCTTGGAGGACGACAGTCCTGGCACTCCGACGAATGCTTCCAACTCGTTGAGCCTGTCGGAGGGTAGGGAGTTCTTTGACGATGAGATCGCGGATCAGCCCGGATTAATCTTCGACGACAACTCGAGAGCAAGGATCGAGGCGCAGTCTGCTATGGGGAGTCAAGTAATCACCGAGAATAGCCACACTCTGATCGAGACGAATTCTAAGACGAGTGAGTAAGGACTTGACTGCTATTCTGGGAGTCGTCCTCCCGAGGTGCGTGTTGCGCCAGATGACTCTCCTCGGTGACTCTTTCTCGCGCTCGATCTGCTCGTTTCCTTTCACTGAATGCTCTCTCAGAGCAGTGACGAGATTCCGGCTCCGGGTTGTACACGTACTTCTCTCTCTCTCGTTGGATACAGATTTGGATATAGTTACTAATAATAAAAATTCGTGTCTCGTTTATCGACGAGTTGTGATTTGCATTGCAGGTGGTGGTGCGTTGCACATGAAAGGCGTAGCGAATAGCCCCCACCACGGGCGAATACACCGAGCCGGGAGTGTGGACACCTTGTCTCCCTGCGAGTCTATCGCCTCGGATGACTTAATGTTGGATTATAGCGACACGAGTTCCTACGAGGAACAGCAGCGGTTAGTCATCCTTATTAATACGACATATCTGTCCGATCGGGTCTCAACTCGCGAGATACAGATAAGGATAAAAGTGGGAAACGCAATTTCCCCTCCGTCGCGCGAGTCCGTCGGCTAGATCGCTACGTTGTCGATATCTTTCAGATTAAACTCCAATCCGGCGCTGCACGAGCTGGACGACGCCACTATAATCTCGGAACTGGAGGCGCAGGGCGAGGAAATGGTGAGGCAGTGGAGCTCGTTGCTGAGCACCGCGCATATGCAGGAGCAGGCGAATTCCAATTCGGCCAACAACAATGTCAACGGTGGAGGAGCCGGCAACAACAACAATCAGGCCGCCGTCGAATCCGGGTGTGTACTCGCCTTTTTCTCGCTACCTTTCACGCTTACGTTGCTCGACGTGAACGAAAGCTCGCGGTGTGCACGACGCTTCCTCAGGTATAGTTAACGAAACGTGGCGCGATTAGGGTTACAACGCGTGACACGTTGTACTTGCAAATTATATGCAAATTGCGGGAAGACGTTCCTCCCCTTCCGGACGGGCCGTAGGAACGCATCAAGTACTTCCCGTGTGCGTCGCAGACTTGTTTTACGCGCGGAAGGTGAAGTTTGAAGTTACTCGAGCCTTGTGTTCTCCGCAGCGCTTCTTCCTCGTTTCATGCGTCTCATCGTGGCTTGGATACCCTGATCGCAGTATCATTCTGCCTCTTTACGTTATGTTTTACGTTCGTTGCAAATCTATGTCTTTCGACCGCAACATCCCGCTTTCGTTGGTTATTTTTTGCGCTTTCCTGGCTACGTAATAGCGATTGCTCGCATAATGCATCATTTCCGTTGATTTCGACGCGCCCGTAGCACTGGCAGTAGCTGGAGATTCGTCAATGGACGGCGCATCACTGTAGCAGGCTTGAATTAGAAGTAGAGAAATGCGTAGGAGAGGGGTTGAAAGAATACCTGTATCGATGCTGTGTGGCATAATTAGTTGACGAAATGTGCATACTACACGAAGGGAGGAGACAGAGGATGCGGATGCGTCATCCGACTGTTGAATTAGTGTTATTCACTGTGTGTGTATGCCTACTGTGTGACTATGAGCCGCAAACTCTCACATGGATCTCGCTCGTCCCGAATCGACTTTGCGCGACCTTCCGAATTTTTTGTATATCATGTTTTTCGTGTACAAAAAGTTCCGCAAGGGAATTGGACGCTGAACGTTCACAATCACGTCACGCGCGGGACGATTATTACGAGAAATCGGTAACGTGCGGCTGCGGAAGAGACGCACGCATTTGTACATTCTTTCGAAACGTCGCTCTGACTTCGTCGTACCCGAAGGAGAAGCGCACTCTTTCAGCATTTTCCGAACTTGCAATGTAGAACGAAGAGTCGATACTATCTTGGTCGACGTGTATCAATCATACGGGCATTTTTCTTCGTAAGGTAATTCTTCTTTTTTTCGATCGAACGACAATTTAGTGCAAGTCTTTAGAGAGAGAGAGAGAGAGAGAGAGAGAGAGAGAGAGAGAGAGAGAGAGGGAGAGAGAGAGAGAGAGGGGAAGGATGTCACACACGATACTCCACGAAGAGATTCTTTTTATATATTCTGTGCACCACATATACCATATATTGATAGACCCGATGATGTTAATTTTGCAACGAAGGATCGGAAAAGTCGGTCATTGCACTCCTCCGCGCATTCGCACAAAAAAAAAATATCGCACACGCGCGTATATTTCGAGTTCTATACACGTTTATGTACCTAGAAGACGGCTCCGTCTCTTGACTGCGTTGAAGAAACAGCATTTCGGATTGCGTTATCGCTCGCAAAATAACGAGATCCCGCGATCCGAGCTAATCCGGCTAAATTTCGAGCGCGTCATGGCTACATGCGCATAACAACCTACTCTCTTTCGCGTCGGCGGCTCTTTTTCGCCTGGTGGCTTTCTCGACGAACGCGAGAGACAAAAAGAGAAGAAAAAAAACTACATTCCGACGAGCATTCGCATTAGACTCGTACACCACCGCCCATCCGTTCTCATCTCCCCCCCCCCCCCGTCTTTTCCCTACGCAGTAGTAGCAGTCCTCGATCTCGTGCAACTCTCGAGTCGATATCATCTTGAAGCTTTCGTCGAGATGCGACATTTCGTACTTGTCTCTGTTTTGTGTCGGCCGTTTTCGTTAAGTTTTCGTTAAAGTGATGAAGTGATGACAGCGCGACCGAGAGCGGGTCTGTGAATGCGTACGATCGAACGAACAAATGAACGGACAGACAGACAGACAGACAGATAGATTAATCGAAGACGTTTCCCCATCTGCAAATTGTCTTTTCAACGATGTCCGCCAAAGCGTGCAGGTCTGCCTGGGAAGACCACGTTCATTTGATTATACGAGAGCGAGTGTTGAGTCGCCGTTTGATAATTCGCGATGTTTCCGTAAGACTGGATTCACACTGTCCGTTCAGACGGCGGCAAACAAGAGTCCGCAAATCCTCCGTCAAGTATTTTTTTTAATAGGAACGGACAGATGCGACGGTGACGGACATTGTGAATACCCCAACGGGAAAAGCATCGGAGAATGTTTCAAGGGAGGATCGACGCAGTCTGCCACCTGGACGGGGGACAATGTGAATCCAGCCGAAGAGGTTCTTCGTCGGTCGTCAGAACGGCCGAATTGGTGTCCTCCTCCTTGCGAAAGCATCTCGAATTCTTAGCGTCACACCATCGACGAGAAGATGTCGCGAGCCGATCGCGTCTGTTCTTCCCGATCAGACTTTACGCCATCAGACGATGATACAGCCTTCCCCCCACCCCCTGTGCTTGCAAAACAAAAAAGAAAAAGCAAGAACAGACACGAAATTTAACATGACCGCATCACACAGGAGACGTCACAATTCAGCGAGAGTATTCTGTGTTCTAGCGCGCTAGTAAAACGGGTGAAGCAATTGCAAATCCCCGATGAGGACTCCGCGGGTGGAGACTACTACCAGCTGACATACCCTAACTAGCGAGCAGAGTCCGCCGGTCCTCCCTTGAATGTCGACTAGCAAAACTGATAACCGCAGCTGATTACCGACACAGATAATACACACGGACGTGCAAGCTTGGTCCGTAAGTGGTCTCGTGATTTCGACGAGTCAGTCGCGTCAGAGTCAAGCTGGACGACGAACGGAGAGTGTCAGGAAAGGTGTAGGAATTTCTCGGTCTACGATTACTCGTCTCGGGCAATAATTTTACCCACGCAACCACTTACGAATCAAACGTGACGGACATTGGCGGAAGAGAGAAAGCGCGCGAGAGAGAGAGAGAGAGAGAGAGAGAGAGAGAGAGAGAGAGAGAGAGAGAAAGGGAGAGAGAGTGAGTGATTGAGCGGCGCAAGCGATGATTACGATGACACGGCATCTACAATAACGTCTATGGTGTTGCAACTGGCAAATTTAACGACTGACCATGGCTAGGTAGGATATACGGTAAAACGATTAGGTCATATACGGAGGAAAAAGGTTGGTTGGGGAAGTCAACGCGACGACGAATGAACCAAACACCTTTTGGCGACGAAGAAAACGGAATTTCCGATCCTTGGGAACGAAATCGATTCGCAAGAAGCAGAAATTCTATTTTCTGGCTTATTCGTCGTCGTTGAACGTTAACGTTCAACCGATCCTTTTTTTTCATGTAGATTCGAGAGAGAGAGAGAGAGAGAGAGAGAGAGAGAGAGAGAGAAAGAGAGAAAGAGAGAAAGCGTTTTCGAACAGGAAGCGACTTGTGTTAAGAAGTATCATTTCTCCAATATGCGGTGTTTCTCCGCGAAAGGTTCGGTTAGAGTAGACTAATAAATTGGAGTACCTCTTGAATTCTCGCCAAGCGAGCATTATAGTTTTAACACGAGACTTCTTTGAGCGCGCGTGATTCCTAGTCTGATAATTTTATATACGTTAAGAAGAGTGAACTGTGTATAGATATATATATATATCTTTTTTTTTTCTTTTTTTTTTTTTCTTGACAACAGACTGTGCAGTCACCGTTCGTTTGGAGAATTATGCTCCGTCGGTTTATCCGTCTCTCCTATTTTTCAAGTATCGATTAGGTTCCGAGAAGTGCTGATAATCCGGTATTAATGTATAATAACCAATCATGTCCCATCCATCCCTCGAGAGTTTCTCGAATCCTTGACACACACACATACACACTCACACACGGATGGGATAGGTGCTACCTCAAAGGTACTAGTCCTGCAAGCTCCCGCGAACCTCCCCACCCCCTTCGGATAAAGTTAATCAATTATCTCGTCGATTTATCCCTCTTTCTTCGATCCAGACCAGAGAATACGGCTTAACGTGATCTCACCGCAAAAAACCACACTTGGCAGTCTTTCCTCAAGATTACAGTCCACATAACAGTGCGTCCTTTTATTATATAGTCGGGAAAATTACCAACTTTCAAGTATAGTCGAAGCGTAGTCGGTGCGTAGTATCAAATAATAAGGAGCAATCCACCGAAACAGGCTGGGCTGCAAACCGCTCGCTGTTTGCAGTCGGCTCGTCGCGCAGCTGCTCACAACGCTGCGAGGATTCGCTCGAGCTCGCGTGCGTGTATGGCAATTCCGATCCTTCGTTCGTGCAAAAGGTACCTTCTACCTTGTCCTCGACGGTGATACCTCGGCCACGCGTGTTCTCCGATATCAGCGATGTGGCGGCGCGTGCGAGCGCGGTGGTGAGACAGACGTAGTAGCGAGGATGATAGAGATTATTTTTCCAATTTCATACGATGGTCCGTCGAGTCCTTCCAAAATTGTCGTCCTCACGTAATACAACCTAAAAAGGAAAAGAAAAAAGAGAGAAAAAAAAAGAAGAAAGACGAAGAAGAAGAAGAAAACTGGTCCAAAAACTGGTGTTTCGATCGCAATCCTCAGTAGTAGTCTAGACCTCTCCTAGTCGTCCAAACGGCCGTCATTTAACGATAATCTTTGGTACTATTTAACACGTAGACACACGTAACTTTGACGGGTGCCAGCACGTCGGTGCAGGACGTCCTCCGGCGTGTCGCCGAGTATTAATCGAACATGTATACTTGTGGCATTATAGAGAGCTGCTATTTAGGTATAGAAGACGCGTGTAGCTTCGTAGAAGACACGCGAGCGTGCACTCGCGTGCGTGGACCGGTAAACTCGATAGTCGACTCCGATATCAATATCCTCTTTCCCGGAAGGTCGTTGCGGAAGGTAAGAACGTGGCTGCGGGCTCGTCGCATGCGAGTCTTACGACACACTCGACGATAATAAAACCGTATTTACCACTCTCCGCCCTCAGCGGAGCACTCTGCCTCCCCCCCCCCCCCCCCGAGCTCGTCCTCCTC